TCAAATCCCATCAAAAAGTTGTTATAAATCACGTGTAGATTTATGGCCCCCATGGCGTGGTCTTAGTTAGGCTCTCCTTTTTAGTGTCGAGGCTGCTTGCGCGTCCTCCTCCCCTTCAGGAGACTTGCGTGTTTCTAACCAATAGCAACATTGCCACCTCTTTCAAATGTCGAATCCCACCGCTCCTGTATGATGATTTGCTAAGCTAGTTGACCTCTCATTCTGGGTCATGCTACGTTGCTTGCTTCGGCTCTTTACATATCGTCTAAATTTCGAGGCTTGGCGGTCCTTCTAATTCTAAAATATGCGGCTGACTGCTACGGATTGCTACGGATTGTCACGGACTGCCACGAATACCGTGTCTACTGGTTTATAGCATGTAACATTATTGACCCGATCAAATTCATCTCGCACCATTAAGTAAATTTACTTCGTCGCTATACCCAAAACATGACGGGACGGGAATATCCTTCGCGTCGAGGATATCAGATGAAAATCGCATCATAATAGATGCTACACTATTACGCTATTACGCTACTACGTATAGAGAATATTAACTGATCAGATATCTTCCCGGTAACAGAGCATGTTTCATCTTCGGCTTGATCCGATCCAAGACACATATTCCCCTATGGGGGTCGTCATCCGGGTACCTAGATTTATTCGGATGGTCCAAGGTTCCGAAGCCCACACTGGCGCGGCGCCGCCTCTTGGATTTGAAGGCCCCTCTATACTACATACCTTAGGTATGTACAGGGTTGATGATCTTTCGTAGTTTTAAAATTACCGTCGCGAAATTCGCATTTCGTAAGCCAGCATGCCAATTAGTGTCTTCATATTGCCGACCTTGTCGTCGTAATATGAGTGACTACACTAACCTAGTAGGTTAGATCACTACGAATCGATATGTGCGAGACAGGCTGACAGGGACTTGCGTTTGTATTCCCCAGGACGCGCGTCTCTTGTCTTCACACGGACTTTGTCTAGTGGAGAAATTCGCCCTAGGCCGTACAGAGAAAATCCCTGTCGATCTCCAAATGACGGCATAAGATCGTGCACCCCTGTTCGATATCAGTGTATGTAGCGGGTTGCTACCCAATAAGCTACGATGCAAGTGATCGTAGGGGTCGTAATACAGTACGACTACCTTCAAGATTCGAGACTCGGGTCTCGATAGCCACGAGGTGGCAATCCGGTGACGCGCAGCGACGACCCTTCAAGAACACGGTCATATCCCTTCTACTCCGGATCCCAAATAACCGGGCGCACCGACATCTATATCCTATATGCGAGCTTTCAGGTGAAGCGCCTGGACCTCTCAAAGCCCCCTCGTCTCTTATCATGCTAACCAGGTTTCGCCCTCACTCAGATACGAATGATATCTCGCCAAGCTTTTTATATATGACATTATCAAGCGAACCGCAGGTTATTCAACACGGTTCCTCCAAAAACTATATATGATAAGGCGCCCGCACCAGAAAACCCCCAAGGAACCCCCATCTTATCAACCCACGCGCTCTGTCTCGAAGTATTGATCCTACGGTGAAATCAGTCCGGCTCGCTTATTTAGGAAGCCATCGCGATCTTCCATACGTCCAACATAACTTTCTTACACGTTAGGTTAAAGGGGTATCGGTGTTAACGCCGAAACTTGCCTTATCGTGACAATTAACCGCAGACGATGGGGAGATTCAAGACGTTCTTCTAGTAGACTCGCCGACCAGTAGCCGAATATGGTGGTCTAGAAGGGAGACTTAATTTCACTTAGCCTAGAGACGGACCATTCTAGAAATATTCTAGCATCTTAGTCATAACCACAGTCCTTCCATTGTAGTTTCGTAGTCACTTAGGTCTATGCAAGCCGCACGTATCTTTATTTATACGGATACCTAGCGTCTCGTAAGATTCGGTACGTAGTTCTAAGAAATATACTGAACGCGCGGCCGTAAAGTGGCCCAATATCGAAGTAGAATGATTATGATATCTACCTAAAATATCTGTTGACTCTTACAATAGTTAGGTAATCATACGTTAGGTACGTACGCATGTCAGCAAGGAGCTATTCAAGAGCCTAATTTATAATATCACCTTCACACGTGTACGACTATAAACTTTACCGAATAATACACGGGTGACTTCCTCAGTGTAGGAGTTGATGTACTAGAAACTCCGTGATGACTTATAATTAGTGTCTCGCCTAGGTCCATTCATCCAGTACACCCTTGTTGAAGCATAAACATGGAGTAAGTGTCTAAAGAATGCGCAGTTTTCCACATCTCGTCTCTCGTAGTAACTGCGCTAGGATCGTCGATGTCGTGCTTCAAGATTAGAACAAGAGCAGCTGCATATTTTAAGTACAGCTTCTTTACCGCCATGTCCATTCAAGATTCATAAACTACTCGTATTGAGTTGATTCTGGGTACTATGCGAGCCATAATTCTAAGATGATGTAGGCTGCTACAAATCTAGGTTAGGGTCATTCACTCTTCTACATTTTAAACAAGAAAGACCGGCAATCCGTGTAGAGTTAATATATTGTAAATTAAATGTGTCTCGAATCGGGCGTCTACTTTAAACATATCTTCTCACTTAACCGCCGACTCTTATCTTCAACGAATGTCTTCGAAGACACTCCGAACACCGTAGGTGCCCGTGGGGTAGGACTGGCATGTGAAGTACCAAATAGCACAGTGATAGACCTCGGAGAGGGATTCCTCAAAAGTCTGGGCTAGGTAGCATCTATAGTTTGTCAATGCGGTTGTATTATCCAATGTAGGTAGATCAAAACTCTTCCTTCTACTCGGTCGCTTCAGGATTTATATTATGATATGCGTCAAATTCTTGGTCATATTACTAGACCCTTATATTCTATCGTGAAATAATGGCTGTATTTTACAGGAGGGCCCCAAAATAGGAGCCCAGAATATCTGAGTAGATATTACATAGGTAGTTGGAGACTTTTATGAAGGTACAATTCTGTTCATAGTCCTTTAGCCTACCTACCTGGAGTACGTATAATTGGTATATTTATACCGATAATTAGTATGATAAAGTTACTGGAATAACGCTGACTCTGAACTGAGGCATATTCTAGGAGGAAAGGGACCCAGGGAACTTGATGTTACTTTTGTCTCTTCTAGTAAGTTACGCACATTAGTGTCAATATTTATGTCTCCTTTTTTTATTAGTTAGATCTTTAGCTCTAGCGCATTGGTAAGCCTATGGCTCTTTTACGTGTTATCCTAATTCCTAACACTATTGTGCTCTCATTGCTACTAGTAATGGGCATCTTTCGGGCCTTATCGTTCAGGCTGTAGTAACTCCTTGGTTAGGATATATTCGATTAATAGGCTTATCCCTGAATTTGCTCCTTGAAGTATGCCCTTCAACAGCTGGCCATTCTCCTTTTGGGGATATCTATGATATCTATTCAATGATTGAATGACTGTTAGGTAGAAACCTGGCCGCCCAATCGGGAAGAAGCTTGTACTTTGTAGTTCGTGAACCCAGACTCTTAGCATGGCTATAATTGAATTGCTATCGCCTCGGGTTTGCTCTTTCGATTTTGATTAAGTAAACTCAACCCCTTCCTATTTGCCTACCTGCACTAATGCAATATCCTAAGCTCTTTAATTAATTTACGCCAATGCTATGCCCCTCCAGGACCTTCTCAATAGTCGCGAAATGCCCATCTAGGTCACAAATGTCTTCGATGATAAGTTAACTTCCACAGTATCTTTCCGGGATTTTAATCATTTAACTGTTTAATATGCATACCTAAGGTAATGACATACCACCATCCCGTTATATAGCGGAGCAATCAAGTCTATTGTAGTTCGACTGAAGAAGCCGATTGCCTCATAGGTATTTATATACCTATCTAGGATGCTTAAGCCCAACACTAATATTGATAGTCAAAACACTGACTAGGATATTATATTTCTTGCCTAGTCTTTTAGAACTTTAGTATCGAAAAAGGACCTAGGATCTTGGTATCAATACTAGATAGTAAGACTTTTATAACACGTATTATTGTAGTAGGCCACTTGTAGTTGATCATATTCGTGAGTCCCTCTGGAGTTTTTTTTTTTTCATCTTATATTCATCAAGTATTGTTCACAACTCATCGTGGATTTGCTCCAACCTTGGTTGAGTCATTATTTATTCTTTCGTCTAATAAGTTTACTGAGATAACCAACTGGAGTTTTCTATCTAAAGACTTGAGCACTCAGTGAACTCTGCTTGGACCATGATTCATTAAGCGCCAAACAAATTGAAATTGATTAATTCTCATGATTTAGTTTCACGTGTCATATAATAGCACAATCACAATAACTACTATAGTCACAACTAGTCCAGGTGTGTTAGTTTAAAGTGCCACTTAGATTGACTCAGGAGTGAGTTGGGCAGTTTTCATTTACAAGTAACTACACGACATAAATCTCATCTACAGAATCGCATATAATTTCTCGGGCAACCCATAACTGCGTATGGAACCCAACATAGCTCATCTACCACTAATTCGCATATACTACCCGATATATACTATCCATCATCATGCCAGACTCTAGACCAGCCCCGCAAGAAGTCATCACCCGACACAAGACAATTCCACGCATGAATCTTCCAGAGAGTAGATGTGTGTGGGAACGAATTTTCATATTAGAAAAGTAGCTCACTTAGTTATAGTGTACTCTTAGTTTCAGAGGTTTGGAGAAAGTTACCTACCACGAAGCTTCTCTGAAGGAAAAGAGGGAAGATGAGCGATGATTTATCGATTTTTCAGGTCTTACAACGACTTTCAGTTATTGGACCTTCTAGTTAGTCTGCGGAAAGATCGCCTTGTGTGTTAGCGTAGCAATCTATATGACTTCACTTCGCCTCGGAAAGCATCAGGGGGATGAACATGTCCCTAAATTATGATTAATCTTGCATGAATATAGGAATGCCAATGCTGCTTCTTATGTGGCTCTCATCCTATTAATATTTACTCTATTATCTTACAATTTAGGCTTAAGTGAGTCTTCGAGTGAACAAACTCCATCCCTCATAGCAGCCATCTGCTTCCTTAGTATCTTCCCCGTCGCATTTTTCGACAACCTCTTGATCTCCCAGACTCCTCCCCTGAGCTTCTTGTAACCGCTCACCTGACTGTCAACCGCCTGATGTACCTCCTTGAGAGCCCTTTTCTTTTCTTGCGGAGTCTTGAATCTATCTTTCAATATGACCCAAGCTGTCGGGAGTTCCGTCAATTGACTTTCGTCCCAGAGTGCACTCACACCCCCTTCCACCACGTTAGGATGGGCGTTAATGTAACTCTCTAGCTCTGCTGGCGATACCTGGAAGCCTTTATACTTGATAAGGTCTTTTGTTCTCCCTACTACGCTTATTCGACCTTCTGCGTCGATGGTGCATACATCTCCCGTGTTGTACCATCCTTTCATCGGAAACCCTTTCTTATTTGCTTCCTCGTTGAAGGCGTATCCTCGCGTGAAATTCGGTCCCCTCAACCAGAGCTCGCCTGGTTGACCTTCGGGCACGTCTTCTATACTTCCCTCTTTCTTGAGGCAGGCCTCAACGTTGGGTAATAACTTGCCTGTCACTCCATCTGGTGGCTCCTCGCTTGCTTTCTGGTATGCGACATATCCGGCAGCTTCCGTCATTCCATACACTTGGATGAGCTTCCACGGCGCCTTGCTTAGCAGCCGGTCTTTAAGATCATTCTTTAGCGGACCGCCGACATTGATATATTTTGCACGACTGAAATCGAATCGACTGGTTATATCAGAATTTGCCATCTGAAGGACAACGCTTGGCACACCTTGGAAAGTTGTAGCTTGGTTCGATCCGACTAGCCTCGCAAATTCTTCGATGTTGTAACTTGGCATGGCGTGGTGCAGCATCCCGGTGTAAGGGCCCAAGAAAAGCGGCAATGTGGTCATGGCTATATGAGTCCATGGCGTGAAAGCTACCGTCCGAGAAGACGGATTAAATTGCTCTCGGTCATGTGCGACGAGTTGATAACAATTTGAAACGAAATTGTAGTGCGTCAGCTCAACTCCCTTCGGTTTGCCTGTGGTTCCAGATGACAGGTGAATTGATGCAAGGCGATCTGTCGTATCGCGCCAATGAGGGATTGGTAAACGCTCTGATGAGATGTAGTCATCTGGTAAGTGAGGAAGTCCGTTAATTTGAGTGATAATCGTTATTATTTTAGGCTTCTCCCAGCTTACTCCTTGGTCGGCAAGCTCTTTTTCAGCGACTCGTAAGGCTTCCTTGACAATCGGAACTGTGGCCCCGTAGGATACCACAAAGTGTGGTCTTGCGACAACAAGTCCATGACCGATCTCCGTAGCTTTTAGTGCGTGATTAATAGGGCATACGACGCCGCCCGTCCAAAGTATCGCGTGGAAGATCTCGAGAAAGTCGACACTATTAGGTAGAATAATGGCCCATCTTGCTTGGTCGACTGGCTTCAATTTTATTTTGAGACCTTTCGCAATCTTACCAGCTCGGTCGCGTAGCTGTCCGATCGTAATACTTCGATTCGTTAAACTATCCTTGGCGATTAGATGAGACTCAGGAAGGTCTGAATATGCTGATCTATGGAGGAGTTCTGTTAAATTCAGATCTTTAGGAATGTCTATTGTGTCGGAGCGATAGACTTTCATGGTTGCTCGAGAATAGTAAGGCCCGTGAATATAAGCTTATTAAGGAGCTACCGATAGAGATTTGGATTAATGAGTAGTAGATCGACAGTTGAGCTGCCAAAAATTGATATCACAAACAGCCTTCAACAAGACTCTTGTTCCATCGTAATTATCTCTTTACACAAGTGACCTCATTCTCGTTAATATTTACTAACCTCTTTTGCCAAGTTTAATGCTTGCTCCTATGTATGTATGTATGTATGTATGTATGTATGTATGTATGTATGTATGTATGTATGTATGTATAATTATTAGTTATTGCCGATGTGATGCTATCTATGGGTGAATGCGCCGCGAATCCTCTAGGGAAGTTCCGATTGCAAGGTAGCCAATGGAGTATTCTTTTCGTGTATATCCGCAAATAGTATTTCTTACATGGATACCATTCAAGTGCCTACCTATGTAGGTAATCGCTAGATACGACTATGTAATTGTAACGATCAAACGTGGGATGAGAGCGGGCTCTATGTAATTAATCCCCGCCTCAGGGGTAGAATATGCTTATATCGGGGTATAGTATTCTCATCCTTACAGCGAAGTAGAACTGAGAGAGTAGAAACATCAAAAATATGGAATTATTAGTCTTTGGGTGAGTTAGGTTGGCCGAGAACCATTTAATTATTTAGCGATAGGATTGAAATGCCTGTATACCACCCACTTTGGGCCTTGCCGGCAACCAGGTTCTGGAAGAGAATTCGGCAACTTGAGTGTCGCTTAATAGACACCAGGTATGATGATGTTAGCTTCATGCTGGCGCCGGAAAGATGCTTTGGGAACTAGTTATACTAAAACAATTCAATTAAACAACTTTTCTGGCTTTTAATAACTACCTACCTAAGTTATAAGTCCTATGTTTGATGAAGTACCTCTTATCATGAGCAACGTATCTAGATATGGTGTAAATATGTAACTGTTTATCGATCTATCTACATCACATATACCCCTCTGTATTAGTGCAATATAGGTGCCACTTTAAGTGTTTTAGTTGACCATTTTCTCTTGATTAATGCTGAACTGCCCCCAATGCCGAAGACCCTCCGCTACAATAGCTGCCGAAGCCGCCGTGGGGCAACCCAAAGACAACGTCGTTTGTCTCAGTATCAAGGACTCTAAGTTTATCTTAATATAAAAAGTCTTATATTTATAGGTAGCAATGGTGAATCTGGTCATAGTCCAACATCCTTTAGGTATTTTTATATGTTAGGTATTTAAGTAAATGGTGATTGTAAATAGTAATATCTTTGGTACTTACCTCTTATGTACCTAGAATTCATTTTCGCAATGATGCCAAAGTTGCGGCACAGAGCTTAGTTTCCTACTGCAAGGACTGCTTTATCGACGGCCAATCTCGGTGTTAATTACGATATCTGTTTTCCGATTTCCTTCTTTTTAGACCCTAGAGATTCGTTATATGGTTCTGACAGCAGAGAGCAACGTTCGTCTCGAGGTCTGAGCGGTTCCATACTTGGTGGATCGCTTTCCCGGGGTGTCTGGCATTAACTGTGGTATGGTATGCATGGAGTGGACTTGGCGGACCCCAGTTAAGAGTTGGCGAACTTCCGAATACGCTTAAGCGATGATACAACCTCGGTTTCTTCTAGTGCAGGTAATTTGTTTTGGTCGTATATATCACAAATCCAGCTACGAATCCAAGAGTTTCGCCCCGTAGTTCGATATAGTACTATGTAGACTTTCTTGCGTCCCCCACGCGTTCGCATGATTGGAACCGAGAGTCATTTCCTGCTAATCAAGGAGACGAGAAGCCGAAGAACATCACTGCCGAGAATATCTGTTTCAGAGAAGAGGCTCTAAATCATTCGTGATAACACATTAGATCCATACCACTCTTCGAATACATCGCAATACGAAACTTCACTATACACTTTATAAAGTCATGGCGCCGACAGAGACAGAACCGCCGGCAACGCCAGCTTTCCTGAGACTATCATATCCGGCACCTCGTGTGCTCCTGATACGAATGGATCGCCCAAAGGACTTGAATGCAATGTCTACGGCGGCTCAATGGGAGATGGATTCCGTCTGGAAATGGTTCGACCTCGAGCCTCGTCTAAGCGTGGCAATCATCACGGGAACTGGCCGTGCTTTCTCGGCGGGAGCAGACTTAAAGGAATGGAATAATTCCATGTCGGATAATGCAGACCCGAAGAATCGTATGGGCAATGCACCGGCTTTCAAACCATTGAGTCGTCGACTTGGAAAGAAACCGGTGATCGCAGCAGTAAACGGGTTGGCAATGGGTGGTGGATGCGAGTTTGTCATCAACTGCGACCTCGTCGTCGCCGCCGAAGACGCCTACTTTGCGCTTCCAGAGGTGAAGAGAGGAATAGCTGCAATCGGCGGTGCGTTGCCGCGACTAATCCGTACTATCGGATTACAGAGGGCATCAGAATTCGCACTTACCGGCCGGAACGCCACGGCGCAGGAGATGTTCCAATGGGGCATCGTCAACAAGGTAGTGCCGAAAGACCATGTGGTAGCGGAGGCTGTCAAGTATGCAGAACTTATCGCGAAGAATAGCCCAGATGCTATAATATGCACACGTGCCGGCCTAAGGCAGGGATGGGAGACGGCGAGCGTGGAACGAGCCGTGGAGTGGACGCTGGAAAAGGAATTTGCTGAGCTGCAAAGGGGAGAGAACATGTTGGAGGGCCTAAAAGCGTTTTCCGAGAAAAGAGAACCTCAATGGAAAGGAAGCAAGCTTTAAGATACCCTACTACGTTGCTTGAGTCAGAATATAGCTTCAAATGAATTTATTTACGAGTCAGATAGATAGAGAATGCCTGGAAGAGATCTGCATGAGGATACAGAGGTATTCTGGAAGCAGGGTATACGAAGATCAGAGGCGAAACGATTGGCTGTAGATGCTGTGTTAGTAAATCTCGTCAGATTTCGTACATGATATTCACATCAAGTATATCATCATGTACATAATTATAATTCCTAACCTAGACACTTGTCGAAGGTTCAACATATTCTAAATGCTACTTTCCTCTATCGTAACTAACGTTGGGATCAATTTATATTCGTTCAGGGGTGGCATGACAAGTGCCGCTTGGCATATGCAACTAGAAGGATGTTGGATGGCATAACGACTTTGCACCATACCTGAAACTAATTGACAAGATACAAGGGCTCCAACGTCTTGCAGTTCTTGGTAGACACCGTAACATTTGAATTGCAAATCCTTACCCGGGGCACCGCGAACGAGAGGCACAGGCCCTAGCATTTTTTTTCGCCGAGCCAATGCAGCTCGCGGTCGTCCACTCGGGTTGATCTCCTCGTCTTCGGCCGCATCTGTGGCGGGTGCTACGAAGGTCGTGCACATTAGGTTAGCGAGGTATCATCAGCTCCAGGATATGCCTACAAACCCATACTGAAGTCACGTCTTCCGTGTTCCCTAAGCGTATTTTCTCTCCGACGAGCCTCTACTTGCCACCCGCTTCAGGAACTAGGTCCGGGTTGAACTATTTTATCTAGACAGCGATCTGCTCGGACCCCCCCAGTATAGCAACTTACGGTTGCTTAGTATGGTAAGTTCATCATAGCCATCCTAGCTAAACCAATAGACCCTTTCTATAGGATCTCGACGATCTCTAGGAAGACTAAAAAGAGGGATTCCCACTTACATACTTTATTCTCCCACCGTCGATCACTCATTTCACGGCCGCATACCCCTCGACAGAGCGGCAGCCTTCATTCTATTGTCCCGTGCGGCTCGACTCTGTCTGGATTCTCTCGTTTAAAGTGCCTCTATAATATGGACAATAAAGCTCCGGTGCCCGTTGAGCGGGTTGAGAAGTTTGGCAAGGAAGTAGATGACGATGCTTCATCGATTAGGTCGGCGGCAAGAGGAGATGACTTGCCAAAGGGTTATTTCTACTCTATCGGATTCCTTGGGGCCGTAGCCGTGAGTAGTAATAGGCCATATAACTCAATATATTTTTGATACTGACGATAACCAGGGGTTCTGCTTGTCGGCTATATCAGCTTTCATCTTCTTACTCTTGCCAACCAATGTGTTAACGTACATCAACGCAGATATAGGTAAGACTAAAAAACATGATAACTATAACTAGGATAAAAAAGGAGCTCTATTAGATTAACAATAGATTAGGTCCAAGCCCTTATATCTCGTGGGTTAATATCGCTAGGACTCTATCCCTATCCTTTACCTATACGATTCTCGGTCGATTGTCAGATCTCTTTGGACGAAGATGGTTCTTCATTGGAGGCAATATTGTTGCCCTCATCGGTATCATCGTGTGCTCAGTCGCCCAGAATGTCGATAGTTTAATCGTGGGTAGTGCGATCTACGGTCTGGGGGAGACAGTTCAGTTGAGCTTCAATGTGGCTGTGGGCGAATTGGTTCCTAACAAGCATCGCCCGATGGTCCTATCGTTGATCTTTGCAACTAACGCACCAATTGCCGGCATTGGTCCTATGATTGGTAAGATATGGTTTAAATTTTAATAGGCAGGAATAATAACTGATTTTCGCGATAGCCCGGGCTGTATTACAGCACCCTAACATGGGATGGCGATGGTGCTACTATCTCAACATCATTGTGGTTTCTGTAGCGATAGTCCTACTATTCTTCTTCTACCACCCTCCAACTTTTGACCTCCTACACGAACGAAAGACTAAGACGCAACTACTTAAGCAACTTGACTGTGAGTTTGATTACCCCTTAATCATTGACACGAAGCTTATGAGGATCAGACGTCGGAATCTTTATGTGGACTGCTGGTCTCACTCTCCTACTCATGGGTGTGAGCTGGGGTGGCACTATTTACCCCTGGAAATCAGTCGCGACTATCTCTTCGATCGTAATTGGAATTGTTCTTCTTATTGCGCTATTCGTTTACGAAGCATATGCCAAGCTTGAATATCCAGCTATTCCAGTTCAGTTCTTCGCCAACCGAGGATTTATTAGTCTTGTCGCTTGCGCTACAGTTGCGACTATGTCCTACTACTCTGCAGTTCTACTATGGCCTCAACAAGTCAAGGCTCTCTACACTTCCGACATCACCTACGGTGGTTGGATCTCTGTAAGCATGCTTATGTATAAACAGGGTATCATTAAGAAACTAACTGGGAATCTAGTGTACCGTGGCCAGCGCTACGGCCTTGGGTCAAGCATTTGGCGGTTTCTTCGTAAAGTGGGGAGGAAACGTTCGATACTGGATTATCTTCTCGACTTTTTCCATGGTCGCATTCGTCGGTGCCTGCGCGTCGCTTACTCCAGATACCTTAAACGCTGGTATTGCTTTCACGATGATCGGTCCTTTCTTCGTTGGCGTCATCGAAGTTTGCGCACTCGCACTCGCCCCCCTTTTCTGTAAGCCTGTCGATATTGGTCTTGCGTCCGGCCTGTTGGCTTCAATTCGATCCGCCGGTGGTTCTATCGCCGTAGCTGTCTACAGTAGCATCTTGTCGAATCGTCTTGCTTCGACAGTCCCCGCAAATGTTGGCCCGGCTGCAATTGCTGCTGGTCTCCCGGCGGAGGAAGTTCCTGCTCTCGTTGCAGCAGTCCTAGGAAGTAAACTCGCTACTTTCCCGGGACTGAGCGACGCCGGAAAAGCTGCCGTTGCTGGTGTGTTACCAATAGCATACTCTCAAGCGTTCAAGACCGTATACTTAGCTAGTCTGGGATTCGGAGGTATCGCCATCGTTGGCTGTCTCTTCTCCAAGAATGCTCAGAAGCATCTCACCGATAAGGTTGAGCGGAAGATGCACGGGAAGGTAACCGGGAAAGATAGCCCAGACTCCGCATCATCGGCATAAAGGGGGGATTAATTGAGTCAAATGTTGTGTTTGTCTTTATCCTTAACGAAAGGACGACGTCTAACGTAGGATTCGTTTTACATGATTTGAACGTATCGTACTTATCTAATGCCTACCTACCTATGTTATTACCGTTCTAAACAATGATACCTATTTGTATTTAAGTAGCAATATTTTAGCGAAAGGTGGAAATCTGATTTATATTATTGATGTGAGAATAGTACCTAGTTGGCCTGCTATTGGTCCTTCTTAGGTCTGCAAACCTCCCTATATTCATGAGACTAATATTATTTTTGGTACTCTTACACAGATGTCGTTATTATGAATATACTATTATTATAGAAGTGACTCAATATTTGGAATGGGTTACCATAAAGGTTTAACAGGCATCTGAATTGAATCAACTTATAAGCTTAATCGGTCCGGGTATGGAACTAAAGAATTGGACCGACGCTTATGGTTGGAGAGATTACCGCTTATGGAAATAGAACAATGATCTGATTGGTGGAGTTGAGACGATAGTGTTGTTGACAAGCCCTATAGAAGTATATTGGAGGGGATACTAGCGCTGAAGGATTAAGTTATGTTATTAAGCTCTACAACGTGGTATTCGGTGCAGCATTTAGCGAACTCTATTCGTTATAGAAGCTACTGATCTCTTAGGTAATTTAACTTGCTTCCGTTATCTTAGGTACCTCTTAAACAAATCGACATATAAATTCCAAAGCTACATAGATTTAACAAGTGACATTAGGGAAAGCCTCAAAGTCTCAACAGGATCAACATCACCCAACCACCTATTTAGCGAGATTACTTATAGCCAGATACTTGGGGAAATGGGAAGCTACCCCGCAGTCGTCTCCTCATTAACCCCAGATTTACTATGCAAACATTGGCATAAATGTTTGGCACACGATGGAGAAGTGCAACGTTGACCTGGAACTATTCCGACCGTTCCATAATACTGCAAAGGAACTGCAAAGGATTCGACCTGGATCATCCTAGCTTTTTGTATAACTTGCTCACCCCCCATGCATGAGTGATTTCGAATCGCGAATGAGATTCCATGCCTTATACCTAGGCACTCGCTAAGATGGAGCTGACTTCAGACCGCTTGGGCAAGATCCGGGCAAGAGCTGGGAAATATCGTTCCACGGCATCGGATCCGCATAAGAGGGATAGGAAGGTAGAAAGAAGTATATAAGATGGATATCCAGGTTCCATGCGAGTGCGTTCCACCTAGGAACCTTCCCCCTCTTGCCTCTCGTCAGTCTAAGCGACACACCAGTAGAAGTTAGATTCACTCCCTGGCTACGTCAAAATGAAGGGCATCTTATCCTCTCGGCTTGTCATCCTCACTTCTTGTCTGTGTTTAAGTACGGTCACTGCCCAGGTCTTCGACCCGAATAAGGGCAGCTCATCGGGATGGGATCCAGCTGTAGTCGGAACGAATAAGACCACCAATGTCACCTTCTCGAATCCCGTCATGACCCTCAATGTTGGAGATCCTTTCATGACCAAGTACACTGCCGACGACGAGGACTGGTATCTTTTCACATACACAACGAACTCTAATATTACGTTGAAGCGTTCGAGATACCTCACTGACAATTGGGATAATGTCGAGAGTAGGGTCGTCTTCAATCCGGATCCTACTAGCGGAGAACCATGGTCGACAAGCTTATGGGCTCCTGAGATTCATAACATATCCGGTTCTTGGTATATTATCTTCACTGCTACATCTGACGGTGATAACCCACCGCCGCTCCTCGACGCCATGTGCCCGATTAACTGTCCCGTATGTCTTCACCTTACAATAAAGCAATATAGTAATAAAAAGCGTATATTTCAAATGGGAATCTAGGAGTTAACATAAACTACAATAGGCAATTAACCATCGTATGTTCGTTCTTGCAGGTGATGGGCCCGATCCTTGGACAGCTAAATTCGAGATGAAACCTATGCTGGATACTTACGACATGTTCGCTATCGATGGCACATATTTCCACTTCGAGGATAAGCTATACCATATCTACTCCTGCTGGGAGCAAAAGTACTCCTCATGGCCGGCCAACTTGTGCATCACGCGCATGTCAGACCCGTGGACGATCAACTCGACACTCTCCGAACGCCGGATCATCAGTATACCAAACGAGCCCTGGGAGCAAGTCCCGTATGGCCGTCCAATACGACTTGCGACGAACGAGGGACCTCAGCAGCTCACGAACCCCAAGACGGGCCAGAACTTCGTCATCTACTCGGCAGCACGCGTAAATACGCCATTCTACTGCCTAGGTATGCTTGAGCTTGTTGGTAACGACCCAATGGAGTACCAATCGTGGAAGAAGCACAAAGATGGATGCGTCTTCCATCAAAATACAGCGACGGGAATTTACGGTACGGGTCACGCAAGCTTCGTCTCTTCGCCTGACGGCTCCGAGGACTATATCGTATACCACGCGCAGACGACGCCGAACCCAGCTTCAGACCTGTTTCGCACGGCTCGGATACAGAAGTTCACATGGAACGAGGACGGCACACCTAAGTTTCCACTTGCGGAGAATGGTCCCTTCTCTGTTCCTGCTGGGCAGAAAGCTCTCACGCATTAATAGACAATAAGAGTTACGATAGAATATATATTTGCATAATAGATAATAGCGAGTATTTTTCTACGTCAATGCGACTCTGCTAATATGATAAAGAGCCTATAATATATACATTTCCATATCCTAACGGCTGTATAAACCCCTAATCTACCTACCTGTATATAATACATCCTCTCGTCCCAAGCTCTTTTTTCGTTTATGCAAATTCGTTCCGAGTCGTATAAATAATACACACAACCTTCCTTTTACCATATATATATAGGTACCCAACCCTAGACGCCCAAATTTAGATATACCTACAAATTAACCCAATCCCATTATCGCGCTTTTCTCGCATATACTTCTTGAGCATAAGAACATCATATCAACCCCCACCACGCAACCATCGTCGCACCAACAACCAACACCTCAGCAGCCCATGAGCCCACCCCTTTCTTCGTCCTCAGCGCCGCTGCACCGCTCTCCGGCTCAACCTCCTCGGCAAACGCACCGATAATGTTCCCGCGCGGCCAGTACTCGCACGCAAGATACCAACCGTAATTCCCAGGACACAGTTTCGCTCCACAACCGACGTCGGTCGTATCGCGCCATACTAACTGCGTAAAATGCCCCGTCGCCTCGCTGAACCCCGGGTCATCATAGTTATACTGTGCATCTTCGTTACCCCATAGATCTACGCAGTCTCCTACGTCAGAGCATCCCAGTGCTAGGTTTTCGCCATAAGGGCCTCCTGAGTGCTTCATGCGGCAGGTCTCTTTTTGGGAATGTGGCGATGAGGAAGAGTGTGAAGATAAGTATCCCGAGGCGAAGGCCGCTAGGGTGTCGTTCCAGCGGACCGTGGAGGCGTTGTGTGCGGTGCGGTGGAAGTTGGTGCTATTGATGATGGCGGAGGTGAAGGTGTCGTGGTTGGTGAATGAAGGGACTTCGCTGGGGATAGGAGGAGCGACGGTTATGACGATTACGGTTTGGCCGCTGACAAGAGGGACAAGGAGGAGGGAAGATATGAGGAGAGAGCGTATGAGGGCGCCGAAAGGGGATAAGGCTTTAATTAGTGAACGGGGGTATATAGCCACCATTGAGGCTATCAAGAGGTTGAGGCCGGAGGGTATTGTATAAGTCGACAGTGGGTTAAGAATTATGGGCAACGCAACAAGTCTATATTCGACTTATACGTTTTAGATTATTGATAGCAATATCCAGCTTGCTAATTGATTTTCCCTTCTAGAGTAATGAAATAAAACTTGGCAATTAATAGTATATGGGTGATGTAATTGTATAAAACAAGGAAGAAGACAATACCACCCAACTCAACAAGAGAAATAATACTATGGTGACTTACAAAGGCCTTTTTCATCCCATCTTTAAAGGTGAACAAAAGAATCCAGGTCAACCCTGACTACGACCCAGACTCACCTCTTAATGTTCCTTACCTGTTAATGACAATACGACATCTAAGCGCGGGCGGCTAAGGACCCAGGTCAGAAGGTTTTTTTCGAAGCGCAGATGGCGTGGAGCTGGCGAGTTTCTAGGAATATGAAGACATATATGTAATAGAGCTAAGCTTGACACGGATGACGTAGCCGCTGAAGGAATCGTAATTGGCGCTTCTCAGCCTATCATGAGTTGGCGCCACTGTCGAGGGGAAACATTTGGAGATAACTTCCTTGGCAGGGGAGTTTTCCATATAAAAAGCGAATAAAATAGGTAACTACCTCTTGGTTAAAGTATGGATTATATAAGCTTGTTAACAATTAGTTATACTTTTTTATTCTATAGTTGTTATGAATGGAGTATATATCGTATCGCATACTTGAATATTTCCATTTCGTCAATAATTCCATAACTAATACCTTTTTTTTTTTTTTTTTTTTAAACATGATATATATTCTCCCACCACTCTATTCAACGCTCACAATGCATTAACCCCTCTTAACCCCTCTTATGGAAGCAATACACCCCTAAAGCGGGCTTTATTCGCCGCACACGACTCCATCGCCTTCGCCGCGTCCGCAAGCGGATACTTCTCAACCCAGCATTTCACGCCGTGATCAACCGAGAACTTAATCGCCTCCTCGGAATCCAGCGCGTGTCCGTTTGACCAGCCGTGCACGGATAAGCTCTTGATATTCATCAGCAGCGTATCGAACGGGACGGGATCGTGCGGCGGGCCCAACACCAGTAATTTCCCTCCAGCCTGCAGCCCGCCGACTAATGGACTAATAGCAGCTGCATTCGGTGCTGTGGACACGATCATCGCTGCACCCCCTAATGCTTGCAGGGCCTTGACTGGGTCTTCTTTGCTTGCATCGATGTAGCCATGCGCCCCGAGCTGTTCGGCGAACTTGCGCTTCGAGTCGCCGGAGCTGATGGCTACGACGTGGTATCCCATCTTGTTCGCGTACTGCACGGCTAAGTGCCCTAGGCCGCCGACGCCCTGGACCGCTACCATATTTCCCTGTTCTACGTGCATCTTACGCATCGAGTTAAACACGGTGACGCCGGCGCATAGTAATGGTGCGGTTTCTGCTGGATCTACTTCTGAAGGCACGCGTACGACAGCTTCTTCTCGGAGGAGTGTGTACTCGGCATATCCACCGTCCCGGCTAACGCCGTTGACTTCCTGGTTATCACACATTTGGAATTGACCGCGTGCGCACTGACGACATGTCCAGTCGTGGCCTATTAGTTATTAGTCTTATTGAATTTCAGTGTATAATATCAGAAGGGTAAGAAGAAACTGACCTCCATGCCACGGCCCGCCTACTCGTTCACCACCCTTAAACCTCGTCACGTTGCTACCGATAGCAACAACATCGCCAACGAGTTCATGTCCCGGGACGCGTGGGTATACATCGTCGCCATACTCGCCACGTTGCGCACATACGTCCGAGAAACACACTCCGCAGGCAAGTATTTTGACGAGGACCTGACCAGGACCCGGGAGCTTTAGCTCTCTATCCTGGAATTCGATGGGTATATTTTTCCCCGTCAGGACGCCGGCCTTGAAGGTCTTCGGTAACGAGTCCGCCATTTTCTCTTTGGTTGATTTATTTCGAGGTAGTAAAATGCCTTATTATATCAAGTAGGTAGGTAAGGTCGATATTTGTTTCAACAGCGAGATAACTTTTACTACTAAGAGCGAATCAAGTTGATAAGCAAACGGCTACGGAAGATGGAAATTTAAGTCGAGGTATAAGACAACCACAATAAGACAAAACGAGACAAGACAAGACAAAGTTTTAATATAGGTAGCTAGGCGCATTAACCAGTAAAATCATCTCCTACTTTACAAAGAACACTCCGATCTAATTATCGTCGTAATAGCTAGGTATCTATGTAAGACCACATGCCTACGATAAGGTGAGTTACTTTCACTTACTTACTATGTAAGCTTATACCCACAACCCGTTCATCACCGAGCCAATAACGGGCGGAGCACCTCCGAGCCCGTCACCACCATCGCGTACGCTGTGTGATCCGTGATCCGTGATACCGTGATACCGCAATGCCAGTGGTTACCCCTCCTCAAGCGACGTCGTACGGCAGCGCACATAGTCGCAACGTAGATCGGGTAAATTGCCTAGCTCATTATTAGCATATACATACCATGTCTGAGCAGCAAAATCTGGGTCTCGGAGTGACGGAGTGGCGGAGTTGATGTCTCACCGGGAACTGTTAGGTGCTACGTATACTACATATATTACATTCCATAATTTACTTACCGCCTCAGCCTGCTCCTTTTTTTTTCGTTTTCTTTTTCGGATATAGGATTTAATCCATCAAGACAAAGTGAACACGTAAGGGGGCCTTTATCTTAATCTAAATACCTCCCCGTAAATACGTTCCAACACCGCTATTATTATGTTCTTAACAGGTAGGTAGTCGATTACTTACTTACCTATTCTTAGACAATGGCGCCAGTCTTATGTAGGTCTCATGTATCCCTATATCTAGTAACGTTGGCATAAGCCAACGTAACACGCGGCATGATAACATAATTTTATCAATTCTCCATTAGTCTCGGCTAGAAACCCTTCAACCACGTAAATACTGAGGTATCAATCGCATTATGAAATATCATACTATAACTATCGCGCCCCTAATGTAGCCAGCGCCGCCTGCAGCTCTCTCACTGCCGTTGGTACGTCCTCGAAATTCAGCGCTGAAATTGCCCACTTGGCGTGTTTCTGTGCTTGCACGATCGCCATGTCATCTGTATTCAGCGCACCCGAGGACCCGCTGTTACCGCCGTACTGCTGCGCCGGGGCTACCGGCTGTGAAGGCTGTGAAGGCTGTGGATAGTAATTCCGACTAGCTGGAGGTGCCTGGGGAGGGACCTGTCTCTGTGGCGGCGGCACGACTGGCGGTGTAGGTGTAGGGCGATAAAAGTCTTGAGGCGTTGAGGCCGCGTCTGGTGGCGAAAAGGGAGCAGGAGGTAATCCGGCTGGATCGTGAGAGCTATGACTGGGTATTACCGGGGGAACTCCTCTGGGATTGAAGGAACCCGAGCCTGGAAGGGGCATATTCGTTGTGGATGGTAGATTTAAGTCATCTGGGGCGCTGGGGAAATAATTTCCTGGGTCTGATGTAGGCGGGCCGGGAGGCGCTATAGGAGACACTTGCTCGACCCCTAATGTTGATGGAGCTGGAGGTGAAGTTGGCGCAGATACGGGCGCAGGGAAGGTTTGATAAGATCCGGTCGATGTTGGATGTGGTCTACCATCTTCGTCGGGCGCGTCCTCTATGCTCACTGGTTTGGGATGTGTACCTGCAAGCATCCGCACTTCTGGGTCGTTCGGGTCTAGTGCCGGCGGCATCTCTTCATGTTGAACCTCTTCCTGTTTCGGGTTTGACTCGTTGGGATCTCTTCCCTCTTTGACCGCCTTCAGTATGCGAGCAGCATTCCACTTTGCGTACTTGACCTTCTCTTGCGTCTCGGGGTCAGGCGTTGCCCAGATATTAATCAGTTGGAAGAACGTCGCCGCGGCCTCAAATGTACTTGCTGTCTGCCTATATTAATTATTAGCATCGGTCTATAGGAACCGCATTACTCTGTAAGTAATTCGTACTGTGTGACTTTGTTGGCTTTCAACGGTCGTAGCGCTCTCTCGAAGGTCTCTTGCGCAAACTGCTCCACGTATGCTTGACCAGCTACATCGTCATGAATTGCATCGTTTCCTGCTTGATCCCCCTTGATCTATGCGAAGATAAAACCTGGTCAGCGCATTGTAACTTGGAACAAGTGATAAATATCTTGCTATCGTACATTCTCGAGTTTCTCCATAAGGTTCGTAGTGAAAAGGTGGCATTCTTCGTCGGCGGAGTGTAGGTTTTTACCAAGGATCTGATTTACAGCCCAGTAGAAGCCTTTAGAATCGTAACGTTAGCAAGTAGAACTCGTGTTAATACGACGACGACGACGACAATTTAACTTACACCAATAAGCTATAACCGGTTTCGCGGCTTCGAGTTGCGTAGCGCGCACGATGAAGGGCGTGATGCCAGCCTGTTTTAGCTTCTGAGGTATGTTGGCCGCCATCGTGGACGTATATGGTCTTCTTTAAGAAGCGCAATTGAGATTCGATGGATTGTAAAGATGCTCGGGATGTATTTGAATTAGTTAGTACCTAGTATATAGACGGCACCTGAATATCAGCGGTTCTTAATTTATGACCGAATTGGGAGAAAGCAAGGTTATTTGGACTAAAATTCGTGATAATGTAAGGTGAGGTTTAAAGCTAGACCATTGATGTCTACGGGTATGTAATGCGTAACTTGCATCAGGCACGACATTTCCAAAACTCCAAACCCCGCTGAAGTCACTATCTGGGTATCTGTGCTAGGAGGTACCTAGTTCCCCACTTCTGCGGGCAGCTTCGGTGTTATGTATTCCTTAAAGATAAGCTGATAAAGATGAGAGCTCGCGCCACAGATTTCTCATCAATATAATGGATGTGTTCCGTACTCTTTCTAGCCACAATGTACCCCAGATTCTTCTATCTGACCAATCAATTTCAATCAAGTAAGCGGGGCAGAGGGGCTTGCATATATTAGCGTCGTAGTTCAACAGCGAATTGGATCGAATTTCCACGGTGGCCTTTTGCTCGATTTAGTACCTAAAGAAGACAGAAAATCATTTAAAGCTTCACCTCTGTCTCTACCACATATCGTGTGACGCCAGTGACCGGATGATCTGTCATGTTCATGTCCAGCATCTCTTCGATTATAAACATATGGGAGTGGAAACACCTCACGGTTTGATGTAACTCTTTCTTTTTCGTTCATCTCATCCAATTCTCTTTTTTAGCTTACCCTGTGATTTTTGCATTATCAAGTCTTATACCTACTTATACCTACCTCTTATAACTATACCTTATTCTATCGTAAGATTTTTTTACCAAGACAGGCCATGCACGCCTTCAATATCAACCCTACTACAGCAATTGCTGCGGTGGCTCTGCTCTCTGCCCTGCCGACTGCCCAGGCTGGCTTATATCTTAAGAGCTCGCCCGTAGTCCAGGTAGACGCCAAGAACTATGATAGGATAATTAACAGATCAAACCATACTTCTGTAAGTATACATGCCTATATGTATATATATATATATACCGTAATAATAGAAAATTAGCCAATAGGACCAACATAAACTAATGGGTTTTATTCTAGGTTGTCGAATTTTACGCGCCATGGTGCGGCCATTGCCAGAACCTCAAGCCCGCCTACGAAAAGGCAGCTAAAAACCTTGAGGGTCTTGCCAAGGTCGCCGCCGTAAATTGTGATGAAGATGAAAACAAGCAACTATGCGGCATGATGGGCGTCAAGGGTTTCCCAACGCTCAAAACCGTGCGCCCTGGCAAGAAGGGGAAGCCGATCGTGGAAGACTACAATGGTCCTCGAACCGCCAAGGGCATTGTAGATGCGGTTGTTGACAAGATCAACAATCACGTAAAACGCGTAACGGATAAGGATCTTGATTCCTTCCTTTCGACCAAGAACGATACGGCCAAGGCTATTTTATTCACGGAGAAGGGTACTACGAGCGCTTTACTAAAGAGTATCGCCATTGACTTCCTCGATGTTATCACTATTGCGCAAATTCGAGACAAGGAGACCAAGGCGAATGAATTGTTTGGCATCAAGTCCTATCCCACTTTCGTATTACTACCCGGTGGCGATAAAGAGAGCATAGTATACGACGGAGATTTGAAGAAGGATGATATGCTCAAGTTCTTGTCGCAAGTTGGCCAACCAAACCCGGAGGCAGCACCCGCTAAATCAAAGGGGGAGAAGAAGTCTGAGAAGAAAAACAAGAAGGCGTCTCCCAAATCTTCCGACTCCAGTTCCAAGACTACCTCAACTGAATCGGAAGAGTCTACCGATGCTCCTCCTGCTGAAAATTCCGTCGAGGTCGCTCCCCCTATCCCAGCTATCACCGAGGCGGACAAGCTAACTCAGGAATGCCTGAACCGAAAGGCTCACACCTGTGTTCTTGCTTTCGTGCCCTCCGCTCACGGAGAGATTGCAGAAAAGGCTTTGACTAGCCTAGCCGAACTAGCATTCAAACACGCCCACGCCCACCGCCACTTATTCCCCTTCTTCGAGGTTCACCACGACAATGAAGCTGCCGAGTCGGTATTCAAGAGTTTAGAACTCTCAGGTGAAGTTGAGATTGTTGCTATCAACGGCAAGAGAGGATGGTGGCGTCACTACGAGGGAGATTTTAGCTCTGAGAGTGTTGAGAGCTGGATTGACGCTATCCGTCTTAGTGAAGGTGCCAAGAAGAAGTTGCCAGCGGGCGTTATTGGCGAGGTCGTCGAGAAGCCGACAGAGTCTGTTGAGGTAAAGATTGAGGAGGATGTTAAGGTCGAGGTCGAGACTGAATCTAACACGTCCACTAAGGGTGCCGAGCCGACTCCTGAGGCTACACCCGCGGTAGAATCGAATGAGGTACCCAAACACGAAGAGCTATAAGTAAGGACTTTAGGTTAGTTAGTATAGTACTAGGTTTTAGTTTCGATCGGGTATAATAATAAAGCAAAAATGCCATATTAAATTTCCTGACAAGGGTTGACTTACCCGCGAGTAAATGAACCTCAAACCTGAACACCTGTCATACTATACCGCCAACCCAAACTCCTTCATAATTCTCTCATCATTCTATTAACTGAACTCCTTCGACGGAGCCTAAGCATCAATATCCATAGCCATACTGGCACCCTTCTCTATCGCCCCTTCAGTCACCATCCTATGTCCCTTATCCCTCACAACCGAATCAAGATACGCGCGTATATTGGCACAGCCGTCCGCCGCCGCGACCATCATTCCCTCCAACCTACTAACCTGGACTCTGCTCTCACAGACAAGTACGACGACCTTATCAGTAGCGCCTAACGTACCGACCGTCAAAAAAGGTAATTCCTGTTCTTCTTGGTTATTCAAGTCAATAAGCGGGTCAGCATTCTCGTCAGCCGCCGAGTGCGAGGATGTACTACCCGCGCTACAGGCGACTAAGTAATCCGTCATAGGGACACCGGCATCGACGAGCGCGAGAGTCGCAGCGTTGATGAGGCAGGCCAGGAGGCTACCGTCTTGTGATAGGATATGTAGGGATAGTGATATAGTAGAGCGCGGGAATAGGTGCGTGTGTAGGACCGCGGCTAGGGATTTAGCGAGAGTAGCTTGGAGTTCTTGGATGCGCCTATTCGGACAGACTCATTAGCATTTGTTCTCTGTACATCTAACTATCCAGACTAGATACTTGTTCAAAGGAAAAGTTACATACTTATCGCTCCTTGCCCTCTTTTTCCTATCCACGGTACTAAACCCGCCGACCACAACACTAACCAAGATATCCGCAGCATTGGTTGTCGAAGCAGAAGTTAATGAGCTGGAACCAGCGGCGGAGGCAGAGGAGGCGCCTTGGTTACGTCGCTTTCCGTCTTCGCTGGGGCCGGTAACCACGCACATGATTTTCGTATTGCCCATTTCGAGGTATGAAGATCCGTCGGCGGCGGCCTGCGTCCGGATCTGGCCGCGCAATTGGCGTAGCTCGTTCCATCTGCGACCGTCGATGCGCAGGAGCGCAAGGTTGTAGGTTGATGTGTCGAGGGGCATTTTTATTTATTTTAATATATATTTTTTATATATATCCTTCCTCTTCCTTTGCTACTTCCAAAGGGCCTTTAAGTGAATTCGTCGGTAAGTTTACTATTTGGTAGATTATCAGGAACCTAATTTGTTGATCGAATATGTAAGTTGATTAATTCAACTTTATCTGTCTTAAGGTTTAAAATTGTTTGTTATCGGTTGTAAAGCACCTGAGCTCTATTTCGTATCTGCCCGTTAGAAATTTTTGGTGGGGTTCCGTGCTACATTCCCCAGACCAAGGCCCAACTTTGTAGCTACCTCTAACTTGTATTAGCATTTATACTAGGTACTCCTTGCTTATATAGAAATAAAAGACTTGTCAATATTTTATGTATGAAGGCTTTAATTTGAACACAACTACCTAGAGATAAAATTACATATCATATACAATAAAAGTGTAATAGATAATACAGTCTTCATTGAGATGCTATTGATTCCCTCCTATGCCGCTACATTATCCAAATGAGAGGTGAATTCCGTACATAAGACAGGTTGCTATAGCCATTGCTACGATAAAGAATAGTAAGGAATAAATAACCCGCCCTTTGTCACCTACTATCTGGCTATCCTTACCATTTGCCTATTCTAATTTGAGCGGGTTATAATACTTTCAATGAAGAATCCGCGTCCTTGTCCTACACTGCGACCATAATGTCTGTATTTCCGTGATCTTTAATAAGGGGGGCGTTGAGGTCCAGCGCGGGAGGTGGTTCTACCTCATCCGCATCAGTCCATCCTCTTTCCTTACCCCAAAGGATCTTCAACCCCCGAGATTTCACTACGTCAATTAGCCCGCGCATGAGCACCCCTGACTTCTTCACGTTAAGCCAAGCCTCGAACTCAATCCGTTCGACCCACGGCATCTCGTCGAGAACATTAGTTAGTAGCGACTTCGAAAATCGCTCATAGAAGTTGTCCGGCTGGCGGAATCCTCTGAAGAAATCGTTTCCCGGGTCGCACTCGACGTAGACCGTGATCTTAGTAATATTTACGCAGTCTGGTAATCCTAACGCAGGGTTTACTACCCAACCGCGAGGAGGGCTACTCCAGCCTGGACCCAAGCGTAGCTCGAGAGAGGTCAAGCTAGCTCGCTGACATGGCTTCATACGGGCCAAAAGCGGCTTCTTGGTTTTGAAATAACGTCCGGGATGCGTCGGGAAGATGCGAACAGGGTGTGTACTGTAGAAAAAATAAGACGCTTCCCGGTATATGGTACTACAGGATCGCAGGATAGCTAATTTTTGGTGGATCCTCTTATAGTTGTCCGGATCAAGGTCAAGTACTCCGCCGGTATTGGCGAAATGGTAACCGTATACCTTCAAGCGCAGTTCGGACGGTAGATCGAGAAATCGAAAGGGTCGAGGTTTCTCTCGTTTCGGTTTGCGTAGGTCTGACGCTGATGCACCTAGCGTGAGGGCGCCAATCTGTAATTTGGATACCTCGTCGCTAACATCGTATTCGGCTTCGGAAGCGTAGGTCAAAGGGTAGGCTGAACTAAGAGGAGTAGGAAGGGTGGAAGAGATAGGTGTCGGGCCCGAGGCATGTCTTACAGCCCGCGAGCCTTTCGCCTTGCTAGGTTTATGACGCATTCTGTATATAATTATGTATATATCGAGTTACTCTAGGACCGCAGGTGACTCAAACAACGCGACGAAACTACTATCGCGCGACAGTCGATGTAAGTTTATAAGAGGCGATGCGAGGTGAGAAGGAAGGTTCTGAGCTAAGATGGAGTTTTGCAAAGATTCGCCCCTACTTAAATTAAGGCAATTGGTGATTAAATCGAGGTACAAGGTGGCATCCCGAGGGTGGTGCCATCGCGATATACTTCAACGACTGCGACCACCCTCTAGAACGCAGCACTCTTGGCTGCCATGTTGGATGAAGAAGGAAATCGGTCGTATGTAGCGGGATTCATAAGAGAGTTGAGTAGTTATGGTTGTTATGACAAATAGGCTAAGAATCAGCAGCCAAATAAATAGGAGATCTCAATTGCCTCAGAGTGAAGAGAGGGGGAATCTACCGGCAGAAGAGAACGGAGAGAAGAATGAATAGTAAGTAGGCGGAAGGTATTGGTATGTAGTACAAGTGGTAGTAGTTGGAGAAAAGAGGTCGAGTCGATTCGATTCGATCTAATATTGGTCGGAGTAAAGTGAAGGTTCAAGGAAGTCTTACTAGGTAAATCGGATTCAGTAACTGATTGATAACATTAGATAATAGGGAGCTAAGTAAGTGGGGTCGAGTCAAGTGATTCGGGGAAGACGGATCAAAGGTGGCGGAGGCCCAATTTTTACAGGTGGACCGGCATTACCTATGCCTAAATTAGGCTTAGTTGATGAAAGTCTTTAAGAGAAGTTTGCGACGGAAAGTCTACATAGGTGTATGCCTTATATTAGTAGTCAATTCAGCTTTTACAATGGTTCTTTATGTATTACAGTTTCTATGTTAACTGTATAAACAATATCGTTTAAATTCCTTACAGACTATTTACTTATATAAAAAGGTTATAAAAGCTAGTACCTAGGTAACTTAGGTACCTAAACATTGAACCCTCCGATGACGTGACGTGGGGCTTATACAAAACGGAGAAAATTGGCGCCGATGCACGGAGTATTCGAGAATTGAGACATGACCTAGGTATGCCTCTAGTACAGATTCTACCTATTCTCATGCTAGGGCAGTACAAAACTTACGTAGTGCGGGCAGAACTTCGGTAAGAGGAAAAAAAATTTGGAGTTTGTCTTCAAAGGTTTTTATCTTTTATCGGTTTATCGTGCTGCGGGTGAGGGTCAAGCTTTAACCTAGAGTGTACTTTAAATTTTCCCATCAGCTGCTATTCAATCTTCTTCGTCCCGTCTTTTTAACGGAGGAGTCGTCTCTGATTTATCTCTGATCTATAAATAAATCCTTCCCAGTATAACAAAAGTTAGGATCTGTGATACGCACTGACGACGATAATTAAGTTATAAGTTGCTTGACCTGCGCAACAAGGTCGGCAACCCGACGTCATGTTGTCTAGAGCCTTCGCGCACTCTGCGCGATTACCAGCGCTCTCAAGATCAGTTATAACAACTTCGGTATTTTCTAGAGTTTCTAGCAAAGCAATTCCAATCAGCCGGCCAGCTCCGATATGGGTGCGAGGTATGGCTAAGGACCGATCTCAAAAAGTGCCACCAAGTACGAGTTCAAACCCTCAATCTACTCCCAACCAACCTTCACCGAGCGCTACTCATTCTCAACCTGCGCGATCCTCTGAAGGCCCCGAATCCGAGTCCCCTGTCTCCAAACCCGACTTGAACTCTCTTCCCGATCTCACACAAGGTATTCCTTCAACTCTCGAATATGAGACGAGTGGCGCTACCGATAAGTCGGCGCTTACAGCCCTCGAAGAGACGCCAGAAACCCAAGCTGGTGGCCGTGGTCGTGGGGAGTTACCTGCGTCTGCATACGTAAGCTCAACAGAGAAGCGAAGGGCTAAGGTAGCCAATCGCATGTACGCCGCGTCGCTCGCACTAGGCATTGTTCTCTTAGGTTATCTAGGCCGGGACTGGGATGAGGAAGAAGCCAGAATGCATACCGATATCCCCAACGGCTGGTCGCTTGGACTATGGTGGAAGAGAATGATGGCTCGATTTGGTGACGTTACAAGTTATTATAGTGAACCCGCCTTCGAAAAGTTACTACCCGATCCCGACCCTATGTTCGAACGACCTTATACGCTATGCATTAGTCTCGAGGATCTGTTGGTACATAGCGAGTGGACGCGGGAGCACGGTTGGAGAGTCGCGAAGCGCCCCGGGGTAGATTATTTCTTACATTACCTCAGCCAGTACTACGAACTGGTGTTGTTTACGAGCGTTCCTTTCGCTATTGGAGAGCCTATAGTCCGAAAGCTGGATCCTTTCCGATTCATTGTGTGGCCCTTATTTAGAGAAGCTACCAAATATAAAGACGGCGAGATTGTCAAGGTTGGTTCTATTCATTTTCCGCAATCGTGTTCGTTCAGTGTCACTAAAACGTAACCTCGAAGGATTTATCTTACTTGAACCGTGATCTTTCTAAAGTCATTATAATCGATACGAAGGCTGAGCACGTTCGGAATCAACCCGAGAATGCGATCGTGCTTAACAAATGGACTGGAGACCCGAAGGACAAGGAACTTGTAGCATTAGTTCCGTTCCTAGAGTATATTCACACTATGCAATATAAGGATGTGCGCGAGGTTCTCAAGTCTTTCGAGGGCAAGCATATCCCAACAGAATTTGCGCGCCGGGAGGCGATAGCGCGCGCCGAGTTCCAGAAGCGGTATGAAACCGAGAAAAGGAAGCGGAAGAGCGGGATAGGTGCTCTAGGAAATATGCTCGGACTGAAGCCGAGTAACATGAGTTTAATGGTCCCTCTAGAAGGCGAGATTAGTCCGAGCGAAGCTTTTGCGCAAGGCAAAATGTTACAGGATATTGCGCGGGAGAGAGGTCGACGCAACTACGAAATGATGGAGGAGCAGATCCGTGAGAACGGAGAGAAGTGGCTTAAGGAGGAGCAAATGGCGAATGAGAAGCTCCAAGCCGAAGCTATGAGTAGTATGAAGTCGTCTTTCACGAACTGGTTTCTACCCACGAAAGAGTCGGAAAATTCTACCGACCCTAAAAAAGAGGCGTAGAGGGGTTAGGAATGCATGTAATCTATGAAAAATTGTATGATATGGAGAGCGCTCATTGGGGGGGGCGTCGAATTGGTCGCATCACGGTTGTATAAGAGGACTATGAGAACAGCCACTGCTACCACTATTACTACCATATTACCCCGGAACGAAACTCTACTCTGAAGCGGCGGCATCACACTTGCATAGGATGGATTATATTAAGATAGGGGAGAATCCACCACGGCTACGGCTAAAGAAAAAGGTGCTCATATCATATCTGAAGGTGTACCTGGAGGAAAAGGGACAACTTGAAGAAGGAGAGAAAGACGAAGGATACACGCCGAGATAAAACCTAATCTCTGTATTATTGTAGTATAAGTGAGCGACTCGAGGCTCGCCTACCCGGCCTCAGATTGCGGTGTATAGAATCCATCCAGCAGCTTCGAAGGAATCTTTTTGAAAGGAGATGTCATCATCATGTGATATTATGATAAATATTTTGCATCGTATTGTTTGTGTTGTGGTTACCCCTTGATACCAAAATAGCAAATAAGATGTAAATTTGATCTCAGATTTCCAGAAGGTGTACGTAGCAAAGTGAAACGACCCGTCGCCGCTATCATTGTCGCTATCATCCTTCTAGCCTCCCGTTCATGTAGTATCTCCCTATTGTTGCTTGGCATGAAAATGGATAATGATAGGGGGCAGCCACTTTAAGCCTTCGACGATGAGGTTGGGTTCTCGTCACCCCAAGCGTTGTGGTCACGACACCATTCACAATTCAGGTTGGTCTCGCATTGGAAATCTCTATAAGGGTAAATTAGTCGGTTATGAATAGTATATGTGACTATATTGTAAGAAATAAATAACGGGAAATAAAAGGCGGTCGTACTCGTCCTTGCACTTGCAGTACTCCTCGATCGAAGTGCAGTCCGGAGTGGCAGCAGCCGCAAACTCGGCAACCGGAGTCGGCGGAATCGGGGCTGTGTTAGATGGGACGGCCACGGCGACCACACCACCACAGATGGCGAGAGCGAGGGCAAAGAAGCTTGAAGAATGCATTTTTGGTTGGTTATATAAGACAGCACAGAACAAAATGTTTGAGTTGGTTACTTCGATGAGCAAATTCTCTCAAGAGCTGATGTATGAAGATCTATATATTTATAGAAAAAACGTAAGTACATTACCTACCTAAGTTATCTATAATGTTAGATATAGTTTCATAATCAAGATCCAAGCCGACTCCGTATGAATCTTAGCCGAAGGTATCACATATTCCCCCTTAGTCATAAGCGATCTTCGTTTACGGCAAGTAAACAAGCTGGTTTGGTAGACGGGCGCTTCTTGTACTCGCCGACTCTGACTCAAGCCCTGACAGGCTACGTGAAACGGAAGCATGGTAGAATAGTTACAGCAGAGATGGCTAGATGATATGAGGATCAACTTATCCCGTGGTCTTCTACCGCTAGATTTTCACCGCTATTTATTCTATTATGATATTACGGCAGATGTTGCAATATCACAACGCATCGTGTTCCCCCCCCCTTTTTTTTCCCTCTCTCTCTGTCTTTCGAGTATTCTTCCTCCTTTTCAGGCCACTTGCTAAGCAAGACTTTCGAAGAATCTTGAGGAAGCTTGATCCAAGGCAGGTACAAGCAGAACCAACGAATCATCTTGCCGTAGCACGATATCGTCCATGTGGATAAGTTCCCCTCGTGCTTATAGTTATTGTGAAGCATCCTCATGCCGCACAAAGGAAGCGAACCGTGGATGAGGATCTTTGTGGTATCAACCAAAACAAGAATTACTTTGAAACAGGAGTATGGTGAGCCGACGGGGAGCTAGGTATAGAGCCGTTATTGTAACTAACTGCCTGTATACAGAACGTTTCGTGCAACTAATCTGGTTTGTCGGTGTGTCAGCTATCTAAAATAGATCAATTTTAGAATTTACTGGTTAAGTCGCAAGGTATATATGTGAACTGAGAGGTTAAGTTTCTTTGACTTACAACATAATTATTTTTAAAACTAAGCCATAGTAATACTAATAAACCCATATTTCACTCTTCTAGATAAAATAATGCTTAGTATATACTATTTAGCTAGAAGAAGAGAAAAAAAGGTTAACTACTCCGAATACTGGGATGTAGAATTCCCCTGATCTTCTGATTTATGAAAATACATATCTCTTCCATATTCGATTCATCTAACGTGGCTTGAGTCGAGCCAAGAGATCAACAATCTTAGCAGCATACTTTTCATAATCTTCGGATGATGAATTATACATAATTCCCTAAAATTACGCCGGCTTAGCACTTGTAGAGATCCCAGAAGAGTAGAAGTAGGAGAGGCCGTAAAGCTTCAATCCCCTTCAATCCAGTACCTCACCCGTCCGTACCACCGAACTCCGGCCTAGAACAATCCAAAGGCCGGCTAGAGACGAATTGGAAAGCCATGTGCTACCATCCCGCGGTAGCACAACGACGACTCAGATCAAAACACCAACCCTATCCCTCGATCTTTTACGATTCACATCTAAGCGCCCAACCCCCCACACCTCAGGTCCCTCACCCGGTAATGATGCCGTCACACCAAACAATGGCAGATGACTAAGTAACTGCCATACATGGCCTGCGTATGCATGCGTACAAGTACGACATTGGATCTACCGAACGCACATAACCGTGTCGCCAAGCAGGGCGGTGTTCCACGTCGATCGGATCATGTAGCCTTCCGCCACCGTTAGCTTGACGCCTGTAAGGAGCAGCATATACCCCGTGTGCGATTTGGACTACTTACCGAGATTAGATTTTGAATAGAAGGGAAGAGAAAGAAGGGATGAATAAGAAACATCAGCACGTATTCTTAAGGTATCAACATAATAGCATCTCTTACAGACGGGTCGCCATATTACGAGGCCGAACGAGCAATGAAGCTTCGTAGTGGTAAGTGGTATCTTTAGTCACGATTAAATACTAGGTATCCCGGTCCCCTATTTCGCCGCACGCCCGTCTCCAGACCGAGGAGTCCCCCCCTCCTGAGTTTTATGTACAAATATCTAAATATACAGTAGCCCCTTTCGTACCCCAAGCTGTCATATGGTACATGACCGTCGTTAGAAGTAACCACTCGGATAACTAACGCCGCTTTAACTCCCCTCAGATAAACATTTAAAATGCCAGCTAAGACTCTGATATTGGTGATAACGATTAAAAAAAAAAAGATCTCCTCCCAAAAATGCGCGCTCGTGAGAGATAGCGAAACTTCATCTAGACGCCCCCTCACCCGTAAATATAAATACTCTAGATTGCTTCCAAAATGGAGTGACAAAGTCGGTAATAAAATGCTATTTTTCAAGTACCGCCGACCCCGTCTGAAAAAAGAAGTAATGGCCACTGCATGGTGGCCGTAGTGGTCGTAGGAGTCCCGTTGATAGGCACTGCCATACCCAGCCCGTTGGCCCCGGTGCCGTCAACATGTGTCCCGGGTCTCGGATCGGAACTACCTAGGGACATCAAAGCAGTAGCGCTATATCTCTCTTGGTTATCTACGATGGCGGCCGTCCAGTCCTGCCAGGTATTTCCTCCCGAAGGCTGCTGCCGCCACATTATATGTGCTGGTTGCGTCATCTGCGTAGTTTGCGTAGCGAATGTTGTAAGTGGATTGTGGTCCGTTGCTTGGACTTGAGCTTGAGCTTGTGCCTGCACCTGTACTTGGGCATGCGCGTGAGCATGAGCCTGCGCTTGAACTACGGCAACCTGCCCAGCTGCTTGCGCATATAGGAAAGGATTGTTCGGGTCGTAGGCGATAGTATTGGTTGGATGCGTAGTAGAGTCGGCGTACGAAAGCGAAGTGTATGTTCCCGACTCGGAACCTGCTTCTGTGTAGTAATTGTTGCGCTGTGCTGCGATGACGTGGCTTGCCGAGCCATTCACCGACTCTGTATCGTTATGGTTGGGGTTAGAATTTGGTACCGCAGGTAGACTAACGTAAGCTGGCGAGTGCGGGGACTGTTTAATTATGTCTTGTGATAGAGGTGGTTGCTGAACAGGATCGTTGGTCTTTTGAACTTGAGCGTGTTCTATCCAGGTGATGGTGCGGTCTATGATAGAGGATACGGCATCATGGAGACCCATACCGCAGTCTATGATAGTGGGCACGCTATTAGTGACTTACGAAATCAAAATCGAAATCGAAATATAAACTTACCCATCATATTGCCAGTCTCGGCGAGGAGAGTTAACCATAGTTTCATATCCTCACGAAGGGATTGGACCTCGGCCGCGTCGGTCTCATGCCGTCTCTCCCAGTGTGCAACCAAAGTCGAAAATATCGCTGTGACGTATATAGCAAGACAATACCATGTGGTGTCTAGAGACTTTAATCTGTACAGTTTATATAGAATCCCAAGCAAATCTTTTGCAGTATCTTCACATATCTTCGTGTTTTCAGCCATTATTTTTGAATTATTTGCTATACAGGCGGCCGGGTGCCGTAATGTGATCCCTAGAATACTTGTATTAGTAACCGGTGTGTAGATATCGTATTTGGGGTGAGGTCTAAGGGATCATTTATATGATTATCCATAGAAAATCCCGAAATATAAATCATAGGTAGAGTTTGTCGTTGAGCGTTTGGGGGCGCTTACTAAATTCGAGGGCCATATATTCAGCATAAAGGGCAAACATGGATTGATCATGCTCGGATTGCCCCATGCCACGGTACTTTAAGCCGGGAGGGAGATTTTCTCTCCACGTTTCGAGTTGTTCTTCGAGCGCCTCAATTACGGGAAGATATCTGCTCGGATCCTTTCTTGCGCAATATATGTTCGCAAACATCTCAAGAAATAACGCAGATATTCTGAAGGCAGAGACGCCAATCTCGTAGCGGCACGTGGCTGTTCTTGTGGTATCAACTCCGTCCTCAGTTAGAAGTTCATCCGGTATCGTCTCTGGAAATTCAGTATCGATATCTTCCAACCGAATGGGCATAGGACGTCCCATTCGGCCGTTTAATGTAACAGCTGTCGAAACAATGGCCCACCATATCCGTTTTCGAAGCTCATTCTCAAGGTTAGTTTCCTCGCCGGGGCTCTTCCAGGCGCGGTGCAAGTTAAGTTCGATAGCCATAGCTAGAGTATAGTTGCTTAACATATTACTAGTTGTAGACTTAGGAAACCGCATTGTGTGCACACAGAGCATAGCTAAGGCTTGAACGTCGTACAGGGTCTTGGATGTGGAGAGGTCGAAAAACTTGCTTAAAGCAAAGTGATAATGTTTATTAGATAAGTCGTTTAAGCGAGCCCTCTGGTCAGGTTGTTCCCGATTCCGAATTCCATATTGGAGGTATATCGAGGCAAATACTAGATGAATCATGGTAGTTTCGGCTACCGTAGGCTTGAAATTAGGGTCGTCGTAAAGACGCGATAGCTGAGGCGATTATTTAATGAGTTAAAACTAAATATATGTAGGTATAACAATGTGTACTTACGAGTGTCATAAAGGTGGGCTTATGTAGGATTGGGTGAAAGGGGTAAATCATGAGGAAATACCATTCGGCGTACGTGAAAGCGTCATCTCTAGGTGGATAGTCGACATGTAATACCGGGTTGATATTCGTAACAGACTGCATCATAGCCTGGGCGGATTTGTTGTAAACCGGAGTGTGAGCTGGAGCATCAGGAGAGGGCTCGTCCATGTCCGGTGCATCGAACGATCCGATATCTATGGTGCTTCCGAGAATTGATAAAGTCGTGCCTTTGATGGAACTCAGAGGAGCCTGGTCCGCACCAACTCCTATATGAGCGTCTGTCGGTCTTGGCTCGACAGCAGAACGCAATGTGCTTGCGTAAGGTATACTAGAGAGTCGATTTCGATCCTTCGTCCAAGTAGATGATCCAGGTTGGTTCCATTGAGTCTTTCCTATGGAAATAGAATCTGGTATCTGACCGCTTAGATTATCAATACCCCCATCAGTAGAGTTATTGGCCGAAGAGAATGAACGCGAGTGTTTAATTTCAACACCATTTTGATAAAGAAGCTTTTCCAATTCTCGAATATGATTTAACATATCAGTCTTCTCGCGCTCTAACTGTTGCATATATCCTCTTCGCTCCGTCCGGCCTGTGACTCGATCTGTTACGTAACATTCGAGGTTCTGATTGATGCAATGCGAACAACCCTCGGGTAGAGCATCGCAGCGGATCTTGCGAACCTAACGTGATCTATGTTAGATCTCGGCTGCTTGGTATTGGACAAAGGAGTGAAGAAGCACGGCGTGGCTAAATTCGAAGAACGGTGTCGTTTGGGGGGAGGGATTCGGTGCAACGATTGTCTCTCTCTCTCTCTCGTTCCTCCTTTATTTCTTCCTCTAATGTAACCGGATGTTCAGATTAAAAAACATACCTTACACCGGTCGCATGCTTGTCCGGTCCTTGTGTAGGATTGAAGTTTGCTCTTTACGACACTCGAGAAATCGCTAGGAGCGGCACGGTCGCGGTCTAGGCGAGGCAGCTTGCATTTGGCGGCGCCATCGGAAGGGTCGAGGTCGGTAACGTCACCAGGCCGTTTCGGCGGACGGCCTGGAGGCATGGCAACACGAAGCTTTAGAGGCCCGCGATTTAGGAAAGAAAAAAAAAACCTACAAACCTACAAGACCTGCGGTTCGTTGGCGCACAATGGTTGGAGCTTGTTTCGCGACAAATCGAAAATGGAGTTTCCCGAAACTCTAAGACCGGACGACTTGGGGAGGGCCTTACCTAATAAGAGCTAGCTAACAGGTAGCAGGAGAACCTTGGAAGGCAGTACCTAAACAGCAGGAGGCAGTTGAAATTCAGTACAAGCACTCAAGGTACGCAATGCAGGCTTGCAGGCGTGCATGTATTGTATGTATTGCATGTATGTACCTATATTAGCGTACATTATGTACATCTTACCCAGATAAGGGTGCATTTGATACATGTATACATATATACAAGTACACGGACTCTGAAAGTCTATGCCATTGTGCAGTTAGTCAATCTGAGCTCAACTTTAAAAGAGCTTAATCCAAATTAGCTTTATGTGCACAGCCTCCCTTTTCAAGTTTATTTTCAAGTTTACCTATGTATTAATTATTGTGTATAGGAAGGAATACGAAATGTCCGTCACAGGAAATGTCAAGTCAACGGGGGGAAACGGAATATGCCGCCGTGCTCGGTCTTGATTCTAAAACCCGTCGCGCATTATTCAGATCGAACGGGTCTCAACCAACGATATGGAGATGACGGGACCACGGGGATTTTTTTATTTTTTTTAATTGTTAGTGATATCAACGCAAGGTGCAGTCAGGGTGCCATCAGGGCGTCTACTTGTCTCATTCGCTATTCGCTATTCGCTACCCGCCATGAAAACCTCCACCTAAGAACGACATGTCTGTTTCTGCATAGCTCGTGCCAGCCAGGACGCAAGGAGCCGACCAAGTCGGGGTTTTGTCTAGAATCAGGAATCCGATCGATAATCAGAGATTACGTGCGAGTGCGAATCCGAGCATCATCAGCAGACGATACAAAGCTTCAAGCGTCTCGATCGAACCATCCTGCAAATCAATAAAGGTATTCATCGGTAATCGGATTGGAATTCTAACGACAGCCGATTATGACGGACCTGTGGCTTACTAGGGAGATCAACCTCATACGATACGGATGTTTAAAAGATAAAGTCAGATCATAAAATTAACGGTATAATTATAGTTGTCATATACTAGGTTAGTTAGTTAACTATACTATATTAACTTCTCAGTTCTAAAATTGCAGGAAAAAAAAAGGAAACACTTCCAATTATACAAAATTTCTGTTATACAAAAACCGTACTAGCGTCCTTCAGGAGCCTCTCGACTTTTGCTTAAGCTCTAGAGATAGGGTCTTGGCTTGAAACCTAAGCGTATATTAAACCAGGTTACTAATAATACGTAGGTAAGTAGCCCCGGTCACAATGGGGTTTCTAGAAGGATGGGTAACATAGATGACGGAGCCGCCATAATTACGCAACAAAATAAGAACCTAAAATAGACTTACCATGATGGATATTAAGGGACTATGCTTCAATTTGAATAGGAGAATATAATTTTCATTTCTATTTCCATTTCTGTTTATATGTTCATAATTTGGCTATGCTAGGGAGTGTCGGTACCGAAGCCATAAGAATCCCTATCTTAGATTATCATATCATAAGCTTTACCTGCTTCGTCCGCTTCACTTTTTTCTATATTAGTATACACGGCGAAGAATGTTGGGGGCGGTGATGGCTTAAAATGTGATTGATGAAACGAAATGAACCAGATGGTCGGGTCAGCACAACATTATCAGATATCCGACACGGTTCCAATTATTTATTATATTTATTAGATCTATTTATTAGTATGTCATGAGACTTAGTGGTAGCCTCGTCATACCATTCCTTAAAGTTGAGATGTGACGATTGTCTGAAAAAAGGGGTTTAAGTTACCAGGAAGCAGGAAGATACATACCGATAACGAAATATCTAACATAAAATAGTAAGCGAACCAGCTGCTGTCAACTGTTCGTCGTGCCCCTCCAAGATACCTAATGTACCCCTCTCCGCTAGTGAAACCTAGTGAAACCCACTATCAGTTATCATTCCAAACACTTAACTACACTACTGCATAGTTGAAGTATCATCACCATTCACCCCGGCGACTTAAATTTATAACTCTTTTGATACTACAAAGTCGGAATTACGGAATTTGCCAACGGGCTAGCTAATAACAATGGCCCCTCCAAGCAATATTCAAGTAGCATCATCAAGCTTCATAGAAACTATCAAACTCGAACACGTGCCTTCAACATATACAGTTCTCGTTGGTCTCTTTAAGGACGTTACAAACGCAGAGTTCCTACAACAGCAACTTCTTAGTCGGAATGCCGAGTATGAGTATGCTTTCATCGATGCCAGTTCTGTATGTTCCCGTCTTTTAAATTTTATACCTATTATGTCGTCTATGTACTCTCATTTCCTAAGATAGGTGTATAAATACGTATACCTATATAAATCGGAATATGAAAACATTTACATACTTGTTATATTTATACATTCAACTTATAAGACTAAAAATAAGTACAAATAATGTTAAAAATAAGCTATACTAATCTGATTATCTCACCACCAATAGATAATATCTCGTGTTCAAGTCTTAGCCGCCGTATACAAAGCGATAACGATACATATGAGCGGTAGCATGAAAACGCCCAATGTTCATTCTGAGATTGTGTGCTCCCTCAGCCCAAACAACAATGTACGTAGCAATACGTCTCGCCCCTTCTTATTTCACTCTCATCCATAAACTTGTTAACTTATTCCTATATCTAACAATATCCAGATCTCAGAAGCTTACCGCCGCTTCGGTATCACACCAAGTAGCAAATACCTAATCATTGTCAAAGTACTAGTATCACCCTCTACCCTCACACCCGAAGCAGTACAGCAGCACCTCCTTGATAATGTTCAAGGCACACCCACCCAATTCACAGACGAGGTCCTGCAATCGGGCCTTACAGATCGGGCTAAGGTGCGCAAGTACTACAAGCTGAACGGCATTGGCTGGCTAGACGGTATTAAGGATGAGTCCCTCCAACGTAGAGAGACCGAGCTACTAGTGATTGGGAGCATGGCACTGAGAAGTCTCTAACTATAGATATTAAGGCGAAGCGCAAAAAGGACGTAGTTAGGTAACCATATATAACATTAATAGTGGCTATTGATAGCTTTCGGTTTTACAACCGTAAGTTTCCCCCTAGCAAATTGAGGTGATCCTGCTCTCCCCTGATAGTAAATATTTATATCGAAATCCTATTAATTCGTAATTCATTGCGCCCGCACACCTAGACGTAGTAGGGTATTTGTGTGCTTCTCTATCGAGTCCCCTATTGGTACTCAACTCGCCTTATGCTGCAGCTGTTCTAACTCGTAACCCCTAACTTTAATACACCTCACGCCGTCGCTAATCCTAGAGAAGTCTTAAAACGCCTCTTAATCTCATTCCACATGGCATCACGCCCGCTCTTCGTTCTTGCTACTGCGTCCTTATTTTCGTTCGCTCTCCTGAGTAAGTACTTCATGCACTCGCCTGTTGTACCCCAAACGATGTACTTATAAGCCTTTGGCACGTCACCCTTGTCCCGGACATAGCCGTCGCATCGCCGTGACGCGCAGACTAGCTCGCAACTGACCTCATCCGCCATGCCCTGTAGCTGTGCAATCGCCAACTCCGTGGTACGGTCGGACTGCTCGCTATCTCGGATTGCCCGTGCCCGGCGCACCGACTCTAGATTATGAGACCCTAATATAATACTGACACGCGGGAATTTGAGGTCTTCTTCCGGCGACTTTAACACGGAACCCCACTGCCGGCAGATAAGGCTCGTCGTTATTCCATTGTACGTCGCGTCTGTGTCGGCTTTGGTATCGTGGATGATGTACCGTGGATCTGAGCCGAGGTATGCGCCACGCACGAGTTTGACACCTAACGTGAATCCCTCCTTGGCCGCCACCGCGAGGTGTTCACCAAGTGTCGCTGCTGTGGATTTCAGATAAGCTTGATATGTGCCATAGATAAGAGCATGACCAGGTATCTTGTTATGCTTGCGCTGGTACTCTAAGGTCCAGTCGTCGATGCCGGCCTGAACCGTCATCTGTTCGGCATCGAATAGCAGAGGCACATCCCTCTCCGCAGCCAGGGCACATATTTCGTCGATAGCCTTGCGCAGATGCTTCGGCGGTGGTAGGCGATTCTTGAGCGCATACAATGCTTGTCGTCCGGCACCAGTAAACTTGAGCGCGACGAAGTCCCCAGGCTGCGCGAGTCTCACCGTCTCTAAAGTTCCTGCCGCCCAGGGACTAATTTCGTTACGTACGCATTCCTCGGCTACGGATCCCTCTTCACACGCCGAGAGCTTCTGAGTCTGTGCGTCGGTGAGGACGATCTCTCGGGCGTACCCCAGGATAACACCCGTAAAGCCGATCTTCTTGAGGCTGTCGATAGTATGATGAACCTCAGCCGCATTCTCACCCGCGCAGAATTGCGCGTAGAACGTCTTCTTTAAGAACCAGCGGAGCAAGGGGTTTTTATCTGGGTTTAGGACTGGCTGGTTGGAGTGTGCGAGGATGTTCATGATGGCCAATGAAGGAGGTAATAGAATTGGAGAAGATGATATGCTAGTAGTGGCTAGGTTACGTAGCACTGTGGACAGAGGAAGAACTGATAGTGGCGCGGATTTTGCCATCGGAATCGAGTCACCCGGTACTTCTGAGGGAAGATGGCTTACAGATGCCGTAGCAGCTAAAGCAGATTGGTCTGCGGGTGGTGAAGGTCTCGTTGAGGAAGAGTGTATCTTCCTTCTCGTCGTCGAGACTACCCTGAGTTTTTGGTTCGAGCCATTGCGACTTACGACATAAAGGCCGCATTGCGGATTCCTTATCGCATTTACATATATTGGCAGAAGGGACGACCTGCTTAACACCGAACTTCGTATCATTGTTAGCGTTTCGCGGTACTTGGACGACCTTGAAAGTTGAAAGTAAACTGGATAGGTTATGAGAGATAAAGGATGGTAAAGTATGAGCGAGGGATATAGGTAGGAATAACACGAATGGGAGTGCTTATGCAAATATAATGAACAAACAGGAACAATGGAAAGTATCAGTATGGGAGCGGGATGCTGTACTTTAACTACATATATGTATCTTAGATTTCTACTGCTGTGTATTTTAGGTGAACTCTTTATCTCCGGCATCGCAACGATCTCAGTCGCGTTGCTAAATGAAACCCGACTGGAGCGCATCGAACGGCATCAAGGAAAAACCTCGAGAATAGCGAATAGTCTACCTCGAAGCTCCGATATTCCAATCACGACTCAATGACAATCCACCGGGAGTTCTTATCATTGATGATCACGTGGACCCATTGAGTTCAAGAATGCCGTCTATAGCCGTGATGCAAAGATGCAGCAAATGCAGCCATTGTCCAATCAGAAGCCGCATCGTGGGGCAGCGGCATGAGAGGACCCGGAAGAGTGAGTAATAGACTGAGGCTAGTGCGCGTAGTCGACCTGACAATCCCCTGGCATATTGTGGTCCGGTCCGGCTGCTGAAGGTGGCCGAATATAGCAAGAATAACCTGCGCAGAGATTCTCCATGGTTCGAGGCCTCCGCGCTTAACGTGGGGTACACTAACCTAAGCCGACTGGTAGACCCTGACATAGGTTTGCAGAGAGATTATATGCGACGTTGGCCGAACCCGCTGATTCATAATGATGGCTTGTCGGGTAAACTATAACGTAACTCGATCTCATGGAAGTAAGCCATGTGCCTTATTAGCCAACTAGCAGCCCGTGATCATATCTCTTTGACACAATCCTCACCAGCCAGAATGCTGCCAAAAAAAAAGGTCCCATACTATGATGACCAGTATCTCTTTTTGAGGGCATTCTGCCAGCGTCTCAGTAGTCATGACAACCTTTATCTTTCTCTGTGGTGTACCTAGGTAGATACCGCGTCCCATCCGAACAAGTGGGTAAGCTGTCTAGTGCGGTTATTATAGTACTACTCCTATGCATGGAGCCGCAGTGTAGATATACTGTTAAGGCCGAGACCGAGCTAAAGCCTACAGCCCTTTGCGACGCTCTCGGCACAACGCGGATGTAAGTGGGTGTCTACAAATCCGTGATGTTAATAACCCTAGTTTCATGTCGTTTTCTCCTCAAGTTGGGTGACCTTTCCGATATGCCTCCGGATGAACTCGATATATCCAACAGACCGGCCTTTAGCAAGAGACACCATATCCTGGGCAGCACCGTATGCGAATCCGAATATGAGGCCTTTTCTAGCAGTCCTCGCAGTTTCCGCAGCTGAAAAGCGATCTACATTGAGATAAGCCATTAGATCAGGATAAATCAAAGCGACTAAATCAAAAGTGAAAAAAGAAAGAAAGAAAGAAAAGAAAAGAAAAGAAAACCCATACTCCAAAAACTGAAGCCACCAGCTACAGCTAGACTGGCCATCACGGTGCTGAAAAGATCCTTGGTGCCTCGGTATACATCAAACAGATTCTCGGCACAGAACATGGAGGTACTCAGAACACTGAGTCTCACACCGACCTTAAATCCTTCCTTCAACCCACCATATGCCAAATGGTAGTTCTTGCTCTTGTGGTATAGGTACCACCCGGTTGTAGTTGTAGGTAGTCTATGAGCATGTTCGGCTCTAAATCGTAAGCCGGCCATCTTACTACCTTGAGCGAGACCCAAAGTCATGCCTACACCAAATGCTGTCAACGCCGCAGCTGGAATACGAATTAAAGGCGGAATGGATAAGCGAGAATCTTTCCATAGCTGAGCATATTCTTCTCGAGTGGGAGACCACTGACGTCTAACCTCGCTGTCGCTGTCGGATTCTGTCATATTGGACTATACTGGACCGAACTGGACTGGACTATAATCTTGATATAAGTAGTTGTACAAGAATATTGTATGGTGTTAATTATGGTGTTAATTATTCGGTTCGGCAGAAATAATTAATCTTTGCAGGTTTAGGCAAGTGGGAAAGCTTTAAGAACAAGAGGCAACCCCGTTGGGTTGCACAATAGCCTTGAGTTTACGTCGAAACCAAACCAAGCCAAACGATTGATTTGATTGGTTAAATCTCGTAAAATGGCCATCTAGCCTCGGCGCGCCAAAAAAAGTCGCATAACCATATTTTAAAATAAAAAATCTTTTTTAAAAATAATATAATTTTTAAATTTATTTAATAATAATAATAATAATAATAATAATAATAATATTTTAAAATTAAATAAATAAATTTTAAATAAATTTAAAATAAATTTAAAATATTATATAAAAATATTTTTTATTATTTATATTAAAAAATAAAATATTATTATAAAAAATTAATAAAATAATTAATAAAAAATAAAAATAATTAATAAATATAATAAATAAAATTTATTTAAAATAAAATCAATTATTTATATTAAATAAATTAAAAAACTATTATAAAAAATTAATAAAATAATAAATAAAAATAAAAAAATTAATAAATATTACATAAATAATTAATAAATATAAAAACTAATAAAATTTATATTATTTTATTATTTTAAATTTAAAATTATTACATTATAATAACAATATTAATTAATATAAAAAAATAAAAAATAAAATATAAATTTTTTATTAAAATTATTAAATTAATATAGTAAATTAAAATAATATAATAATATAAATTTTATTAATTTATATATTTTTTAATAATTTTTATTTTAAAAAAAATTTAAATTATAAAAAAAATTAAATTATAAATAAATATAATTTTAAAAATATTAATAAAATTAAAATTTATAAATATAATAAATATTTAAAAAGTTTATTTATTAAAAAATTTAAAATAATATAAATTTTAATTTTTTTTAAAAAAAAATAAAAAACTTAAATATAAAAAAAAGTTTATTTTTTAAAAGTTTTTTTAAAATAAAATAAAATATAATAATATTTTAAATAATAAATTTCGATTAAATAAAAAAATATATAAAAATAAATTTAAATAAAAAATATTTAAATTAATAAAATTAATAAATTATAATATTTTAAAATTTGTTAATTTATACGTTTATTAATCATTTACGTAATATTTATTAATTTTTTATAATAAGTTTTAAATTTATTTAATATAAATAATATTTATTATTTATTATTTATTATATTAATTTTTTATAATAATTTTTTAATTTATTTAATATAAATAATAAATTATATTATTTTTATTTATAATATTATTACATTATAAAATTTAAAATTTATTTTATTATTAAATATATATTAAATAATTTTAAAATAAATAAATTATAATTAAATATTTTTATAAAAATTTTATAAATTTTTTTAATATTTTAATTTATAAATCATAATTTTTTTAAAAAATTTAAAAAAAATAAATATATTAATTTTTAATAAATTAATATTATATTATAATTAAAATAATAATTTAATATAAATAACTTTTTAATATTTTAATAAATATTAATAAATAAAAATAATAAATTATTTTATTATTAAATAAAAATATATTAAATATATTTATTTTAAAATATTAATATAATTTTAATTAAAAATAATAAAATATTTAATAATAAAATATAAAAATTTAAATAAATATTATAAATAATTATAAAAATAATTAAATTTAAACATATTAATTTTAAATAAAAATTTTAATAAAAATATTAAATTTTATAAAATAAATATTATTATTATTATAATTTATTAAAATAATAAAATTTAAATAAAAATAAAAATAAAAAATAAAAAATAAAAAATAAAAATAAAAATAAAAAATAAAAATAAAAAATAAAAATAAAAAATAAAAATAAAAATAATTTTTTTCATATAAAATAAAATAAAAACTATTGCTATTAATACACCCTCATTTTGCTATCGAAAGTTTATTGGTACACCTTATACAATAAGTACATCCCCACCAATTTTTTCAATTTAATTAATTATATTACATTTTAACCTTTTAATTTTCATAATTTATTTAATTTTACAAGTTAATATATAAAATTTATATCATTATTTTCGCTTTAATTAAAGCTTTTTAATAATATAATTTTTAATTAATTATATATATTATTTTAAAAATTATTTAAATATATATATATATTTAATTAAATGTAAATATAATTGTAAAAAAACCTTTTTATAAAACTTTTTTTTAAAACTTTATTAAATATATTAATTTTAATAATTTATTTAATTTTATATTTTAATATATAAAGTTTATATCGTTATTTTCGCTTTAATTAAAGTTTTTTATTAATATATATATTAGTTTAATACAAGCTTTTAATATGGAGTTATTCGAGTATGTGTAATGGTGGCTTTTAGGGATACCACGTGATATCCTTTCGTGTGGTCGCATTTGCATTAAATTAAATATATATTCGAATAACTTTTAATATAAAACATGCATTTAATTGAAACTTATATTATTAAAAAGTTTTAATTAAAACAAAAATAACGATATAAACTTTATATATTAAAATATAAAATTAAATAAATTATTAAAGTTAATATATTTAATATAATTTTAAAAAAAAACTTTATAAAAAAGTTTTTTTATAATTATATTTACATTTAATTAAATATATATATATATTTAAATAATTTTTAAAATAATATATATAATTAATTAAAAATTATATTATTAAAAAGTTTTAATTAAAGTAAAAATAATGATATAAATTTTATATATTAATTTACGAAATTAAATAAATTATAAAAGTTAATACATTATAATACATTAAAAGTTAAAAATAAATGGGATGTATTTAAATGTATTAAATGTATTAATAAGCTTCGATAGTAAAACGAGGGTATATTAATAATAATAGTTAAAATAAAATAAAAATATTATATATTAAATTTTATTTTATTTTATTTTATTTTATTTTATTTTTTTATGGTATTTTATTTTATGATATTTTATGGTATAATTATAATTATTATTATAATAATGGTTATTATAAATTACATTTTATTTAATTATATTATATAACGTTAAACCACGCTAAAATTATTGCCGTAACCCATTTTATTTTACAATACATTTAATTAAATTTTAACTTAAATTTCACTTTATTTTAAAACTTATTTTAATGTGTTAAAATTAAAGATTTAAAAAACAAATTTTATTTATTTTTATTTTTTATTATAAAACTTATGGTTTATATATTTATATTTATAAATCATAAAAAAAACGTTTTTTAAATTTTAATTTTAAATAATTTCGTATATTATAAAACAAATTAATATAAATTTAAACTTTTAATAAAATTATATCGATAATAATATAATAAATAATAATAACGTTTAAAATATCTTATATTTTAATTATTTAAAATTAATTTTTTACTTTTATTACTTTTTTATTTTTTTTATATATTTATATAATATTACGTTATAATATTACAAGTTTTAACGTTTAAAAATATGTAATAATTTTAAAACGTTATATTTACGCGTTTACATTTACGCGTTTATATTTACAATTATTTACAACCATTTATAACCACGTTTAAAATATCTTTTATTTTAATAATTTAAGGTTAATTTTTTATTTTTGTTATTTTCTTGTTTTTTTTACATATTTATATAACATTACGTTATAATATTATAAATTTTAACGTATTTATTACAATTATTATATATAATTAATGTTATAATTAATTTTAATTTAAAACGTATATGTTTTATATATAATAATTTATTTAAATGATTAAATTAATATTTATTTTTTATATAAAAATTTTATTTATTATATTTTTAATTAATTTAATTATTAATATAACCGTTTAAATAAAAAATATTTAAAATTACCTTAAATTAAAAATTTAAAAATGTTTTAAAAAAGTGTGTTAAAGTGTAATTAATTGGAAAAAAATGTAGTTAAAAAAAGTATTTTTTTTTAAACCATTTTTAAATTTTTAGTTTAAACTTGTTAAAATAATTTAAAATGCAATTAATTAAATTTTAACTTAAAAAACTTTAATAAAATTTTATTTTATTTTAAAATACATTTAATTAACGTAAAAAAAAGTTGTTTTTTACAGTAATTTTATTAATTTCAATTAAATTAAATAAAAAAAAAATGTCGATTTTTATATAAAAAAATCGTAACATAATAACTTTTTATAAACTTAAAATATTATTTAAAACTATTATTATAAAATTATTTCATACATGTATTTATTACAATAAACCATTATTACAATTATGTTAAAATTAAAAAAATAAATTAAATTTATCCAAAAAAAACTAATATAAAAAGTATATAATATATTATGTAAAATATATATAAGTTTTTTTATTATTTATTTATATTATTAATAATTTTTTAAATATTTATTTTAAAAATTAAAATAAAATATTATTATTTTAATTAAAGTATAAAAGAATTTATTAAATTAATTGTATAATTGTTTAAATTTATTTCGTAAAAATAATATGTCATATATACATGATGTATATATGGGATTCCAAAGTGGTCATAAAAGGTATCACGTGCTAGCCTCTTTGTATAAGACTTATTAATATTAACACAACATGCCAACTAAAAACTATATAAAATTTAAGAAAACGCATGTACTCGCAAGCTCGCGCAAACGTTTTCACGTGCTCGTAAGTTCGCACGGTAAAATCTATCGGAAACATTTAATTTTTTATTAATTTTTTATCATTTATTAATCAATTATTTATCAATTATTTACTAATTATTTATTAATTTTTTATAATAATTTTAAAAAATTTAAACGTAAAAAATGTTTTTAATAAATAAATGTAATTTACATTATTATTTTTACATTAAATAAAATTATAATATTATATTAATTATAATATTTAAAATAATATATTAATAAAATTATTTAATTAAATATATATATACGTGTAAATAAATGTTATTATTAAATTTATGTATTTTATATATATAAAGTTAAAATTAAAACTAAAATTAAAATAAAAACAATATTTAATTGGTTAATTTTTTAAAATAAAAAAAATTACATGTATATAATTATTTTAATATTTTTACAAATTTTAAGTTAAATCGCATATAATTTAAACAATAATTTTTATTTTTTTTTAATTAAAATATTAATAATTTTAAAAAAATATTCGGATAAAAATTCGTAAAGTTATTATGGTATAAAGTTAAAAAAGGTATTAATTATATATATAACGCATATTAATTAAGCTTATATTATATTTTTACTTTACTATTACTTTATTAAATATAATGCCACTTATTTTTTTATTTTAATGTGTTAAAACTAAAGATTCGAGGAACGGCGGGGTTTCGCCTGCCTTCGCCTCCCTTTCGTTGGCGCCACAAGCGCCACAAAACCTTTAATTTGTATGTTTATATTTATGGGTCTTAAAGAAGGCGTTTTTTAAATTTTAGTTTTAACCACTATTTAACATTTTAATTATATTTGGTACATATTTAATAAAACTATATTAATAATAATATAATAAATAATAATAATGTTTAAAATACTTTTTATTTTAATTATTTAAGATTAATCTTTTACTTTTGTTATTTTCTCGTCTTTTTTATATATTTATACGGCATTACATTGTAATATTATAAGCTTTAACGTTTAAAAATACGTAATAATTTTAAGGTTATACCCACACATTTACACCTATACGTTTGCATTTATAACCATATTTAAAATACTTTTTATTTTAATTATTTAAGGCTAATCTTTTATTTTTGCTATCTTTTTGTATTTTTTATATATTTATATAATATTACGTTGTAATATTACAGGCCTTAACGTCCAAATAACTTTAAAACGTTATACTTACGCATTTACACTTATATGCTTATACTTGCAACCACGCGTTTACACCTATAACCACCCATAACCACGTTTAAAATACCTTTTATTTTTTAGTTCGAGGCTATTTATTCAATTGACCGGTTTTTTTAACCTTTTTTATATATTTATACGATATTACGTTGTAATATTATAAGCTTTAACGTTTATTACGGCTATTACGTTACGACCGGTACTATAGCTAATCTTAACCCGAAACGCGTACGTTTTATTTATTAACTTATTTAAATAATTAAATTAATACCTACTTTTTATATAAAAACTTTACTTATTATAAATGCGTTAAAATTAATGTTTTTAATTAATATTTTTAATTGATTTAATTATTGCTATACCAAATAAGGGGAAAATATTTAAAATTACCTTAGACTAGAGATTAGAAAATAGTTTGGGGGGGTGTGTTAGGGTGTAATTGGCTGAAAAGTTATGTGGCTGGGGGAGGTATTTCCCCCCGAACCATTTCCAATTTCTAATCTGAGCTCGCTGAGATAACTATTTTCTTGATTTTAGCACAGTTGTAATAATGGTCCACCGTACCTGCCTTAGAAAATTCAAAGCTTAAAAGCTTAGACCCACTCGTCTAGGTACACCCTCAGACCCTGCAGGCACTTTACGCGGGCCACGTGCGGTCGCGATTTATTTAAGTTACAAGGTGGGTACATCGGCTCTACATATCCTCATCCCCGCCATGAATAAGAATTATCGCGTCGTAAAGCTGAGAATTTACACAACAAAGAGTAATTTACAATTTACAAATTGCCATCAGCAAAAAAAAGGTGATTGGATATTTCCCATGAATTAAGATGGTAAGTTGTTTTTATTATATTCTCTGTTGTTTTCATTAAAGTACCACACTCTTCATGTTTAATCATAAAGGATTTATAACTGTGAAGTACATCTCAAACGTTGTATAGTTATAAGCCTCTTGATAGTCCTTCAAATTTCACGTTATACAAAAGCATCCGTTTATTACTCATTTTCTCACTTCGGTATAGGATGTCAATGATATCGACCTATCTCTACGCTTCAAACATGGCATTCATACCATATTCTTATTTGTCGATCCATCAAGACCTTTTGGAAGCATAGCAGAAGATCTTTTGGAAGCTCTGACGGCACGCTACCCATCGGGATTGACTACTTCCCTTTCCTCACCGGACAAGACCGAGCTACCGAATGATCATCTACAGATCAAGTTCGCCTCACCAAAGATACCTACTGACCTCAGCCAAGGTTGGAATCCTCTTGAAGTTGGAGAGAATGATACCCCGGTTAGCAAAGGCATCAAGGACAACAGCATTTTAGCGTTCGCATTCTGCCCTGAGGATGCAGATGAGGACTACGAGCCTGAGTTCACAGTCGAGTTCCCTAGCTTCGACGAGGAAATGGAGGAGCAATGAGGATAGTAGTAGAGGGATGATGTTTATGAGACATGACTTGGGATACGATGGCTAGCCGTGATGGGATGCAAGTTCGGAAGAGGAGCGGCTTTCGGATCTCTAGAGACGCGGAATAGGCAGTTCTGAAACTCATAATTAGGAAAACCTTGTGCAATCTTGCCGTAATTCGAGGATGGAATGACAACCGCCCTATGGGTTATCCCAGAGGCTCGTATTGGCATATGAGATTTAAATAAGAAATCGACGGTAAATAATATGCAGTAAGGCACTCAAATTAGGTAAACCAAACATGAGTGAAGTTGTTGCTATTTTTGTTGATTGCGTCGGGAAGTTTAAATCCCAACCTACAATATTCAAATATTGAATGAAGTAGTTTGCCAATAATCAATAAAAGGTATGAAGCTGAATCTGTTTGTGCTTTCGGTTCGTATCGGCACATTTAGCAACAAGAAACCGACGCGCGGTTAAGGATCCCAAAGCACTATAATGTCCGAGAGCCGGTCTTTCTGTTAGTGGGCATGGAGGTGGGCTAAGTGGAACATCGGTACCTAATATAAGGTACCAGAGCCACCAGGGGCCATCAGGGGCTTAGGCATGTAAGAGGATCGACCCCTATTTTTATCTTTTTTTTTTTTTTCTTCCTAAAAACTTCTTTGACAACACACAACTACAGTACCTAGTTCAGTTATGCCTGAAATGTTTTTTCTTTTCCTTCTCAAGTACCATTCTTAGGTACAATTTGTTATCAATAGGCTTCGGCCATATGCCGTCTTCTACATGTCCCCTGCGACTCTTCTTCGCAATGCTTTGCGAGCCCTCATTCCTCTCGCTGTAGCTTGTACTTTTTACTTGTATCTTTATCCTGTCTTTCTTGGCTGTGCGTTCCCACTCCCACAAACAGAGGACAACGTCGCCGCGTTTCAGGACACGGTCCGACAGCATGTCCTTCCGCATTCGAGTATTGCAGCACCGTTTCGGCTTCTCGCGCTTGGTGATCCCCAGTTAGAGGGTGATACGTCTATCCCAAATTATAACCGCGAATCTTTCCCTCATTTGACATGGGCTATTCGTCATCTTACCTACAAGACTGATCACCCGTCCCTGCGTAAACGCTTACGACAGGTGGTTCACGATATTGTCGACGTCTTCTTCGACGATATTCCCGACACGCTTGAGTCGATTCGCAAGCGAATAGACTTGTTTGGAAACGATTTCTACCTTGCCCACATTTATCGAACGCTACGATGGTGGACAAAACCCACCCATGTTACTGTTCTGGGGGACTTGTTAGGAAGCCAATGGATCAAGGAGAAAGAGTTCAACCGGAGAAGTTGGAGGTTTTGGAACCGTTCGTTTAAAGGGGGCGAGCGTGTCCCTGATGAAGTTGCTGCCTATCCTGCTGAGGAATATGATTTAGCTGGATTATTGGGTGTTGAGGATGACAATGCTGCAGCCTGGCGCCGCAGAATTATCAATGTAGCCGGCAATCATGATGTCGGCTACGCTGGTGACCTGACGGTTGAGCGACTGGAGCGATTCGAACGTGTCTTTGGCAAGGCCGCATACGAGCTGCGATTCGAGTTACCCATTACCAACCCAGCAGCCAATGCGACTATCTACAACGAAGAGACAAACCCAGATTCCGATCGTTTAGCCCCTGAGCTCCGGATTCTTAACGTCAACAACATGAATCTTGATACCCCGGCTGCCGACCAGAGCCTCCAAGACAAAACGTATGCCTTCGTAAACGATGTCATTAATACGGCCACTGCGGTCGAGTATCAGGGCCAGTTCACTCTTGTCCTAACACACATACCGTTGTACAAACCTGAGGGCGTTTGCGTTGATGCCCCTTTCTTCGACTTCCATGCTGGTGGCGGTGTTAAGGAGCAGAACCATCTATCGGCAGATGCGTCTCGTGGATTCTTGGAAGGTATCTTTGGGTTGAATGGTGATCCAGGCGCACCAGGGCACGGTACAGGTCGCAAAGGTGTCGTGTTGAATGGGCATGATCATGAAGGCTGCGATACATACCATTATATCAACCAAAAGGAAGAGGGTGAGGAACGTCAATGGCGAGTTACTCGGTGGCCCACTGCCAAAGCAGACGAGCTTCCTGGAAAATCCGGAGTCCCAGGTCTAAGGGAAATCACTGTTCGAAGTATGATGGCTATGTATGGCGGTAATGCCGGCTTGCTCAGTGTTTGGTTCGAAGAGGATACCTGGGAGTGGAAATACGAGTTCGCCACTTGTGCCCTAGGTCGTCAATATTTTTGGTGGTTTGTCCATGTATTTGACCTAATCGTGATTCTTGCCACTGTGGTCTACGTCGCCTTGCGGGCAGCAGTAGCGGCAGGTTTTGATATCGATAGATGGCCGGCAACGAAAACCGATGCCCCTCCTGTTACAGTCAGCGTTACCCCAAACGGAAATGGTGTAAAAGCGCCCGTTCGGGCTGGTAACGGCGAAGCTAAGAAGGTATAGATTATCTTGTATAACAAGTAACGGATCTACAGCACGGAAGTGTAACGAGTCATGAGTACCTTGTACCAATATAAAACATAGATTAGACAACTAGTAGAATACCAATATTAGTATCAGCATTGTTATACGTATGAATTCCTCCTTTCTTATACGTGATTTGAGTTTCAAGTATAGAATTCGAACTACCTAGGTTAATAAATGAAACGAGTGTCTTGGGCCTCATTATAACTTAAAATCAATAACCACAACATCAACTCGTGGGCTCGACTCTATATCTGCTCCATTAGTAGCTCGTGTGAACACCGATAGTACGTTGTCATAATCTAGCCGCGTAGTGTCAACTAAGGGCTCCGTCGGCGGGAATCCGTTCTCCCGCCACACGAGCTCGTATTCGGAGTAATTAGATGCCTTAGATGCCTTTAAGACTGTCAATACTGGCGTCGTGTAGTCCGGTAAGATAAGATACAAGTCGTCATCTTTGCTCACGGCTAGCTGTCCTCTCTTGCCTCCTTTTACGCCCTGGACGTGAGGGAGGGCATGTTGCGTCCAGACGCCTGCTTTTTGGTTATCACTTCTTAGCACATATTTCCATAGCAACAATTAGGGGAAAGGGAAAGGCGAACGAGGGGGGAAAAAAAGGATAGACAAACCTTTCGGTGATCGATAATAATGTTTCCACTTCTGCTCACCATCTACTGCATCCCGATTCAACACATGTACCCCTCCCTCATGATCGATAGCCTGCGCTTCCTGATTCGAGAGCCCCGAGCCCTTAGGAATCTCAAACGCCACGATTCCCGGTGCATCAGGCTGTACACTCTCGCCCTTCGCCAAATCCGCAATCAACTCTCCCGCCCCGTTCCGCCACGACCAGCCCCCATCGTCGGAGTACGCATAGCAGATATTATGATTATTCTCAGCGGAATTCGGTCCGCGTTGTTGCTTGTGCTTGATATCTAGAGGGTCGTCCCAGCCCTCGTACCACACGAAACCTCGGTATACCCACGTCGCGTGTAGCCGGCCGGCGCGTATGTCTAGGCCGTGGATATACGGGTTATTATCGATACCTTTTAGATTCGTGCCTAGAACCGTGTACCCATAGGAACTATCTTTCTGCGGTCCATATACAGCCAAGTGGTCGTCGCCTAGACCGGCCTTGCCAGTGCGGAACGAGAAGAGTAGGTTGCGGTTCAGTTGTACGAAGCGCGGGTATGTGACATAGCTAAGTAGCTCGTCGTGTTCTTCCCCGAGACCGGGGAGCTGCGATAGGTGTGGTGTGAAAAGAGAGGCGGACCACAGGAAGGATTCTGGGGTGTGGGCGACGCCGGGTTGGGAGTAGCGATATCTTATTCTACCATGTTTGTAAGTACAGAGCCTAGTAACTACGTATTTTAGGTATATCATGATATCATACCTATCGCAGTGGTGGTCATACGAAAGATGGATGGTGCCGTCTCCGGGACAGATACCGAGCTTACTTCTTACTCAGTATGCTTCCTTTCTCTACTCTTGAGATATTTGTTTATATTACCTGTATAGTGTTGTGCCCATCATCTGTTGTCTGAGGATAATCCTCAAAGATGAGAGTCTCCCACTTTCCCTCCGGAAGTTTCCTACGTGATAGATGGATATACAGCGGCTCTTGAGCGGAGTCCACCGATAGAGAGCTGTAGAAGCTTGCATACTGCCACCCGTTGTATGATTGGATAACATCTTGCTGAAACGCGTTGCCGTTCAGGACGCAGTTCCGGTGCGTCGGGTCCAAGCCAAGGACCGATATGGATGGTTCAGCCAGCATTTTCTTTTCTACTATTCCGTTAAAGAAAAATATATGAATGATAACAAAAGATAAGCCTGGAAGGAATGTAGTAAAACGTGGCGCGCCGGTAGAAGATGTTAAGAGGCTAAATGCAATTACGAAGATCTGCCGTTTGATGTAACAGTATCGACTTCTAGAACGGATCGAGTGGTTCGTGATAGTGTCACAATAGATTGCGCGCAGCTTAGAGGTTAACAGATACTATATTCAATTGTGACTATAGCCTATCTCCGTAGTCGATCGATTTTACAACAACACTCGTATGATGGAGCCGATATTCAATTATGTATTGTTTAGACGACCAAGTGCCGGTATAGCAATCGCCCGAGCTGAAGGCCGATAGGATAGACAAAAGAAGTCTCGAGTTGAGGTGTGATCCGCAATAGTTGAACCGACCCATTAAACGATACGAAGTACCCCGCGCATGTAGGTGATGAGTAGGTGATGAGTATGAGATGGAGGATTTTATTCATATTATTCGATAACTACGACGTGCTGCTTCCTTTAAACATTGCCGTATACTACTTCAAGATAATTTTTGTAGCTTTAATATCTTGTGGTACGTATCTTTTATATTGTTCGCCCCTGAATGTATTTACACATATCTTCCTTGCATGCAATTCTATGTTTTAATGTTGTAATGAGCTCTCGAGGACCTACTTAAACTAAATAACCTCTATCTCGAATTGACTTCTTTGTAGTTGGAAGGAATATATCCCATCAACAATTACACCGGTATCAAGATTGTCGTATATTATTATTTGTATAATGATATCTTCACCATCAAATACGAAAGCTCTTCATATTCGTCATACGAAGTAATCGTCCCTAAGCCTACCTTTATTCGGTTGGCCCCGGCTTGTCCCCCCCGCATTGAGCCTAAAATGAAGTCCATCTCCGTAGTGGAGGTCGACCGTCACCCTGAACCGGTCAGGCTGGTTGGTCGGATCTACGCTAAAGAACTAGGAGAGCTTGCCACACCACCTCAATATTCGGCCCTCAGTTCCAACCCCCAGAGGTACATCTCCACTTCTCCTACAACCTCGACTTCTAACCCTGTCAGCATATACCTAGCGCTAGAAGGTGTTCTGCATTTGAACCATTGAAATTTATGTGATGGGACGATAATGGTTGGCATCTTTGCTGAGGATATAGAATCTGTAGTCGTGTGAAGTTTCCTATATCCAGAGAAGAGAATGTAGCTTCAAATATCTTAAATCTAAGCGCTATTGAATCTCTCCAGTAAGAATCTAACTCTAAATATATGGAATAATTCCCCAACCTTGGCTACTCCAGTCCCCAGATCCTTTAGCTTAGTGTCCCTGGCGGCCCATGGGGTAAAGAGGACCACAAAGCCTACACAAGGGTAGGCTATCGGTGTACTTGCTAGGATTTCCTCGGTACAGCGAGCCCCAGCGCCTTTCATCCAGGCTGTCTAGTTAATCTGTTTGGTGGAAGAATAATAGAGCCTGCCGATTTCCTATTTTCCACCCATCACATGTGTTCCCTAACGGGGCTCCAGGCCCCAGATCTCCCATTCCGCCAAGTTGTGCCTTATCCTGACCCTGGTCCCCCAATAACGTGGTACTGCAGCAAGGCGAGAGAAACCTCTATCGGCAGCTCACCCGCAGCGTGCATCTTTTAAAGGTAGGGTCTCGCCGCCCATCTCGCCCGGAACTACTTGTCTGTCCTCCTTCTCGCGTATCGCTAAATATTCCCGGACGATAGCGGCGTGCCTGTTCACGATAAAAGAGAGTATCGCGGACAAATAAGAGACGTTGAAATAGGGAATAGCGGTCTGGGATTTATCCCATCTGTCGACAATCATGCCGTCCTTATTAAGGTATATCGTCAAAAATGACGCGATGAAAAATGATCCTAAGGAGATATATGGATGGAGGGTCTATCTTCTGGCCTGTTCTGTAAGCAATTGTTCTTTTATAATAAAATCATCTCTTATATAGGTAACTAACAGATGTTTTATTAGGCTTGCTTCGGCGCCATGTCTTTTGGTTGGGATAGCGGTGTAATCGGAGGAGTTATTAATCTTGACTCATTCATAGCGTAAGTCTCCCTATAAGAAACTACATTTTTGTAGTCTCAACTTAGGCTCAGAATAATTTCTAACATTCCCCTCTGTAATAGTGCATATGGTCTAGGGAGTAAAGACGATGTGGCGACGGCCAATCTTCAAGGAAATATTGTTTCGGTATTACAAGCTGGATGCTTCGTAGGCGCTCTCGTTGCTTACCCCCTAACGGATATTTATGGTCGCAGGCCCTGCTTGATGGGCGGTGCTCTCTTCACTCTTGCTGGCGTAGCTATGCAGGCTGCTGCTTCTGGTCATCTTGAGCCTATGTATATTGGTCGATTCATCTCTGGTAAGTCCGTCCTGAATTTATATCTACCACCTCTTTCGTACGCTAATATATAATCTATTAAATAGGTCTTGGTGTTGGTTGCTCTAGTGTCGTTAACCCAATATATGTTACCGAAAATGCTCCTAGAGCCATCCGTGGTCTGCTTACCGGATTATATCAAATGTTCATCGTCACTGGTGGTATGATAGCGTTCTGGGGCAATTATGCAGTCAGTATACACTTAAGTGGTCCTGCGCAGTACATTGTTCCACTGTCGATTCAAGGATTACCCCCTCTACTACTTTTCTCCCTTATGGCTATCTGCAATGAGTCGCCGCGTTATCTTGCTCGCAAGGATCGTTGGGAGGAAGCGAAGGCGGTGCTTACACGGATCCGACATCTCGCGCCTGACCATCCCTATCTACAAGATGAATTCCAGGAGATTGCCGATCAACTTGAGTACGAGCGACGTCTGATTGGTGACGCTGGTTTCTGGACGTTACAGAGGGAGATGTGGACGATCCCCACAAACCGGAAGCGAGCTATCCTGAGCATCGTGCTCATGATTTGCCAGCAGATGACAGGTACTAACGCTATCAACACATATGCGCCGCAGATTTTCAAGAATCTTGGCATCACGGGTACCTCCAACTCGTTACTTAGTACCGGTGTTTACGGCATTGTTAAGGTCGTAGCGTGCGCCTTGTTCTTATTGTTCATGGCCGACTCTCTTGGCCGCCGCCGCTCGCTGCTGGTCTCATCCGTCGGGCAGGCTTTCTGTATGTTCTATATTGGTCTATACGTACGCATCTCGCCGCCCGTCGACGGAGCCCCTGTGCCAAGCGCCGGCTACTTCGCATTGGTCTGCATCTTCGTTTTTGCCGCCTTTTTCCAATTCGGATGGGGCCCTGCCTGCTGGATTTTGGTCTCAGAGATTCCAGCTGCTCGCCTACGACCCATGAATGTCGCACTAGGAGCTGCCACACAATGGTTGTTTAACTTTGTGGTGGCTCGCGCTGTGCCAAACATGCTAGCTACCGTCGGAGAGCACGGATATGGTACATACTTAATCTTCGGTAGTTTCTGCGTGTGCATGTTTTTCTTCGTCTGGTTTTTCATCCCCGAAACCAAGGGTGTTTCGCTCGAACATATGGATGAGCTTTTTGGAGTTCCCGAAGAAGAAAGATTAAACATTACCGAGGGTACGAAGCGAGATATGTCCAGGATTGAAGTTGAGGAACATTCCAACCGGTCGGATAACAAAAGCGTTTAAAGGAAACGATGGTTATGAAACTGGAGATACCCTTTCATGCTAGTTAAGCTATTATAGCTCTAGGTAGCTAGCGATCTGCCACTTTAAAAAAAGAAATTATTTTACCCGATCTCGTCTTTCTGCCAACCCCTTAACTTGTGATTGGTATATAAGGTAAGGACGTACTTAATGTATCCCTTATATTTGGGCAATTGATAACTCTACTACCTCGGGTGCACCAAGCATAGGATGTATATTCTATTAAATCTATTAGATATTCATACCGTCAGATACTCGTTCACGTCACTTACAGATACACTTACAAGGATTACTATGGATTCAACATCTCAAATTTGTACAATTATTCGTGCTTGTAATCTGAGTAATGACTCCCGCGCGAAGTCCTTCCACAGAAAACATAATGTCCTACTCCAATTGGCCAAAAACAAGCATGATAAGTAGTAATCAGCCACATATACTCCTTTGCACAGAATATAGTTTATTTATTGTTCGGCATAGTATAATGAATAGAAGGCCTCGAATCAACAGCACTCCGGACTCCAATGCTGGACATGTCAATCTCACAGAGTCATCAATAATAGATAAATATTACTACGACCCAGTTGTCGTTTTTAATCCCACAGGTACTAAAACGCCCCTTTAGCTCGTCCATCCTGATTTTAGATAAGTTCTCGTCTTCGTTGGGTCAGCCCAACACCTAGTAGCGGGTGATCGCCAAGTATATGCGCTTCGCGCTCGCGGGTTTAAGTCCGGCCAAAATGCTTTCACATCCATTCCCGAGGTAGTCAACATATACGTAGCAGCAGTTCGTCGCTAGAATTGTTAAGAGTATCAATATTTTCCATGCCGAACTCCTTAAGGTTGCTACGGCATCGAGCAAGGAGTAGGTACATAAACATCTTAACCGATGGAAGGAATTTCGTCGAATAGAACCTCGATTCTATGAGGCTCAGGGGCAACATTATACTATGCTTGGGCAGGATCATGTCTTTAGCTTTTCTGACAAGCTACGGGCAGCTTTAAGGGATAGATGACTATAGAAATGCCTTCACCGATAAGGATATATTCGCAACATTCTCATCATCTTGTTGATAGGGACTAGCATATGAGCTTTATATGATGATCTAGCAGCTAATACGGCAGGGGTGGTTAACCTAGACGGTATTTTAGCTCTATCGAAATTATAGGAGGATCGGATATAAATATCTCTGGAACGTCTGAATTATGTTTATAGTTCGCAATTCTAAGCAGGGACGTAAGCATCTTTTCGCTCGGAATGGCCCCGGGAGATAGTTAGTTTAGGTACCTAATTGGTTATCTTGCAACGCTATAAATACTTCGATCGAGATGAAGTGGTATTACCAGTTCATCGATCATAGTATTAGGATTGAAATGGACACAAATCTCCCATAAACTACCCACCCAGCGAAAAAAGCTGATGCGGCTACTTGTTGACGTCTTGCTACGGCTTTGAAAAAGTTAGCAGATTCTATTGAAGATACCGATGGTACCATACACAGATATAGATACCTATATTGTGAGATAATCAAAAGAAGATATAATTCATTTCTTTGTGAGGTTACTAATAACACAAAGGCAACAATCTAGGTAGGCTTTAACCTGAATATTTTCAGGTTTCTGGATGGGGTAGAAGGCCCTTACACGGGAAAGGAAGTTGCTCAGTAGGTAAATTCAGAACCTCAATCAAGAAGTACGGAAAAAAGAATTATTGAACCAATCTATAGTTGTTTAATCTTCTATCGGAGAAAATTCGTCGCTATTATGCCACAGGCAATATTGTCACTCAAGTCTCTTCGAATAGACACACGCGTACATATATTACCGAGAATCCTACTTAGAAGATCATGAAACCGGCTCTAGGACGTGAGTACGTTTGATATTATATGGTATCTTTAATTGACCCCTTGGTCTAGGTTTTAACTTAACGTGAAGTTGTGATGTAAGCTGTTGAATGAGTGGGCAAGGGGCTACTTTAAGATATAGCACAAGGTAGAATGTATAAAAGACGTACCTCCTCACTCACACAGTTGATAGAAGTTGATAGACAGAGTCAATGTTTAAAATACGGCTCGTATACCGTATCCTTTTAGGACAAGCCGTCAGCACCAGGCTATGCCATCCTACTTAATTTGCATAGAATAAGTAGTGATATTAAGAGGATTCATTCTTGTAAACATAAGATTAATTATCAATAGTTACTTGGTTAATTTCTGCGAAGTCAGACTGGTTTTTAGATATATACAGCCAATTGAATAGTATGTGGACATTAGATGTTAGCGAATCGGCGTGTAAAGTCACTTCTCGCCTGTCTCTGATTTGCGTAGATTAAGAAAATGTTTGAAGAAGCCACCCTCTAACAAGCCAAACGGCCATGCTGATAAGCATGAGAATAAAAAACCATGATAAACAACCCGCTGTTACATGATCCCGGAAAGTTTGCGCCGCATCGCCTTTGCTATTATTATGCGGGAATGGGCGATCAGGTATAGGGACGTTCAGGATTTTGCATAGTGGCTCCCACCCTTGGCTGACCTCGTAAAAGAATAGCTTCTCTGGAGGTACGACCTGCCTTAGATGTTCCTCGTGCCTGCGAAGCGTGTCCTCTTCAATCTTATCCTGGTGGTAGCGCCATTTCATAATTTGATGGAAGCGTTCGCGCCAAACTCCGTAAACTTGAGTCTTATGCAACCATAAGACCACGATAGGGAGATACCACGTCCCCATTAGACTATTCAGATAGTTCATACTCTTCCACCAGGATTTTTCCTCTCTGGTCGTTGCTATCACTATGGCGTCGGGATAGACGCGCATGATTTCAGGGGTGAGAGTCGCAGCGGGGCAGTCCATGGTTGCAACATAGCCGTCAAGCACCTCCGAGATGAGCCAATCAAGCTTCTTCTGTTCAGAGAACGTCTGCACCTTTGGAGCGAGCTCCATGATATCGAGCCAAGCTTTTATTTGAATAATTGGGCCCCCGAGGGACTGGATCCCGGAGTCGTGGACGGGGCCATCGAGAAGAATGGTGAGAGCTTCGTTAAAAGTCTTCGTGCCGGTACGTGACCTGTATGGAGTTAACGATATTTCTTAAGAGTCACAACGGTACATGTACACTGCGCTATAATAATTCGGCCCATTTCATGCCCAGGGACATATGGTCCTAGAGTAAAATATTATGCGACTCGCTTGGACTTACATTCCAGCACCAATGACGCGAAACTTGGTCCCAGGCGGACCCGGTAGCGAAGGACCTTGACCCATTATGACGACTTCGATCACCAATTAGGTGTTCATACGACTCCACAGGACTGCGATTTCAATGTCGATATCTCGATGTTCTAGACGCTCGAACTGTCAAAGTATTAATGGCGTCGTATGAGCTGAAAATGGTGTCATCAATGGTGTCAATAGCATTTTTATACTTTTGCCAATCGTACCCCCGTACGTAGCTCTCGACAAGCTGCAGCAAGGTTACAGAGCGCCAAGAACCGGGAAACGTATAGATGATGCACGTTTCTCGATTATATTGCATTGGTTACACGGGTGATCTTGATGGCTAAACTGCGTATACTACGCATGCTTGAGTATCTACAGGGCTTATGGTCAATCACTCACTGCCGAACGACTGAACCGGCTTCCTCATGCACTTTAATCGGTCTACAATATAGTTTCCTAGCAGGCTTATTGCCTCGTCTGTCTATACCGTAGCAACATTCTCCGAAAAAATCCCCAAAAATCCCCAAAGCTCTCATCTTCTGCTTCAGCTGTACGCGAGTGCCAAGCCGGCTGAAAGTAGACCCAGGAACGCAGATCTGGCATTCCTTAAGGCTTGCCATATGCCGACGCAGATCAAGCTGAGCAAGATCAGCATAATCCCTCTCGTGATAATCTATAAATCAGGGTGATCGTCGCTCCTAGTTTCGCGAAATGGCTAATAGGCGGGCTTTCAAGGCCCGTATAATGCAACGAATTGGTTCCCGGACTTAGGTAGCCTAGGTGGTAGCAACGTTGCCCTTTAGCATTTTCGAATTCGGATAAGAAAATAGGAAGCCTCCATATCGCATCGGACCATAGTTGGAACTGTCGGAACCTTCACAGGAAAAACAGCGGATAATATGTTCCCTAGCTAGTCAAGACTTACTGATACAGCCACTTCGTCACAATCTCACATTTTAACGCTGGCCGAAGTTGATACTCATCTTGTGCCCTTCGGGCAGTAATGCGCTTCAATTAAAGCAGACAACTAGATTATGAGTAAGTAATCATATATTAAGGTCCATGATTTTTCATGTTTTCCAAAGCGTCGTAGAATAAGACACTCACTGTTTACAATATTTCATAAACTATATCACACTTCTACCAGACATCTCGTCCCCTATCAATGAGAATTGTCTGAAGAGTGTAATGAAGATTTCAATCCAGTAATAGTACAACGAGTTATCTTTATTGTAGTATTAGGAACGCCGCGATCTATAATGTTTGGCTAGCTATCAATAATATTTCACAGATAACTTACTAGAAGCTCAGAATAGGTCGATTAAATTTGTTTGTTCGCGCTGTACCATGAGAGTTATTTCTGTCTCTAACTCTTGTTGGTTATCAAAACTGCATATTACGTTAGAAACACATAGTCTACCACCTAAGCGTATATAATGAGATTCGGTTTAAGACTTTATATATTTTATATTTTACGAATTTAATACAGAGTAATAACTCTTTCGCATATGTTTCTTTATGAAATCCTCTCAATCTTGCTGTTATGGAGAAGTTCCATAATAGAATCGCTAAGTCATAAGATCACAAGGTTGTCCTGAAAGACACTTTAAGACAGGTAACTACAGAATCACGCGGTCGTACATATTGAAAGTACCTTGTGTTCTAGATGTCTCATTTGGAAACTTTACATATACCAGGTTTTCGTAAATGATCGTCTTATACTTGAAGTGATGACTTAGAATAGCCCTACGAACGGCATCAGCAACAGACAACTGTAATTATATGAAATTCAACTATAGTATAAAGAGTCACTTTTATATGATAATTATAGGTAGGTAGCTTTGGTTTGTATGGATTCTGGGGCTTACTATATAGGTGTTACATAGCAACCACCATAACAGTCCAGTCAGTGGATTACAACAAATTCAATACGGCCTCGTGGCGCAACGGTAGCGCGTTCGACTCCAGATCGAAAGGTTATCCGTTCAAATCGGGTCGGGGTCAGATATTTTTGCTGTTGGGATGTATTATCGTGGGAACCCGTGGATCGGTTTCTAGTGCTTGGGTCTAGACGGTCTGAAAAGTGTATGCCCTCAATTTAGAGTGCAAACACTTACCTGTCTAAGTGGAGTAGCCCTAAACGCCTTGTATCCTGAGAGGAGCCGGACCCGGCGCTAGATACGCATACGTACGCGCGCGACTAGTCTAGGGCTATCTTGGACGCTTAAGTTAGCCCCTTATCCTTTATCGAGTAGTAGTTTGAAGCTGACTGTCGATGTTAGTTTTATTGGCACTCTGGATATCAAATGTCTTAGTTTCGTGTCTTTGATTTGTTTGATGCAGAGTAGATGGGTTTAAACTGGTAGCAAACAAGCTCCATAAATTCCGCCCTTGTCACTATATTAGCGGTTTGCTTAGAGTTAGGTACAGAAGTTAGTAAATCTCCAAGTTTTGACACTAGTTGGAATCATATGTGTTTTAGTCTGAGTGGTTCTTATGTAGAGCCTCATTAATCACTGTTCTATTTAAATATATGGTAAGAATGTAGACGTGTAACCTTTGTTATAAACAGCCTTGATGTTTGACTCTTTAGTTGGATATAGTTACTAATAACTAAACTAATGAGATAATATTCTGCTTAAAACGCCTATCTAATTTCATACTAATTATTCGGTTTGAGCTGTAATACCTTCGGCGACATGGAGGCTTATCTTTGGAATATAATCACACCTTTTAAATGCCGAAGGATTCGGATTCGGGTTTAGGCGTATAAAAGTTCTATACGGGTTTAGTTTAAATAATAAGGCCGGCGTGGCAGCGTTTTTCAAAAAATTTCTTTTATACCAAGACTTAACTCCGCTATTCAGTTTTTAGTTTTGGTTTTTAAAAGATAGAGATGAATACATGTACGGCCCAGTAACTTTCTACGTACGCTAAGGGCTGTAAGCTACCTGCCTATGTGGGTATGATCGTCGTGTTTCCGTGCTATAATCGTGTTTGCATTAGTTGATGCGAATGTTGCGTCCCTTTTAAGATAGGAAAAGTTTAGGATTTGAATCCTCTAAGAAAAGGTAGGTCGCAATCGTTGACTTGGTGAATGCTTTTATCGTATATCCAGGTAGTTATCGTTGCTCAATTCTTCTACCTTTTTGTAATTATGTACTCCTTTTAATTTTAGCGAACCCTTCCTATTTTAGGAGTAGAGTACCAGGTAGGAGGTAGTCTTTATCTTTCCTATAATAATATGGACACGACTGTGCTTTTCTTCTGGATCGGATTATCTTGCTGCAACTTGCAACTCTTAGATGAAGAATTTGTTACTTCAGCTTTGCAACTATAATAATTGAATAAGCGCCTTTCCACGTATTCGACTTGGTCATTTTTGACGTGTCATATTATGAGTAAATTTTTAAGAAAAAAATTGGTGATGATATAAACCCCATAGCACTGCAGGCTTATGTCGTGATCAATGTAGTCCTAAAACCTATACGCAGTGAAAGCCGAGAAGATGCATAACGTAGGCGCTATAGGTAAGTAAGCAACCTTACGAATCAAGTAAACTTCCCGAACTCGGCTAGATCTTCGGCTCCAAGCGCGAAGTTATGTCGCGGTAACATTCAACCCTTCTATCGCTGATATGCTCAGATGCAAGGTTGAACTCGGGGTGCAACCCCCCGTCTCTAGTATTATTTTTTCAACATCCTCAACTATACCCTCCCGTATAAAAGTCGATATTTTGGACATAGGGAATTACCGATGGCGACGACAATCCTATATCGTAAATATCCTAATTAGAAGATTACTACATTACATCATAACTGTACTATTCCAATGCTGCTTCTATATATGCTGGCTGTGTACCGAGCATATTCGTACGGTAAATACATAGTCGTGACTGGTGGATGGAAATTATTCTTGACGAGATGTACGGATTAATAGTAGATTCTTACGGCGGCAATAATTCAATTAGAAAGCAATCAGTATAGGTTTGTTCGACTACTGTGTACTTCTTTCATAAGTATGGCTCGGGATGTCGGATAGTCTCATGTATGCTCCGTAGATCATACTTTCGGGATGTCAGCGACAAGACTACACCCCGTCCGATGACAAACGGACTTTTGCCATAATTTACCATAGGTAGTTTACCATAATTTTAAAGTCGTACGCGTCTCGAGATCTTCGGCACAGTGGAGCTATATCATACAAAATTAGCATCATACAAGATTAGCTTGGTCTATCACTTGCATCGCTACCACTTGAACTGGGAAGCAGAGCACTGTTCTCTCGGGAGTCATGCCGGTGGGTATTATCCTCGTCGCGGCTTTGAAGGATTGCCTCTGGCTTCAACCAAACTGCCGGGTCAGGGACCTCGATCAACAACTTGGCCATCTTGGCAAATGCCTTAGAAGCTATATTAAATCGTTGAATTAGACTAAAAAAGAAGCTCGCCTAGGAATTCTGTCTAGTTTAGGTCCGCGCTACGGATCTCATATCCGCTGTTAGGCGGGCTTGGACTAAATAGCTTGATTTGGCGCCACCCGCTCGGGAGGTGGGAGAGGTCCCACAACGGACGCCTTCTCCCAATAAAGGTTTTCACGCCGGCGAAGTTTTATTACCATAATACACCACGAAGCATCGTCAATGGTTCATTTTCATTTCTTGTCCAGAATCGATCTAAGGCGGTCATACGGGAAGGACGTACTGCAGGACTGTCAGCTTCGGAGAATGTAGAGAGCAACTCGGATTTTAGACGGATATGAACTAGATGCACGTTGGACGGCGGCAGCGCTGTAATTGGGCGAGATGGTCGCCTAGACACGTTCAAGTGGTTGTGAGGGGGCAAACCCGCTGTTGGGGCCGAGACGAGCAAGATCAGCAGGGGAATATGAGGGTACAGAGGTTATATGTATTAATAAGGCCTCAAAGCCTAGCGATTGCGTTTTCCTACGATTGACATGATTGACAAGATTGACGCGATTGTCGTTCAAATACGAGAGCCTCACCATGCAAGACTATGCGCGCTGGCAGATGCTGGGCAGATTAGGTACTGGGTAGGCACGGGCAGATAGATAATGGAGACTGTTACGGATATTAGTAGATATTTGCAGCATATTTTTCCGTCCTTTTTTTTTATTTATCTTCTATATTCGTATACACCGACAGAACCTTGGGAATGAAAAATCGGAGCCTACGATGTGCCAAGCCTATAAATTCTTATGAAGACCTATAAGTATTATAAGTATAAATGGGGAACGTGGCTCGATTAGGAACTCGTTCCAATTTCTTTGATTAATGTGTGCATTGTCCTCTGCCCATCACTTGTTCCTATGGTGGCCCATCACACTTGGCTTCTCCGAGAGATCGTCTTGGAGGGTTTCTCTCACGGGCGAGGTGGACACGATCAGGAGACGCAAACACCACATCCGGTCCGTTTATCCCCAGAAAAATATTTTATTACAAGCTTATTGCAAGCCTATTGCACAAGTCTACTGCACAGGCGTATCGCAAGCGAGCAAGCTTGCGATTTGCCAGTTCGTCGAAATACCTACCTCACAACAAGCATACATACAACATACAACATACAACATACAGCCCAATATTCCCGCACCCTGCCAACCGTCTTTCGGTGATCGACTTTATTATTTCTGATGTGTCTTTCGCTACCACGGTTCTCTCTTTTTCCATCGAATTCCATTCCTGCGAATGGGGATGTGATACGATATCGGCCGAAAAGGTATCCCGCAGTCTTGGCTGCGTCTTTAACATCGCACCCTCGCAGGGCAGTGGTCAGACTCGGTAGGAGCCGACGATGCCGAATAAGACGGGCATTCTAGGCGAGCACCACGTGGTAAACGTGGTCAGCTTCTGTCTTTGGCATGTCTGTAGAATATTGGACGGGACATGCTTCCTAAATAAATTCGACCTAAGCCTGTAGGCACCTCTCTCTCTCCATTCGCTTAGGCGGCAACCCATTCCATCTATTCCCTGTCCCGTCCTGCCTAAGCTGCCTGTACATATGCAGTGTATGTATGAACATATGTAAGTATGTATATACTATTATATATGTATGTATATTTTATTTGCCTAGCTTCTCTGCTTGGCCTGCCTGGCGTTACCCGTCGCGCTATTGGCAAAGACCCTTACATAGTATTGTAGTAGTACTGTAGTAGGCAGGTGGTGTTGTGGGTCTATTCCGCCAGCCATCGTGAACTTATTGATGGATCGTGCATTAGAGCCAAATTGGGATGGATATTAAAGTTGTTAATCCACATAGACGATCCATCCCTCAAGGGACCTTGGACCTTGCTGAGCAAACCCCCCAGCATACAATTTCTAGTCTAGCTTCCCCAGAAACGGAGGGGAGAGCCATCACTTTGAATTTATTCTTTTATCAAACGCATCAAACGCACAATCTTCTCTTCGTCGCCTCAGCCACAGCTACAGCTTCAACTTCTAATACCTAAACACTCCTTCACGTATTCATATTCCCATCTCAACAAGAAATCTAAAAACACCGAACACAGCATCCCAATATAGTACTCGTAAGTTGAACTGACCCACGCTTCCGTATCGCCTAGGGTAAAAAAAAATTTGTCTGACTTGGCAGCAATAGGTGCACCTAATCCGCCGGCTATCATAGCATACATACATCCTACCCAGAGGAAAACATCATATATATCGACAATATGCAGATGCATACGTGTGGCAACTGTGGAACCGAGTACACGACAGGCAGCTGTTGGTACTGCCATCCTCAAAACAAGCCTCAAGTACCTATGCCTCGACATTTGGTAACAGCACACGCGACACATACCCATTAAGCGGATGATGCCATCTCCGCGTTAATACAAGGGGAAGAGAGCGTGTGTTGTTGGGTTTAAAGGAAAGGAAAAAAAAAGGACGACTTTCAATACGGGGTCCCACGGCCCCGGAACCAAAATCACTCGTTTAGTCTCTGAGGAGACTGCTTCACGAGACATGTTATTTCTCCTCCGTTACACTTTGCGTCTTTACTCGTCCGCTGTTCGATTTGGAACAGCACGCACACACATACCTAGACGTCAATTCGAGCTTTTGGCGTAATGAATCTACAACAGGCACCGGATTCCTTAATGGACATTGGTTCCAGTATCCCTTATTTCCGTTTTAAAATTTAGAGGCCCCTGGGAGCGCCTCATCGGCCTCTGCTTCGAGGTTTTGATTTACATTTGATGGCCTTCTGGCTAAAGCTTTACGAAGAGATGATCAGTGGGTTATTGAGGGATTATCAACACCTCGGAGACAGTTGGCATTTTACCGGCGTTATATGATATCACTAAAGGGACGGGCATATTAATTGAGGAAAAAAATTTCACGATTGTTCAAACGGAAGCATTAATTCATTAGAATCCACCCCCTGGCCTAGCATGCGATACCTTCACGATTAAGAATGTCAGGCGCATCATACTAAAATAAAATATTTATAGCTTGTGTCTACACTCTTTGAAGTACTGTAGTATCGCTATTGCTTAATTCTAATAGAATGGTATTATTATGTATTATCTTAACAATCATTACATCGTGATATTAAGCTTTAAACTGTTAACACCACCATCTTCAGTCTAGCATGGCAACACTCTATTACGATTGAGCAGTATAGTGAATCTAATCAACATCTATCATTGTTATTAATAGCGTACTGCTCATAAACTTGACGGAGTGTTTGCCGTAGCTTAGTCAAACTTCATAGCGGAATGCGACATAGACTGATCTAGGCGCGGCACCTATTGATTACGTCGACAAGGAAATCTAAAGCCATACCGATTCCAGCATACCGTCGTCAACCCGCACGATACTAGCTCCAGGAACATCGGGATCTCAGCACCGGGAAGTTCTAAACACGATCCACCTAACTGCGAACCCGCATGAAGAAAAAGAGTCCGAAAGAGTAATATAACATGCAGTCCCGAAAAGGGTGAAATTTTCTATAAATAGCGCTTCTAGACCAGACCCTGATATGATGTCCTCCCAGGATGGGAATGTGACACGTACATACATACCTACATACCTACATACATACATATATAGGTACATATATATATGCCCATGTACCGGATTTCTACATACATACATACATACATACATACATAGGGCGGACCCCTATCCGGGGAGCTTCGAAAGCTTATTTGATTTAGCCTTTTTGGCCCGATGCCCTCCTCTTCCCCGTGGGGATGGGGCTCCCACGTATCACAACAGGAAGAGGTGGATGGATGTTTAAGGCGACAGCGAATTCGGAAGGCTAACCCGGCTGAGTACGTACTCTGCATTAAGGCGGACGTCGTACAAACTATAGTATACGGGTCTGGACTTTTGTTGACACGGGTCGGAGGTTTACGTGCATCAATAGTACATCTTGGGTATCACCGGTCGAAATTAGATATAAGTCACGAGTCTAGAGTTAGGATCGGAATATCGTCATTGCTAATTCGTAAAGAAAGCCTTGGCTGGTATGTATCATACATATTATACGAATGTTGTGTCATCTCCGAAAGATACTATGTCCTGCGGTGGTAGCCTCATGTCGTTCGATATTATCGTGAGATAAGGCTGCTAGGATCGTGATACCTATAACAAAATTCTAATGCAGTTTCTTAAGCGCGAAAACTGCTTAGTTAGTCGTCCTAGCAGATACTAGGAGAGGGGTTTAACGAGATCAACTATTTTAGCCTTCGATTGGACTCCATCTTTCTGTGCCTTTTTTCTTCAAAATTTAACTATCCCCTCGCTTTTCGAGGGTCTATCAAGATTCATATGTAAGCAAACTGGAGATAAACGAACCAATGACTGAGAGTTTAGATTCAAAAATAACATGGCTGCAAAGAGCCTCATTTGGAAATATTAACTAAGCTTATATGCACCTAAATATATAATGGCACGGTGAGCTCCTGAGCTGATCCGATTCCGTTCCGGCTAATAACTGCAACTGCTGTTGCCAATGATATGTATATGTATATACATACCTAGGTAGGTATGTATGTTTAATCAGCACAATCAAATCGTTACACTCATACTCTCCCTCATCTCCGCGATCCTGGTTCAAGGATCCCGACCCGGACTCCGAGGCCAGGCTCTTCGTATCCGTGTAACGCGGTCCCAGCACACATTGCCGCATATGCAACCGCAATTAGAACCACTATATATAGTCCAAGTAAAATGTATACAGTAGCCTAGTGATTACTGAAATTGCGTGGTTCTATATCCAAAATATACCTTAGCCAAGATCAAGATATCGAGCCCACACTGACGCACCAAGAAGCGAACTTATATTAACGAGCTTATCGAACGCGCGCAAAGTATCATAGAAGAGCGACCCCCAGTGTCATTCGGGCAAAAACGGGTTCTCTAGCTGCTTCTCAACGTAGACGGCGGTGCCCGAGACTGAGACCTGGATGAAGCCTAAAACCTCTTTCTCTTCGAAGTCCAGGCCTACAACGGCGTTCGCGCCGCGCGACACGCAGTCCCGCGTCATTCTTTCAACAGCTTGGTCTCGCGCGTTGTACATGATATGCGTTAGACTCCTGACCTCGCCACCCGCGGCAGCCGCCTTCAGTAGGGTCTTAGTATCTTTAAGCGCGTAGGTAGTAGAGCCGTATACGGCGCCTAGGACGCGCGCGACGCGGTAACCGGGTAGTGTCGGCATCGTAGATGTCAAGATGGAAGGGGCGGTGCAGTGAGGTTCGTTTTCCGGCTTCGCGCTACCGAGGGTAGGCGGTGCACCAGGGTTCGGGCGCCCGTTACCGTTCGACGGTATCATCAACGTTGAGCGACGGTTGGTCAGCATTTTGGCGGTGAACTTCTAGCGAAGAAGAAATATGTATATATAGTATAGTTATATAGTATATATAGTATATATATAGGGGGTTGTCGTTAATAGCGATATACGCGGACGTGGTCCCACAGACCAATTGCGCTTTGGCGAAGAGCAAGCGAAAAAGCAGGTAGGGATGATGCCGAATTAAGAATTGTACTGTGCAAAATGCGAACCAAATAATATCGATATACCCCTAAGCAGATCGATCTGTCCCAGAGATCGAGTGAGTTTTATCCGATCAGAAGGTAAGTACCCACGTCATTATTTGGGTGAGGCCTCACGAAGCGAGCGTAGCAAGAAGAACCGCATCTGCTTGAAATTTCCTATCGCCTGAAACGCGGTTTGGAACGTGGCACGAGCTATCGTCTGGACATGCCTCGATCTTCTTCTGAATTGCCTTGCTCGCAGGGATCCCCCACAGGGTTCTGCAACGCGCCAAGGATCCCCTTGCCATGGGCGAGACTTGAGGCACATACAGATACCGGTCCAGCGTGACGGGACTGTGACTGCATTGCAGACTGCAGACCGCAAACTGCAAACTGCATGATATACCAAGGAAGCAATGACGTCGTTGATGATCGAGATGTTTGGAATAGTAACACCTGTTCATAAGAGCTAACTCACCCACGGGTAGAGTTGCATGGAAAGGGGCAAGTCTAAATGCCTCGATTATGCCTTTTTAATGGTTTGTTAGAGAAATAATGCCTACGGATTTAGGAGTTCTCACCTCCAGGCTCAGTCCAAGTTTAGGAGTATAGAATTGTTATGGTATAGTTAGTTAGTATAATTAGATGTTATGATATAGTGACACACCGTCATGAAGAGATGAGAGATCTTGATTGTTTCCAAATCGATTGCGGTACCTATTATAAATAATTGAAAAAGAAAAAAAAGAAAGAAACTTAAATTATAGCCAAATAAGAAATGAGGTTATTCAAGTCCAAATTATCTTGTCAACATTGATAGATGGAATCTTCGTAGGGCTGAGCTGAGAAGGCTTACATAAGATGAAGCCTTAGGTACCTAAGTACTTCGTACGGATCCGTATTTGGAATCTGCATTTTACGACTGGAGGGCACCCCAGAGGGCTGCCACAATAGCCCGAGTTTACAGAGTTTATAGTTAAATATATTGAATATTTTGAAAGAGGACTCGGCACCCAAGAAAAGGGCTCGGCATCCTGACCTCGATACCCTCACCCACCCAAAAGGAAGACTCGGCACCCAAGAGAAGGGCTCGGCACCCTGACCTCGATATCCTCACCCTCGATATCCTCACCCTCGATACCCTCACCCACGGCTCGGCACCCAAAAGGAGAACTTGTCACCCAGGAAAAGGGCTCGGCACCCTCAGCACCCAGTAAAAGGGCCCGAAGCCCTTACCTATAACACCCTCGAAACCCTCACCCTCAATACCCTCACCCTCAATACCCTCACCCTCAATACCCTTACCCTCAATACCCTCACCCACCCAAAAGGAGGGCTCGACACCCAGGGATTCGGAAGCAAAAAGATACGTATTTTAAGAAAAAGATGAAAGTGGGGACTTTGGAAAATTCCACTTATTTTAGGGATGCACCCAATAAGAATGCCTAAAATTCGCGCACAGACGAACTTCCTACTTCGTAAACCAGACCCTAAGACAATATCCCTCGTAAACTCGGGCATAGGAAGCTTAGGATGGCACGGACCACATATTTAAGTTCCCCCCTACCCTTGTTCCTCGAATTAGATCACATCATTCTGTAAACTGGTGGCGTCGACCGAGATTTGTCATTGTTCGCGGGAGCTACGTTCTAAACGTCACCGTTATGCCCCTCCATTCGGACTTTGATGTGGAATCAAGAACCGCATTATGCTATTTTGCTCTCTACACTAATAGCGTAAACGGGAAGGAATTGATCCGTATTATTTACTTATTAATATAAATATAATTATTTCGAACCTATCTTCAAGTTAGCTTCATCAGTTTATGGCCATATCGTCAATCGCAGTAATATAATAGTCGCTATCGTAACCGAAGCCCTTATCTTATCCCATCCCTCATCGTGCCCGCAATTGTAGTCTCAATCGCAATCGCAATCGCAATCGCAACTATCACAATAATGGCTTTCACGATGCCTAACTTCGTGTCGCGGTTCTTTCGACCCTTCATGTCTAGTACGCGCTTAGGAATAACCGCTGATACTAACGCGGGCACCAACGGTGCGTCTGTGGTCCCCGAGGGCGCCGAGAAGGCTACTCTCGCCGCCGGATGCTTCTGGGGTGTAGAGCACTTATATCGTAAACACTTCGACGGAAAGGGACTCTACGACGCCCGTGTCGGCTACACCGGTGGGGATCTAAGAGGTCCGACTTACCGTGTCGTGTGCTCGGGGCAAACAGGTCGTATGTTTCTCTCCTAGTTATTCCATTTTTCTTTTCTTTTTTTTTGTCTTTGTCGTACCCTTCTCTCTTCTCTCCTACTTTTACATATTAGCTAATGTGCCATCGCAATCGCAACAGACGCCGAGAGTGTACAGCTGCACTACGACCCTTCGCGCATAACCTACCGGCAGATACTCGAGTTCTTCTACCGGCTACACGATCCGACGACGGCTAACCGCCAGGGCCCCGATGTCGGACCTCAGTACCGCAGCGCCATCTATTACCACAGTCCTGAGCAGGAGCGCATCGCGCGCGAAATCACGAAGCAGGCCAGCGAGCAATGGTATAAGGGCGCCATCGTTACTGAAATCGTGCCCGCTGACCAATGGTGGGATGCTGAGGATTACCATCAGCAGTATCTGCATAATAATCCCTCGGGCTATGAGTGTCCGACCCACTTCCTGAGGACGTTCCCGCCGTTGAAGTGAGGTGGAAGAAATAAACAGCTGGTGTAGTTTACCGCGTCATGTATTGTAAAGAATCTGATCATCGTGATATTAAGTCCATGCCATGGATAGCTCTGCGATTTCAGAAACATGTTTGGAATGTCGCAAACCCAGGTACTTGAGGCATATTAGCATAGATGGATGAAGGAGAGATGGAGGCAAAATTATTAGTGTAGGCTTCAAAACTGCAGGTTGAGGCTCTCCTAATATATATGAAGAAGCTAATATTAATCACATGTTAGTTATAATGCGGACCTATAGACTCCTTGCCCTATTCTATTAGTTCCTTACTGAAACGAAAATACCTCCCATGACCTTGAAACGCCCACCCATGCATATAAATCCCGCTTTATCAAGATTGAATTAGTATGGACATCCCACCCCCAAGTCTTCGTGACGATGATATCTGGGCGTCATATTCTCTCGTCAGTAATCTGCCTCATCTAGCGGATCTGGATCCTCTATTCGACCCGTCGCCGGATTGCAGGTGTGCCCAGAAGACCAGTTAATATGTTTTTCTTTCCCGCTCATCACCCGTGTACTCCATCCGTAGTTGTGCATCCTCTCTATATTAAGCTCACTGATCTGCGGCCGATGATCGTGCTTCGATGTTATGTCCTCGAATCTTTGACATATATCGCCGCCAAGGAAGTCTCGTTTAATCTCTCGGCACGCCCGCGCGTCCCTGTGGCTGTCCCATTTCTTACAGAAGTCAATCTTACCAACATCAATCCACGTTGTTAGGATCAAGCCCCAGTTGAAAGGTTCTGGTAAGGGGATGACATCGATGCTATAATCAGCCGTACATTTATCACAACCTAGAACATCTCCCAATAGCACAGGTACGTCCATCGGATTCCATCTTGTCCCAGAGGATAACCATTTAAGTCTTTCGTAAATCATGTGGCCATCCTGTTTTGATACGTCGACCGACTCGCTACTAAAACAAGATGGCAGATGCTGCACCTCAGTTTCACCAGTATGATCAGCAGTGCAGAAGGGCTCGATCCACTGCTTTACCATCGGTGCGTAGACCGTATTCCAATTTTGATGGTTGCATATTGGATGAATCTTCGGTAACGATATAAACGTGTGAGATGGGTCTCGCAGTATCTGCCCGAACAACCATAATGCCAGCACCGACTTATCAATGGAGGAGACCACTTGCTGTTTTCTGAGAATTAGATCATCCTCGCGATATCTCATGCGAAGGGAATATTGAATCATGAATCCCTTTTGGTAAGATGTCTGTGTATTATTGACCTGCTGTAACAGATGTCTATATTCAGCACCATGAATTCGGCATTTTGTAATGGTACGAAGCAACTTCCTAGTTGCACGCGAAGGCATATGATGCTCCATAGACCAATCAATACATTTGGAAGCTTTCCGCGGCGCAAAAGCGCGGTCTTTAAACGTTAGGAATGGATCGTGGAGCTTTTTGCACTTATAGCAGTAGACGCGGTCCAACAAGTCATAGTCTAAAAGGCTAAGCAACGTCCCTCGTATCTTGGTTTTAGAGCCATCCGATTTTTTAATAAATGCGTTTAGAGCTTTATATGAAGAGGGTTCACCGGGGCCCAGTAGCTCAAGTTCCGTACACGAATACAAGAAACGTGATAATAGTTCTTTATTAACGAGGGCCAGGCATACGATGTTGGCATGGGAGAGGTAGCTGGTTATGTTGTCAAACAGCTCCTGGGGAAGAAGTAATAAGCCAGAGATATTCCGCTCGGATTGATTTTCTCCAAGTGAATGAGTTATGCTGGTCTTGAGCTTTGACGTATCGCTGTTGGCGTCGCTAATATTGGTCATAGCGGTGCTAGAATCAGCAGGGCTGACTGGGTTGCCGATAGATGACTGATCATCATTATCGACAACATCATTAGAATCCTCTCTATCATCGATATGACTCTTGCGTCGCTTGATGGATAATATCTTCAAGATATCCTGCATTCGATGAGATCGCCTCAACTTGAAACATGCATTACTTTATCAAATGGTCAGCTCTTAATCAGTGACGATGAGATAGCTTGGAGGAGAGCAGGTAACTTACTCAAATAATGATTTGCTATTAAACGGAGCCATATTGTATATTTGGTATGGAAGAGGGTTCCAATGATTGATTGGAACCCTCTTTTGTTAAAAGAAGGTAACAAATAACAAAGGTAGATTTAACCTAAGTATACCTGTAAAAGTTAATACGAAATATGGCGATGTTTAGGTAAATTAACGTGTTGTAATGTATGTAATTGTGAGATATTACAAGATGATGTTAAGTAGGTAGTTTGAAGACTGAAGGTTCCAGTTGAGAGGCGTAGAGGTAGGTATATGGACTTTAGGTAGAGAGGTACTCACCTATGTAATATACCTCTAGGTAGGCACCTAGGTAAGCTTTGGTACAGGTACTTTAGGTACTTAATGCAGCTGCTTAGGCGGGAGTTAAACGTTATTAATAACCTTGTGTCATCAATTGAGCTGAGAGTTGTTTTCTCTCCCTTTCACTGTTAGAATCAGAACTTACGTTAAATTAGGGTAGTTAACTTACGAAATAGTACGAACTATAGTATGAATTATGGCACATACCTAATAAAAAGGGTTGAGAAGAAGATCGGACTTACCGGCCTCTTCATTCAGGTGTCAGCCTCAAATTTCAATGGAATTCGGGGGGGTCGTCGAATCAGCTGAACCCCTTACCCGTATGTACATGGCGTATGTACATGGGTACCTAGCGGTGAGTGGTTGGTGACTCTATTACTGTTGCGCGTGTTCGGATTGTCAAGTCACCAGTCACCCGAGAATATCATACTACCTTATACCTACCAATCAATCTAGCCAGGGGGGGCTGTTCGCCCATGCAGTTCTTATGCAGTTCTTTAGGCAGAGTCCTTGGCATGTAATATCAAGATCTTATCAATTACTCATAACTACGGAATACATACTGGTTATACATATTTGATACCTAATAGTTATTCCCAATTGTTTTACTATTTTTATTTGACTACGCTAGTTAATACATTCGTATAGTCCTAGACAATCCTTACGTTGCCAGGAGAGGAGAGTTTCCATTCTGCCTCTGATACCTTAGGTAGGTTAAGCTATCATGATAATATGCCCTACTAACAAGTCCTTATCCTAATCACCACCCGATTATTTCCTGCGGTTCTGCTGCATCATCAAGATCTGAACCATCCTGATGAAAATGTTCAAGAAGTCCAACTCGAGCGAAATGCTCTCGTTGACTGGGTCCTTCTTTATGATACCCTGCTCAGCCAAACGGGAGTGGTAGAGGATCTTTTGCACATCGTATAGCGTGAAGCCACCAAAGACTGCTAGACCACCGTACAGCCAAAGATTCTCCGTAATTGCTAATGTTCGGACGGCTGTAACTGGTAGGACAAGCGGGGCAAGACCCGAAACGGCAACGATTGCAGCTCCGGCAAGGAGAGGGCCACCAATGTACATGTACTTCTCTTGTTTAGCGGTAGCACCCACGAACGAGATGGATCCCATCATCGCGACAGTATAGAGACCGGCGCGAGCGATCAGAGCACCGGGAGCGAAAGCGATAAGAGGGGCGATGAAGGCAGCCTGAGTAGCATTGAACGCGGTCCAGAGGGCGTACTTGGGTACGTAGCTGTCTTCTGTTAGCTATGTGTTGATTCTTCTTCTTTATTCCCCTAGGAATCGAAAGGAACTACTTACTTATCAGGGTCGATAGCTCGAGTTCCAAGCATGGTACCAAAGCTGAGAGCTAGACCTCCAATAGCTACAACCCACGGGCTCGTTACCATTATTCTATAAACGAAACCGCTCTGAATCATCTGCCGCGCCGTGATACCGATGATGCCGATGCCAAGGCCAGTGTGAAGGAAGGTCTGATTAAGGTAAGATCGCTCGAACGGTGGCATACCGCCATCCTCTCGGGTCTCGCGGTTGAAAACGGCGTTGATTGCGATGAGAGTACCACCGAAGATTGCGCCACCGGTTAACAGTCGGCGGATCGTCGAGCCAGAGTCGGTCGCGGGGGCAGCAGGCTGTTGTATGTAGGTTCTTGACGATTTCGTAAATGCATTTTTCGGCGTCGTCCGCGATAGCGTTGATACGAGTGTCGTACGCGATGTGAAGAAGTTGGATGGTCTGGTGGCGGACTGATGGAAAGCTCGGGCGGGAACTACGGTTCGAAGAGAGGATTTAGAGATTTTTGGCAACCTGGATGCCAGGCGCGCAGGTCCTTGGCGGAGAGTGATCGCGAATGACATTTTTGTGTGCTTCACAGGTAGGTGGTTATAAAAAGCGACAAAAGGAATGATTAAGGTTGGACGATTTGTTCAAGTTGTAGAAGAAGATTGCGAACAATGACGACGAGTTGATGTTCAATAGAGGAAATTGCTGATGTAATAACCCACTTATGACTGGTAAAAAATGATAAGTGGAGGCGGAGAAGGAGCTGGAAAGAGCCGACGGGTTTCTGTAGGATGGAAGCTAAGCTTCTTAACCCCGGCATTGCTCCGAACATAGGAACCTACTATGTACCTACATAGGTACTATTTTCTTACCTGTTATCAAGTTAGGTTCTTATCAAGTTCAAGTTCGTAACATTAATGGCTCGAACGTAACAGAACACCTTTTCATACTCAGCTTTGATTCGATTAAATTCATTAAATGTCAACAAAAATTGCCTTATAACACCCATAGACCTTCCAGAGATACGCTTCATATTAGTACCTTTCTTCATGAAACTAAACTCACCCAATTCGGGGTTAACACGCAAGCAGTAAGTTGACATAGAAGAATGAGAGCAAACAATTGGTATACGTGATTATGAGAACTGACTGACTACTTCCGTAAACCCGGTGCGTTGCATGTAAGCAGGCTCTGGTGTTTCGAGGCGATGCCCCTCCTTCGCAAAACGCCGTCGCTATTGGCGAAGGTCACTATGTTTGGGCTATGGAGAGGTAGAAGAGACTAAGAGAGCTCTCTTCAGAGTTTTCTGTTCTTTTTCTTTTTTCTCTCTATTCAAAATGGCTCGGTATCATTACTCATATCCAACTACGCGTTGTATATTTGTATTCGAAACTTTGGAAACGCTAGAGAAAAGATGTCCGAGACACCGCCCTCCGTGCTTCAATGGCTTCGCCTCTCAAACCGTGATGTCTCTGACATATGGATTGGGTGCCTAGTTACTATCTCGGCTAGCACTTTCTTAGCACTTCATCTCAGCGTGAAGCCCTATAATCCTCCGGCGACCCCAGGGTCATTGCTAAAAAGGTGGTGGCTATCACGTTTTAACCATGAATTCTGACGGCAAATACTCTGGACTATCGTAATGGTTATTGCGCCCGAACTGATGGTCGGGCTCTCATTTGGTGATTGGCGTGCGGCATGTGTAGGCTCTCATATGTTTAAGACCTTCGGAGAAGGACACGTTCACGACTGGTCTAAGACTCATGCTAGTTTTGCGAATATGGGCGGGTTCAAATTTAGGATGAAGACGGATTCACTCAACGGTGCCCAATTCAGGCTGATTGATGAGAAGGCCTTGTTGGGAAGATTTAAGAGTACCGATGTTACGACTTTCAAGGCCCTAAGGTGTCTCATCGGAACCTATACCACGCTACTAATCTCATGGCTGAAAAATACCTCCAAGCGGCCTGCTGAGTATTGCAAGGGTATCCGGGATTATATTAAAAGCCTTGCAGGAGGAAAAGCACCAATTACTCCCCCTAACGATAGATCATCAGCTATAAATTCCCCCACTGAGAATATCGAGCTCGCCGACTTAAATACCCAGCTCCGAATCTTAGGAAATAGTGAAACGTCCTCGACGCAAGCAGAGAGTCCAGCATCTCATATGCCAGGCGAGGCTATGGGTTCTACAGCAGTGTCAGCCACTAGTGCTAACAATGTATCTCAACATTCACGCACAGCCAGGAACGAAGAAACGACGGAGTTAGTCCATGGCGAAGTAATTCTCTATCTAAACGCGGCGCAGATTGTCGTAGCCCAGTATCTAGAGATTCTCGACGAAGGACCCTTATCAAGCGAAGAAGCTATCGAAGACAAGAGCAAGACCAACCCTCTGGCGAAGGGCATCGCAATTATATCACTGTTTTGGTTCATCTTGGGAATATTCATCCAGCTCTTCCAAAACGAGGAACTTACTCAGCTGGAGCTGTCAACTTTTACGTATGCGACCTGCGCAGCTATTGCGTATTGTCTATATTGGACCAAGCCCCAGGCCGTCGAAGTTCCGATAGAGCATTCAGTTATGAACTCAGATGCCGTCCGCTCGATAACCCATGACGATATTCAAATTCTCAAGTACTTTAGTGGCAGTTCCTTCCTATCGCGAAACTGTACCCCGCGGTTCTACACAGACAAGAGAATAGCAGAGCCATCAAACCCGGTCCCCACAGACGTATCTCTCACGGTATTTGCTATTGTTGGGTCTAAAGACCAAGCTGTATTACTATATGATGCTGATCTGGCTAGCATCGCCATGGGCGTGGTATTCGGAGCGATATACTGCATTGGATGGAACAATACCTTCCCTTCGCACTGGGAGCAACTTGCTTGGCGCATATCATCTTTAACTATAACAGCATCCCTCATACCATACTCTATCGCTAACGCTATCTGTACAGTAGCATTCGGAAAGTTCACCAGCAGTAGGGCACGAATGACGCATCCCGTGCATATTCTAGCGCTTGTTTTCCTGGGAAGTATTTACGTTGCCTGTCGATTTTTTATGCTATACGAGATGATTAGGGCGCTGATAACATAGGCTAAACAAGGTAAAGGCCAATATCTCCTGTACAGGTTGAGGGAATAATTTGATACGGAAACAATTGTTAACTCTAAGGGGTATCTTCTACTAAGCTTGAATTATACGAATAGAAACAGTGTATAGCGGCATAGGTACGACGATTCTTTTAACTAAACGGGGTCTACGAGATTGCTTTAGTCGATCATATTCCTTTCCACGTTCTTTAGCTTCATGAACCTTCTCTTATTTAGGGGGTTTCGGGCTATATTTTAGGTCGAAGACAAGATACGGGTGGATATAGGGGTTTGACATATTTCATAGTCGAATTCAAATATTTGAAGTAACTATAATAAATCATTACACTTTTTAGCTTGGAAATAGGTATATCCTGAAAGGTACAGTAATATTCTATTCCTGTGATAGCTCGTAATAACGAGCATTTAACTTCCGCGGCGGATTTGCTTTATGTCTCATAACATCTTTCCTATGTTAAACTTTAACTTTCAAGTCCACCATTGATAGAATCAAGAATACGGATGTCTCAATATCTCTTGAATCACGGGATCCGTGCGACAGTCTATTATCTAATCTTCCGGGGGGTTATATTTAAAGCATTTCAGCCCCTCTTGCTGGTATTTTTATTCGACTACACAAACAACACAAACAACAATAAGCACCATATGAGAACGCGATATATCTACCTGATAATCTGCGCTGTTATGAATTTAAGCTTAAGATATGGATGGTCTATATTTTGATACATTTGGCGAATACCCGATCGATAGTTCCATCTCGACTGGTGTCCAAAGCGGTTACTCGTCTTGTTCCGAGGCAGAAGACACCCCTTGTCCTAGATGTCTAAAACTGCGTGGAAAGCTTTGCCGGAAATGCAAACTTAGGTTACACGCTCGTGATGCCAAACAAAATGTCAAATCATCTTTAGAACTCGTCTCAGGCAAGAAATCAAATATATCAGATGACTATACCACAGGACAGTATCTGGAAGGCTTTGGCATATCGATGTATAAGATGCCGTATCGATTTTCATCAGATAATCCGCCCACAGAACATGACGAACCTGCGGGAATTAGCGGAGAAGAAATATCGCAGTATATGACGTGGGGAGAGAGTAGCCGCGAAGGCTATAAAAGACGAACCGATAGAGACATGGGCTATAACAAGTACCATGAATGGGAGCACGTCAACTACGTGGAGTCGAGCTATATCACATATCAAGAATGGAACCGAAATGGAAACCAAGAATGGAGTTATGGCAAATATGAAGAATGGCATCAAAGGGATTATAGAGAATGCTGGCGCAACCAAGATGAATATCGGCCAAAGCGAGATAGAGAGCCTATTTACTTCGTACAGGGAAGGGCACTACAGCCCTGTCAGATTCGGTCGATTAAACCAGGCATTGACCGCGACGAGCCGCGCTACATGGCTGAGATATGGCAATATACTTCTGGCAAGCGAGCGTCAAGTACATGTTTGGTACTTTACGGCCTGCAAAGCTGCGGGATATTAACACTTCCATATGGCAGCAGAGTGTATGCTCGGCAGCGAAAGCTATACCTCGAAACTCCTACTAGCTATCTTTGGTTTATACTTTCGAGATGGGTTATAAGGATGTGTGTAAGGATTGTCGCATTTCCCTACACACTCCTTTGGTATAGAAAACTTCCCGACCCTGTACCGGAGGAGCTGGACTAGTTTCTATCTTCGAGGTAGGAGATTCGACGGGGTATATTTGATTTGATATATTGGAATACGTGATAGGTACCTGGGTAATTTATAGAGATGTCCGAGATATTAAATAGTTAGTATAGAATATGTGGTGTTTACGAGACAAATATGAATTAAAAGAGAGAAATCGTAATCAGAGCCTTCCTCTCTATTTCTCTCATCTGACACTGCGTTGACTTCATGATCCATCAGTTCTCACGACGAGGAAAGTTAATTTCACGCATATATGGGTACGCTAGTAAGGCTGAAGGAAGCGGAAAGGAAGCGGCAGGAAGATTGATCTCTCCTTAATTCCTGTACGCCATGTAGGAATCCCGAGGTTCTCTTGAGTATTCACCACTGGTGCTTAGGCTGAATTATAGATAACATGGCGGTAGGGTATATCTATAATTACGAGTGCCTACCTTTATAATGGCTTTAAGGTTTATTTTGCTACCGCGGATTACCGGTGTTAAATTTTGCGTATGAACAACAAGAAAAAAAAAACTACTGATGATAGCAGTTATCAACTCAAATAAAATTGGGAGTATATTAGGCGTGATGAACCTGAAATAGAGATACAGTGTAATCTGTACGCCCTAAGCGCAGAATAGATATGAGAGAGAGAGAGGGATCATATTTTCGCTTTTGGGGACACTTTGTTAGACTGTGGGAGAAGAGGTAGATTATAGCTTGAAACTTACCTACATATGCTTGCTCCTTCATTGGGAACATGTCTTTACGCTATCATGCTTATTGAAATTCACAATTCGGGTAGTTATACGAACATGACTCCGCCGGATTTTCTTAAGGGTATAAGCATTTGGGGTTCGTACCTAAGCCAGTCAAAATCTGACATATCACAATCTTGAAATTTTCAAAGCCAGCGCTAGAAACATGGCTGACGTTATCGTACTTAGATATAATTGTACACTTATTATGTAGATACCCGTCTTAAGAGGAAACTCACTGCCTTCCTCTTTGACACTCTTCGGCGGTAATGTAACCTATAAACTAAACGGAAAACAGAGGGTTACATTTTAACCTAGACCTTCCCGTTGTAGATCAATAGTCTAAATAAAATGAGTTGTGTACGTGTATCTTTCACGACTTTGGTAGTATTGCAGCCAATACTCTTCAGTCCTCAAATCGCGCGTATAATCTTAGAGTCCTTATATCTACAGCTATATCTTCGGCATTTGAGAAATTTGAGCAAATCCTACATCACCACGGATTACTTACCATACGCGTCTACTAAGCACTATGGGTGATACCAAGACCTAGGAGGGGTAGTGGTAGTGATAGTGGGCGGTAGTGGGGGATAGAAGGGCGCTAGAACTCTTCTCGAAGCTCATTCGAGTCAGGCAATCTTCTTGGCCGTGGCCCGTGTAGTCGTATCTTCACGACTTGACATGTTTCGGGAGGGCTTCGAGAATGGTGACACTATGTAGGTTAGGTACATACGTACCGAATCGCCGACCAGGATTCGATCCATCGCATCTCCCGATTGCTAGTAATCAAGATCTTTTATTTCACATTGGACGTCATCTACATCTATCTCATATATCTCATAGCCAATCAATTAGTCTAAAGTCCTATGTTGGTATATCCATTCCAACTGACACAGCTATGCACCTCTCGTCTGATGCTGCATGTATTGCCAGGGGTCTTTGCGCATTAACAATTGCTAACATCATGCTGATCCTACAATGCGTGGAAGGCGTAAAGAAAATTTCTTCCAAATTATTCTCGCCCCATCCGGATCGCGTTTTTCTTGTGTTTTCATAACATTGAGTATATAAATAGACCTGTACGCGGGCTGTACGAGCGGAGTGGTAATTAATACGCTTACTCCGAGAAGGCTGTTGGATGTTACCAGTATCTGGTAGCTGTTTCAGTATATATTATGGGCTTGGCTAACAAGAGTGCGACTACTGCATGTAAGGCGCCTTTGGTCGCAATTCTGGACTTTGAAATAGAAGCCTAAATCAAGTCTTACGCTCCTAATATAGCTAAGCACTATAGATACGCCGTCTGAGAAGTAGGCTAGGTTAGTTTAACTCGCCAAGGATTTCTAATCATAGCTATAGCTTCGTAAGGCTAATGGGAAGAGGGAACAAATCTAATGGCTTTTTGGGGTTCTGTCGTAATCATGTTTTCTTATAGCATCCTTGTTCTTTTGCGTGTAAGGTTCTCTTACCCGAGCTCTCTCATGGCTTATACATATGTAGGTACCGAAGCGAAATGGTACCTTGAAATCTCAGACTGGTATACATAATCCTAGTAGCCATGGACCCTACAGTTACTAAGTTTAGTAACTGAATCCTCATCTACATACGACCCCAGAGGGGTTCCTCGTGTAGCCCGTGCATTTCAGGGGTAGTTCGGTGCCAGTATGCGCCCCGTGCTGAGAGCTTCTTTGTCCACGGAATCCTTCCATTCGATCTCCAAAAATCTACAACGCATCATTGTCATAAAATACGTACAAGACAGGGCTAGGACAGGACGAGACAAGAGAAAAAGCAGCCAGAGTAGGCAAAGTCGATGAAGAGGTCCCACAATCCCCTCACATATCGCACATATCGCACATATCGGGATAGATCTGCATCAGCTCGACGTGTTTCACCTCCCGTCATTTTTCTGGCCCTACAGCCTCGACACACAACTTTTCTATACCGTCTTCTCCGCGTTTTTCCTTGCTTAAAGCACCTGTCATTAGGTACTACGGGTACCTCTTAGCAGTTAAGCACCTAAGCACACTAAGCCCAGCTCCAACCGCCCCGGGTAGCGGTTTTCTGCAGCTGCACGCACATTAAGTCGCATACGACAAAGAGGACGACATCTTACATTACCTACATGCACATCATAATTTGGATTCTCACACCAAAAAGAGTTATCATGATTCTTTAAGTTTGTTCTTATTATTGTTATTATTGTTTGTAGCCCTAGTTAGTGTGCTCTCCCCCTGAAAGCACAGAGGACCCCCGACTGTTTCTTTTCTCTCATTTTTATTCTTACATGCAAATACGTATGTATATACGCATTGTCTTTGGAAAGTTGCTGTATCTCTAAAGTACCACCAAGTAAAGCTTCTCTCGGCGAAGGCTTACGCCTCATTAACATTCAGCGTATTGAATTAACAAAACACCTACCTTGGCGCACCTTTCCGCTTTCTCCCCCCCTCTCTCTGTTCTATCCCGGGGCAATTGAACTTCAACAGTCTGCCTACCCACCAACTGAGTAATTCAAGCCAGGTTCTACATATGCAATAGATTGTGAGTTCTATATCAGCCCTATTATATATCTAGATCTTATTGAGAGAGTAGAATAATCTAATATAGATTTGCGTTTAGAATCAACTCCGAACGATCTCCGTTAGTATAACTTCTCGAACCGGACTTATTTCCTATGCACACACGCGACTACGACTACGACCCCCGCCATGTATCTTAGCTTCCTGGCTTGATAACTTCCTCAATATCTCTTAGTAGCGCCACTCGAGTCAGCTCTTCTACTAATGACGTCGCGAGCTTCTTTAGCGCCAGAAGCTCCATCTCATAGAATCAGTTCCGACATACTTTAGCTCCCAAGCTTCCGCTCTAGTTAAAGTCGTCGCCCTCCACATGTCAGATTAAGGAGACATAAAGAAAATCCCCCCCAAAAAAGAACGTACCCCGTATTTGGCGTTGTCGCCGCATGGGTAACCCGCGATTTATCGGCAGGGTATAGTAGGAACCATTCCTTGCCTAAAGTGCCAGATCAAAGTTTCCCCTCAGTTTAGAGAGACCAAAGCGATCTGAGAACATTATCTACTATCTGGAACTATCTAAGGCTGTTAAGGAAAAAAAGAAAAAAAAGGAATAATTGTTCCTCGGAAACTGGCTGAATAGGGAGCTTACATACTAAGCCTTCACACGAGGACTTGTGAAGTAGCCATGAGGCGGAATAGGGTGCCAGGCTCTCCGCCTTCGCCCTATAGGGCCCTGGCCCACCACCCGGCTAATGGCCAACCTGCCGATTCTGTCTCCTTGATTAGGTCCTTCAATAGTGAGACCAACCCGACCCGGCCTATACGCCCCTCCCCACTTACGGCTTCGACCATCCCTGATATGCCGCTCGACCTTCTCGACCGCATGAGATCCTTTCCACTCTTCATGTCAGCTCCCGAGGAGTTTCTAGTAGCCATCGGCAAACATCTAAGGCCCCAGATCCATTCCGCGCACGACCATATCTTAACGGAGGGCGACGAGGCAAAAGCGATGTACTGGCTAGTTCGGGGAGTCGTTGGGGTAACCTCACGGGATGGCGAGGCCGTATACGCCGAGCTCAAACCGGGCTCTTTCTTTGGTGAGATAGGTGTGCTTATGAATATGCCTCGAACGGCGACTATTGTCGCGCGCACGAAATGTTTACTTCTTGTACTCAAGAAGGAAGATCTCACCCTGGAGCTACCTGGATTTCCCGATATGGAAATGGCTATTAGACAAGAGGCACATGAACGTCTAACCATTCTTAATAAGAAACGCCAGGAACGGGGACATAGCCTCAAAGTTGCAAATGGATCTGCGGCTCGGGAGGCTGCTCCCGGCGAGGTATCAACTGGAGATATTGGTATCATTAAGGAAGGGGCCGTAGTAAACCACAAGAAGAGAAAATCCCCTAGTCCGGGAGGGATGGAGGACCCAACAGCAGGAAGTGCATTGGGAAGTGGCCTCGTAAACGTGCGGCAGACGCTTAAGGAGCTACCCCTATTTTCGACGCTACCTCCTGATATTCTTCATTTCCTGGGGATGAGTGCGCAACCTAAGACCTATCCACCTTTCACCGATATAATCCGTCAAGGGACTTCCGGTAACGAGATTTTCTTCATTGTGCGGGGCGAGGCGGAGGTGATCCACGATGCGGCCGAGGGGCAGAAAAAAAGGATAACACGCTCGTCCGTAATAAGGCCACGCCTCAGACAAGGTCAATATTTCGGAGAGGTTGCTAGCCTGGGTCTTTCTGTCCGACGAACTGCGACAGTTAGGTCTATAACGGCTGTCGAATGCCTCATGATTAGTGGAGAAGCTCTGAGTGAACTATGGAAACGATGCCCTCCGGAAATAAAGAAGCAGGTTGAAGACACGGCAAGGACGCGGATTAGACCGAAAGAAGATATCGAGATGGTAGACGCGGATCCGATACATAAGAAGGGTTCGATACCACTAGCCCCTCTACGGCCTCCGCAGGTTACGTTTACAACACCCTCTATACCCGCTTCCCCGGTAAAGGATGAATTAGATCAGATGGAACCAAAAGATCCCGACCCTTTTCTAAGCGTCGATATGGAAAATCTAAGAAACCGACGGCGAGGATCTCTCGCACCACCTATACCACCGCCAAACGAACCTCATAGCACTCCAACAACCAACGGCTTACGTCTACACAAGCTCAACACTAAGTTTAATACTTCTACAACTATCCAATCCCCCTTATCATACTTCTCCCCCGACATAGAAGTACCAGCAAAGAAAGCCAAGATATTTCCCAGCCGGCCGCAACCTATCCAAGACGCTCTACTTCCCGACGATATCCTGGTGACGATATTCCGATTCCTCGACTTAGCCGAGCTCATTCGGCTAAGACAACTCTCATCCCACGTGCGCAGACTCCTAGCTACCTCGCCGAAACTATGTACTCACGTAGACCTTACTTCCTATAACCGCTTTATAACAGATGACGTCCTCATCAACATAATCGCGCCGTTTCTCGGACCGCGACCGATTTCGATAGATCTTAGCAACTGCTTCCACATCACGGATGAGGGATTCTCTACGTTATGGAAGGTCTGCGGGAAGCATATCAAAGTCTGGAGGATGAAATCTGTATGGGACGTCTCGGCCAACCAGATCTTGGAGATGAGCGACAATGCTAAGGATTTGGAAGAGGTCGATTGGAGTAACTGTAGGAAGGTTGGTGATAACCTGTTAGCTCGAGTAGTCGGCTGGGTCGTTCCAGACCATCCTTCGCAAAACGCAAAGCAAATTGCGAATTCGAACCCCGCCGCTGCTGCAGCACGCCTTCGAGCCCAGCAGCGGCCACAGGCACAGACAATAGTCCTCCCGCCTCCCGGCACCGTAATCGGTTGTCCGAAGCTCAAACGTCTCGACCTATCATACTGCAAGCATATAACAGATCGATCAATGGCACACATGGCAGCGCACGCCTCAAACAGGCTGGAATCTCTAACTCTAACCCGATGTACCTCGATCACAGACGGTGGCTTCCAAAGCTGGGCCCCATTCCGATTCTCTAACTTATCCCGCCTCTGCCTCGCTGATTGCACATACCTCTCCGACAACGCGATAGTCGCCCTAGTCCACGCCGCCAAAGCCCTAACGCACCTTGACTTATCCTTCTGCTGCGCGCTCTCAGACACCGCAACCGAAGTCGTCGCTCTGGGTCTTCCCGGCCTGCGCGAACTGAAAATGGCCTTCTGTGGCAGCGCTGTGAGCGACAATAGCCTCGCGTGCGTCGCGCTGCACCTCAATGACCTTGAGCGGCTTAGCGTGCGCGGTTGCGTGCGTGTCACGGCCTCGGGCATTGAGAGCGTGCTAGACGGGTGTGCAAATCTTGAATGGGCGGATGTGAGTCAGTGTCGTAATTTGGATGGGTGGATTAGGGGGGGAGGGGTTGCGAGATGGGGATACGACGAGAGAGCTGAGATTGGAGAGAGTGATAGTAGGAGGGAGAGCGGGATGCAGAATACGGATTATGAGAAGTCCGGAGTTGCATTTGTGGTTGAAAAGGGGGCGGGTGCGCTGCGTTGAACGAGATGAGATGAGATGAGACGATGTTCGACATCGAAGCTACGCTGTCGAATGAAATCTTAAAATGAGGAACTGGCTTGCATTACTTACGGCTTTGGAGATCTACGATACGACGCTTTTGCGATGTTTGCGTAACTTGTATGGTCGTTGGTCTGTTTTGGATCTTGACAGCTTGTGATATACCCCTGTCACATCACATGTATGGAGTTGGAGTGTTCGATTCGCTGCTGTGGGATTTCTGCCACTCAGACTTGGGCTGCTTACTACACTATTTTGGATAGGATATGTGTAGCTATCTAACATTTAACTTATGAATGCGCACCTATTTATGTATTACTATTTATGATGTTGCTCAAACGAACCTGTTTGAATTTTAACTACCTAGGTTTAAATAGAAGGGTAGCTTATAACTATATGAAAGCGAACTTGTGTATTTTCAGTATTATGGTATCGAGCATGATTGATGTGTTTATGGCTTGGATCGTTGGGTTTTATATTAGATTAGACTTCGTTAACGTTAGTTAGGGCTATATAATAGTATAAATACCCACGTAGGCTTTGGTTATAACTACTATGCTTTAGATATATCTCTACACTAAATTTATATCACATTATCCCACTAATTAAAGTCTAAATAGGAGGTAGCTAACAACATCGAGAGCCATTTCAACTTCATGATATTATGAAACCTCAATTAACTATCATGTGAGATAGCTTCTTGCAAACTTGTTCTTTGAATTTTATACCACTTTCATCAGTTTATATTAATTATAGTTAATAGATGCTTAACGAAAACTTATTGTGTTGGATAACTACTTGCTTTTTATACCATATTATTAACCGAATCATAGTATAAAACCATTCCCTATTGTAAACAAATTCATCGCTTGGTATTTATACTACTAATATTCGCTTAGTTATTCGTCGCTTTACTCGAGATATAAGTGCCATGCCTCGGTTAACTTCTGCGAGCACTGTTAGGCTATATTCCAAGAGCCAAGACACCGGATTATGTAGTGTTTAAGTCTAAGACGCCTAGGTTCGAGCTATCATAAGACTTAAAGCTCACGAAGTCTAGATCTAAACAGCCGGGAAAGGGGGATTTCCTGGTAGCATATAGTATGCGGCTACATGTCGACCAATACTGTAAAAAGCCTACACGCTAAGAAATAATAGTTTCTATCTTGAATTCCCTCTTTACTGCCACTACTTTTCCAACCGAATACTTTACTTTATATAATATCAACACTGCACTCTGCTCTATTGGCTCGATTTCTGAGAAATAACTTGATCTCATAGAACACAGCACATTAATTATATCTATAATTCTTGAGGCCTGCGTTTTGCGACTTGACTTTTGAGCTTCGCCTATTATATAGGATGGCGTGACATTTGATCCCGGTTGATTGGTTCCCCACCGTAGTATAAACCGCCCGGCAAACTGCGCCTAATGTCACATATAGTACCGCCTCGCATACCTCTTCATGCCCTCGCCCCCCTTTTTTCTTCATATTGGGTGAATGACATCACCGTGGATGATCTTATAGTCCGCGAGTCCGTTCAGCCGGCCGTCTCAAGTTGCGCTAGCTATCGGCGTAGTATACCCTACCCCAAGCAATAAACATAGGCATCTCACGCTCCATGCAGGGACTTGCGTCTAGACTGCGGGGAAACCTATCGGCTCGCTCTATTAACCAGGCACATGGTCTCGGCAAGTGTACGAATACCCTCCCAAGTCGGGGTTCGGGTACTTTCAAGCTAGCAAGGGTAGGTGACTAAATGGTCGACGAAAGGATCCAACACGATCCATGAGAAAACGCACCACTGTCAACACGTTTTCCTCACCTTCACCCCGCGTTTCATAGGACAGCCATCCTGCCTACATACATACATACATACATACATACATCCTTCAGCAGACGCAAAGTCACTTTACCCAAGAATCATGTCACGGCCATTCCAAAAGGTAGAGTCCAGAATTTATAAAACATTACATATTCCCTTCCCCTTTTCTATTTTCGCGGGCAAGACTAATATAAATATTACGGTTATTAGGTAATTATCGTGGGAGCCGGCCCCTCGGGTCTACTGCTTGCGCTGCTCCTTTCTAAACATGGGATTCCTGTGGAAATCCTGGAAGCCTCGCACGAGCTGGACAAGCAGCCGCGGGCCGCTATTTATGGTCCTCCGGCAATCCCGGATTTAAGGCGTGCCGGTGTGATCGATCAGATACGCGAGAAGGGCATAAGCCCGACATCGATGTGCTGGCGGCGCTTCGAGGACCACAGCTGGATTACGGGCATGGACGCCGCTGCGTTGGCTGACTACAACGGCGAGGACCTGCGCCTTGCGTGTCTAGTATTAGACCAACTAGACCAATTAATGCTTGATGAGTTCCTGTCCAAGTACAATGGCAAGATCAGCTGGAACCACAAGGTCACAGGAACGGGCCAGGACGAGAAGCAAGCTTGGGTCGACGTCGAGACCCCAGAGGGTACGAAAAAGATATATGGCGACTACGTTATCGGATGTGATGGTGCGGGAAGCCAAGTGAGGAAGTCCCTCTTTGGAGACGAGTACCCTGGTTTTACCTGGGAGAGGCAGATCGTAGCGACAAATGTGAGATAACAAACCCTCCACTGACACGACGACAGCTAACCAGAGGATATAGGTCTACTACGACTTCACAAAGTTCGGATTCAGAGACTCTAATTTTATCCTACATCCTGATCATTTCTACGTGAGTTATTTCTGATGCCGCATCATACTTGTAAGAAGCGAAGAAGCGAAATGGGAGAACTCTTACATGTAGAAAACTAACTGAGACACGTATATAGATGGCAGCTAAGCTTACCGAAGACGGACTCTATAGGGTAACGTATGGTGAATCGCCAGGCCTAACCTGGGAGCAAATGCGCGAGCGTCAACCGTGGAAGTATGAGATAATGCTGCCGGGCCACCCAAAGCCAGACCAGTACAAACTCGTTACCGTATCGCCGTACAAGATGCACCAGAGATGTGCACCCTCCTTCCGCGTAGGCCGTATCCTATTGGCGGCCGACGCAGCACACCTGTGTAATCCTTGGGGTGGCATGGGTATTACGGGCGGATTCGTAGACGTAGGAGGGCTATACGATTGTCTAGCGGGAATTTGGGACGGCAAGGCAGATGAGTCTATCCTAGACTTATACAGCGAGAAGCGCATTGAGAAATGGAAGACGGTGATCGACCCCATTTCCCAGAGCAACTTCCGCCGCGTGTCGGACAGCGATCCGGATACCCTTCTGGAGCGCGATCCCGTCATGAAGGCATGTAAAGACGCCGAGGACGATCTTGAGAAGCAAAAAGGGATGTACCTAAATTTCTTCGACATGCGATACGACTTTACGCAACATTACAAGACGGCTTGATTAGGTATGGGGATGACGCGTCGGAAGTAGAAATGTGTGTTGTGCTATTGGTGTGTGTCAAATATATCTGCCTCTTCATGTTAGACTGTTTAGAGTAGCTACATCGAATCTCATGTTAGAATTATGATTGTTTAAACTTATTGTAGTCTAACAACGGTGGTTTTGACTCTTTTACGTTCTCAAATTATATTGCAACGCTCACTGAGCACCTAAATATACATCATTGCCAAAAGTTCTATGAGTAGCAATCCAATTTTGGATGACAGGAATGTTAGATAATAAAAGATCTCCCATAGCTCGAGACATTATAACATAGGTAGGGTATCGTTTCAGTACCGCAAGAAATATACAGAGATAGTGAATAATACGGCTCATAATTTCAATAATTTCAATGATGGCCTCTAGTCAATGAATGCGGCCCCTCGCCCAAGTTTCCGCCAAAGCGCTTAGAAAAGGGGGCCCCTTATAAACTAGCTTTTCCCCTAGATTCGAATGGTAATGTCCCCACGAGGAGTCCAGCCGCAACAAACAATGCGCCACTCGTGTAAACTGGGGCCGATGTCTCTAGATTGGCAAACATGGCAATAATAGGCGCCATAATGCCGAAGATACGGTTCGAGGTCGCTGTGAGTGCATTGCCGGTGCCTCGGTCCTTTGTCGGAAATAGCTCGGGTGTGAAAGCATATAAGACGGCATACATAATATTGCTGGTGAAGTTGTAGGCGCAATTCCACCCCAGTAGACTTGATGAGTTGGTCGCAGTAGTCGAGCAATAGAGGAAGACACCTGTTAAGATTGTGCTTAAACTTAAAGCGCCTTTTCGTCCGAAATGCGGTAGTTCGACAAGAACGCCACCAGCAAGAGCACCAGGCACACCGAGCACGGCGATGATGAGTGAGTTGCGGTATGTGATGTAAGTTGACCCGTCGCCGAAATCTACACCACGAGTACTCTGAATGTATGGGAGAAAAGCATTATATAATGGGTATCTACAAGATGTTAATAAGTGTACCTGTTAAAAAAGAAAAGCGACCTATTCTTCAGACTTACCCGAGACCAATAAAAGCCCATATCACCATTAGCGCCCCTGTGCTATATGCCAGCTTCCCTGTAGCAAATAGAGATCGGATATGAGTAAGATCAATGCTTTCCAACTTACGCTTTACGGCGTCATTCGCAGTTGTCCTGTTTTCGTATCCGTCTGGTTCGCATGCTTTCAAATCTTCGACAGTCAACGACGAGGACTTCTTATTCCGCCGTGCCACTTCATGAACTATGCGCACTGCTTCCTCATCCAACCCCTTCCCCATGAGATACTTGGGAGACTCATAGATGGTGAAGCAGAAGAAACGAAGAATAAACATGATAAGCGTCAGCCCACCCATCGTGATCATGAAATAGCGCCAGCCCATATTCTTGGCCCTGGTGCAGTTCGAATCCGTCTGCTGGCAGGTGAAGTTCCCCAGTAGTGGCCACGCAACCAAGTTAGCTACAACTTGGGCAAGAGCCCAGTCGATAGAGAGAATAGTAAGTAAGTATTGATGAGATCCGGGGAGGAACTCAAGGAAGATTGCGGAGTCGACCGGTAGGTTGCCACCAACGCCAAATGACCAAAATGCGGCGAAGACCCCAATAGCTGCGAAATTAGGCGCAGAAGCAGCTATCATGCCCCATACAGCCGTTATACCAAGAGTCAAATTAAAAGCCCATCTTCGGCCAAAGATATCGCAGCCGAAGCCCCAGAATACTGCCCCGAAGAGTAGACCGATGTTCTGGGCAAGACTTAATAGCGGGGGGCGCGACGGATGGAATTCATTAGTGATAGATGTAAATATGAGCGACGTGACGATCGGCCAAAGATTGTCGGACGCCCAGCCGAAACCCACAACGAAGAAGAGCTGCCATTGGTACCATCCCATACCAATATCCTGAATCTATAACCCAAACTATTAGGAGGATATACCAAGAAGGTGTAATATAGAAGAACTCGTACCGCTCTATTCAAAACTCTCGCTTTAGCCTCATATACGGGGTCAATTGTGCCCTTGGGGATCGTACTAATATCCTCAATCCCAACAGCAACATCTTCACCCAGTTGCTGCTCAGTGTTCGTATTACCCTTTTTGACCGAACTCTCCGCCATGATTGGCTCGCTTAATAGGCCGCCGACTCTATGCTAAAACAATAATAGTAGAAAATGATTGTAAGACTAAGAACGCCGACCCATAACAGAGTCTGTACTAAAAAAAAATGTTTTCGGCGGTCCGTAGCTAGAAAAAGCTTGTCACTTAAATGGAACTCCGGGGAAAGCCCCAAAAGTAAGTTTCAGCTACGATCAAGCAACACCAGCTGCATATGACGTGCTTGGAGAATCCTTGCTTATAAATGGTCGGAAGCGGTCATTTTTACTGGGGTTAAGGTACTTATAGAGGCACAAAGAAAGCATATTTCATAATATAAAAAGAATTATATAAAATACCTAAATATCGATAATGTATTTGATATAAGGAAGGTTAAAAGGGTAGTAAAAGGGGGTGTTTAAATACTTAGGTAAGATAGTACTCTGCCCTATTTAATAAAGTTATTAAGTTAAGTGTCGTATAAGTGAACCACCCCTCAATTCTTAAACCCCATATATTCAATTGTCGGATTTGAAAAATTGTTTACACGGCTTAATTATTATCAAAGCTACTAAGAGTTAACTATAGGATCTCTATAGCTCACAGCTCGAGCTATCGTGAGACGTCAATTAATGATTTAACCATTCATTGGACTAGTTACTTAAGAAGCCTTTCGAAAGCGAAAGCATCTCTTCCGCGAGATCCTAGGTGTGAGGTTCCTATGATGGTTCCCTTGGCTTTTCAGCTAGATTACTCTTTATTGGGTTTGGAGAACTTGGAGGTCACATATCCTGCTTGTAGAAATAAATATTGGAAAATGAATCTGATGAGTAGAAGGAAGTTTAGAGTTTCGGCGTCGTCGGTTTCCTTCTTCTTTTCAGGCTCTTGCTCGGAACTGGCCGTATTCTCATCTCCGTCGTCGTCTACAAGTGTAGTAGATGATAACCATGATGTCCGATTCATTGCGCCTGTAGATAGAGATGCATGTACCCTCTTTACTTCACCGAAGAATGGATCTTTTGGCGACTTCTGAGGAGTTTTGCGAAGTGACTTTCTCTTCGTGACATTCCTTACTTTGAGAGAATCAGTATCATCTCCATCGCCGTCATCATCGACCTCGCTATCCTCGTCTTCTGTCTCTCTTCTAGGAATGACCTCGATGACACCATTTCTCTTAGCCATCTTTTCGGGTAGATTTTTAGCCTTAGTTATTAGCTGCCTTCTTGGTAACTCGACTCCAGTATGGTTGACAACTGTTAGTGTGGACCGAAGAGGCTTGTCCCCATAGAACCCGTATTTAAGCTTTTGGAATTTTTGCTTGACGCGATCCAGTCTCTTTTCAAGTTTCCCCTGAATTTCTACCCTGATGAAGAAAGGGTTATGATCATGAACCAACGCAAAAGCAGCTTCGAAGTCTGGTCTATGATTCGACGGCGAGTCGAGCTTGTTCTCTTGTAAAAACCATTGCAGCTTTCTAAAGCCAGAGTGTTCATCATCTCCTAGTAACTGACCGGAAAAGACCCACCGATTATAATACTTGTAGGTCTTTTGCTGATCGACTCCTAGGCCGCTCAAAGAAGCATCCTTAAATGAGAGCGACGGATTCCCACTTATGTGGCGTGAGAAATCTATTTCCGTCTCTCTACCTGGCACATATACTGGTCCCAAGTGTGTAAACTGAACACGAGAAGGAATTCGTGAGGAAAGTCCGGGTCGCCGCTCGAGCGCATCAAGCTCTGCTTTATCATCAATCTCGTCAAGCGACCCTAAGGTTACTAAGATCGTTGCCGTCTCTAACTTGCACTTCTCAGGTTGGGTGAAACCAATATTCATATGTATGATAGCACCCGGAGTGTCTGCGCCGATAAGACCCCATTCCGAATCATTAAAATTGATCTGAGTCGTAACCTTGACCTCGCCGAGCTGTCCGTAGCCACAGCAAGCACTATAACGATCAAATTTGTCGAAGTCACTCGGCCCGTAGCCTCGCCCATTTGGCTTCTTACGTCGGACTAACCTGTGAAATTTTGGTTCCGTCATATCATTGCCTCGTGTCCGGATATCTGACGGTGTGAGGATTCGCGGGTCTGTCTTCACAATGAAAATACCCTAAACTGAGAAGAAGAAGAAGAAGAAAAAATATGAGAAAAGGCTGAGGAAGTACTATCGACAACAACATCCACGCGTAATTTTCCGTTTTACGCCGTACACCAGCATTACATACCAAGCTTATATCATCATCATAAGTGGCGGTCGGTAAGCCAGCTGAAATGACCCCTCCCTCCTTCCTTTTTCATATTAACACTACTTTGCTTCCATAATAGATCACCCTGTTATAGATACTATATATAAACGTATTACTAATTTAAGTTAACAAGGGAATTTCAAGGCTGTTGGCCATTGCTTATGGAAGCTCTATTTTCACAGCCTTGTTCATGTGGATTAATTTCATTCTCATCTCTGGTCTCTCAGATTTAGTAACAATCTGGGTATAGCTCATTTCTTATTTCATTTTATATCAAAGCGTTCTAACATGAGCAATTACTATCCACGTAACTCGCGCAGCACCGCTGATGTACATCGGCGGGACTCTCACCGGAGCAGTCGCCTAGATGATGTACTTTACGGTGATCACTCGGCCAGTCGGCAAAGAAAGCAAGTTGCATCTGTGCCTCGTATTCCTTCGAGATATTCGCCGGGTACACGAATAAGTAACGATACCAGAAAACCCACGGGGTTACTTTCGATGCCTCAAATAGACGCTGTTTGGATACCTAATATGTCTAAAAATATCACCATAGATATGGCGCTTGGCATAACCAAGGACATCGACCTGGAACTTGAGGAACTTAGCCGACTAAGGAGACTTGGAGATTTCGCTACTGCACAGAAGTTTTTCAAGGAAAACTTTCCAGACCGGGTAGATGACCCTTACTTCTTCGTGTTAAATGCACAGATGCTACTCGAAATGGGTGATTTTCGATCCTTTGATACACTAAGGCCCACCCAGGTGTTTGGAGATATGGAAAATGAAGGGGTGCAAAAGAATCAGGATTTGCTACGAGAGAGCTGGAATCTGCTTATACTTCTGGCAATGATTCCAGGAAGAGATTGTACGCAGCAAGCGGTTAATGAGATTGACAAAGCCCTGGCTCTTCTTGAAGCTCGAGCGAACTTGGGTTCTACCGAGGTAAGATTTAATCATGACTTGAAGTTTGTTTAATATTCAACATTTCCTTGCTCATCAAGATTAAGATACAAATACTCGCCTCGATACTTCGATTGATTGGATACATAACTCATTCGTTGGGATTCCAATCATCGCAACTAAGGGATGTTGGAAATGCGGCTCGGCAATGGACTGACTGGGCCAGCGTGTATCATCATCTTGCTTCGGAAGGGCGAGTTTGGGACTTTAGGGATTTATTCACTACATTCAAACTAGCGTTCGGACGGGACGAGGCTTTCGATGCTTTCTTCAACACTTGGTCTCTTGATGAGATTATGGACACGCTTGATTCTGACTGGGAAACTGTGAACTATGACAAATCGACAAATCTCGCTCTTTTAGATATTATGGGCTTCTTAATCCTAGAGAGCGACTTCGAGACTACCCCGCTGAAGTACTACAAGACTTGTCTTGAACGCGGAGAAAAGCTTGTCGAATCTTTAATGGACGAGGATCCTGAGACCGCAAAGAGCCGCCCGTTTTCAAGGTGGCTTGTGGCAAAGGCAGCGGTTCTTAGCTGTGACGTCCACGGTAACCCTTTTTCGTCCTTTCGATTCCTCGACTCATATCCTGGAATGCAAATTCGACAGGGCGACGGGGTTCATATCCCAATATATGTCCCGCTCCGTTCGGAGAGACCCACTTGGAAAGCCCCAGAAGCACCCCCAGAGTGGAAGGAAGCAGTTCATATGGCTTTGGGCATCGCCAAGAACTTAGGAGACTATGAGACTCAGAGTCTTTGTCTAAAGCATTTGATCATTCGATCTCAAGAACCACATATACTTCTCGGCGAACTTTCTAACTTGCAGAACTCAATCCAAGATGACCAAGATAGTTATCTACGAACATGTTTATCGAAGTTTCTCATACTTTCAGATGTCGGCTCTCAACGAGGCCTCGCAGAGGAGCTGTTCAGATTTGGACAAGACAAAACCATTATTAACCAGGCTCTGCCCATCGAACATCACAATGTGTCTCTCCAGTGGGCACGCAGTGTAATACTGCCGACATTGCCCGGAACTATAGGCGGAACTGCTACGATGAACAAGTCAGGGTCGTTCTACGCCCGCCTGCCGACTTATATCAGGCACTTTATTAGTACCAGGGAAACATTTCATACTCAGTCCAAGCCAACCAATTCTTTTCCAACCAGGGGCACAAAATTGAGACAGTGGCCTATTGGCAACATAGCTAATAAAGAAATCGAACGTAGTACCCGCTTGGTCTCGGAGTCTGAAGCCTTGGTGAATCCCAGAGTACAGACTCTAGCGAGCGATAAAGGTGGGGATGGGCTGCGAGTGCATATCAGATCTCGATATGGAGATGATAGGCAACGCGAGATCGATAGGCAGAACGAAAGGATTTCCAAGCGGTCATCTTCGGTACGTAATTTGGAAGTGGTTCAAACACAAAACGACACGGATTATCCACGAATGACAACAATACACTCCGAAAAGTCAGTTCCTCAGGACACACACCGAAATGAGACCGTTCAGACCCTAAAGACTGAGCCAGCACAGCGGGAGGTACCTCGAGAAGGAACTGGCAAAAGCGCCAAACCCTTTCAAACTCGTGGTCAGAATGCAACTACTAATGAAGCATCTATGACAGTCGAGGAAATACCAGAAGATCATGGGGCTGAACCCCAAGCAGACAGACAGGGGTCGTCGTCTCATCCCATACCCCCTGGAGGTAAACCAATCCCAAATAAAGAACTCTCGTGATTAAGACGATTCGCTAAAAGTCGATAGGTGATGAGGAACCTCTCATTGACTTGGGAGATTGATAAGTGGAGATGGGCTCTTGAAGTATTACGTATAAATTCAATATTGGGGCCTTTTTTTAACGAGTCTTTGCGGCTCTATAAGTGTTGTTTTAGGAAAGTATGAATGCTGGGCCAGCGCTAGCAACTGCAGCAGATCGATACATCCTGGCTGATTAGCGGACGGGATCTAAAATAGAAAGATATGGAGAGGATATTAGGGAAAAAGAAATTTGACCGGCCTTGAATAGGTTAGGTACTTATAGCAATAGGTAGTATGCTAAGAGAGGAAGCAAACGTTGAAGAATCCCGGGAAATTTCCCAAGGAGAAAACTAGTAGTACTAATACATTCTGGAACGTTTCAATACGTATTCCGTTGCTCCTAAACGTTGTGATACCAAAACGACGTCTTCCCAAGTTTGGCAATAAGCTTGGCGCCGGTGAAATAACTCCTTCTTAACTCTGCTACCTAGATTATCCTATCTATCTATCTATCACGTAGCCACTTGATAGTTCAGACGACATCCTTCATCTCTAGCTTCCAATCCTCCATATCTAACCTCCCAGATGGCAACAGTGCACTCCTATCCCCGTCTAGCCTATCATTCCCAAACTGCACGTTTGAGCCTGACTCTAGAGTGCCCAGGCCCTTTGCCAGTACGACCACTAAGATAATGATTACATTAGGAGCAAATGTGTCAGCAGCTGGGCAGCGGTGCGGCGCGAGGCTAAACGGTAGGTATGCCTCTTTCATGTTATCCGTGAATTCTTCTGGTAAGAACCGTGATGGCCGGAATCGTTCCGGGTTGATCCAGATATTGGGATCCATGTGGCACTTTTCGATATCGGCAATCATCTCATCGTAAATGATAAACTGGGGACTCTGATGTCCCGTAGGTACGGCACGATGAATCCTTTTTGTTGGGGGATATAAACGAAGACCCTCCTGTGAAAGTTTGAGTAGGGGTGTCAATGTCTGCGGTAAATAGGTAGGTAGTCATAGGTATTGACTTACCTTGGCGAAGTTTACTGCCATCGCTTTTATATCTTTTGATTTCCCAGCCTTAAAACATTTCGGTACACATTGGATAACTTTTCGGAACTGCCCTGCTGTTTCCTGGTCTACGTTCCGGAACCCAGCAGATATAAATGTCAACAAAACGACGCGCCACATCGTCTCGTAGGCCGGGATGATGATGTTGAGAGGGTGATCTTTGGCGCCACAAGGGAATTTTTCTGGGAGTATTTTCTGCAGTGCCACTTCAAGCATCACCAGTGCTCCTAATGGGTAGAATTGAGGTGTTATTTTCGAGTGGACCCAAAGTGAGTTGATTAATGTAGTTGCGATGCCTACGTCGTCAAGATTGACATTCTTAGGATCCACGTCGAAAAATGAATATAAGATCGAAACGAACACGAGCTGCCTAGCAAGAGTAGCTAAGGGCAACGAGTATCTTATACTCCGATATTGAAGTAAAATAAGATCTAGTGTTGTGGAGGCGGTTTTGAAAAACTTAAGCCACTTCGCGGGCTTTGTGCTCTGTAATTCTGGTCCGACCTTTTGCATGAATCTTCTGTAGGTGATTACACTTGTAGTCGTGAACGCGTTGTCGATCCCGAACGCATCTATCAGTCTTGTATTGGGTGTAGCTCGGGCCATGAGCCGGTTCTGCAAACTCTTGTTTTGGAGAAATCCGAAGCTTGCAACTGCTCTATGTTCCAGAATAGATTGTGCATTGTTACTTGACCAGGGTCTTTGCTGCTTAGTGAGAAAGTTATAGGATCTTCTAAATATCAGTGCAAGAAACCAGGTACCAAACCCGATCTTGATAGTAGTGACAATCCAATAAGTTAAATTCATTGTTGCAAGGTTTATTTATTTGAAAAACTACAGAAAACAAATATCGTTAGCAGGTTGCTTTATATTCCCCGATCTATCTGTCAAGGCATATTTTACTTGCTACGTCAGCTCCTAAATCAAGTCTTGGGCACTCACCGTTTCCCGTGTTGGTGTTGAACAAAACAAACGGCCACCCTTGGAATCGGCCAGTAGCGTCTCGGCAGCTTGTGTTACACTCAGCTCGAATCAGCAAGACGATACTAACCAATTGACCACTGGGAATGGCTCGGCTCAGATTTCCCATTTTCATATTCCATTATATAATAGCTGCGGTACTGGGATGCGTTGAACATAATTGCAAACGGGGTTTAACTACCTGTATTTCGTGATTTTCTTTTTAAAAAACAAGTGAGGCATCAATAAACATGAAGTAGAATAACTTACCAAGGTGCCTAACTCGGTATTAATGTAATTTCTCATATCGTGAAATAGAAACAGGATTTATATCGAAGTCAGAATAGAAAAGAAAGGGGGTAGCCATAGAGAAAAACCAGGTAAAAGGAAAAAGGCCAAAGGGGTTGGTAATCCTACTGCCTGAGTACATGCATGCATAGTGGTCCGTCCAAGCTACCTGTTGGTCTATGACTCCTCGTAGTGATTGTTGCTGCACTTTTTATGACTTATATGCTTAACATCCCATGCCGGTCACTCCCAGGTCCCTAGTGCCTAATATCCCAATGTGCCTTTACAAGGTTACATGTGCTTTTGTATTTTTAAAAGGTGCGTACATGATTGCAGTATTGATGTGCCATAGTATAGAAGCCACCCAACTAACATCCTATCACAGTTTGCTGCCTAAGGTTCTCAATCCTGTCATATATTACATGAATCATGCGACTTCATTTCTAGTACACTTAAAGATACCTCTTATGGGGTAAATCTTAGGCGGAATATACAGTTTTGATTGTCTTTATAAAGTAGGTACTCAGGAAATGACAAGTGACATGTAAGATAAGGCTGATTTTAATCTACCACAATCTGTGTCATACCTGAGTCTTGCCTCTTTATTAATAACAAACAGCAGCACATGTAGAGACACACCTATGAATGCATAGCTTAAATTGGCTAGTAAAATATGTGTAACCCCCATTGTTACGGAGAGTTGATATTAGGTACTCCTACCGGGTATAGACAGATGGCAGTGGATATGATATTCCCAAGTTGAGCTATGAGACTTTTGGATCTAGCTTGCGGATAGGGTTAACGTAATCCCCCCTATTGCATCGTGTTTCCTCAATCCGAGATTTCCGGGAAGATAGCAACTGCATGGCGGAGACCAAAGTCCAAGGTGAATATCACCGTATTATTTTTAATCCTCTGTAAAGTATCTACTTGGTATTGTGATATAAGGATGAGCACTTACTAAACGTCTAAACAAGGCTTTCGGAATCCATAGCGCTAGAACAGCAACAAATATGTATAAACCCGCTACAACCTTAGATATCCGGCAGGCGGAACGTCCTAGGAACCCATATCTATGGTATCTACTAACTAAGTCTTTAGAAAGCTTTCTCAAAACTCGCTCGCTCTAGTTCCACTACGAAACATTTCGAAGAAAGTAATATCCCTGTAGCCGAAAACGCCCCTTATATGCATGCAGCGATGCATATTGCCTAGTTTCTGCCAACCCGTTCGAATAGACGTTTTCAATCCTGTCCCCTCCCTTTGCCCATTAAACGCCAGTCTAACCTGTAAATGTTATTTGTGATGATTCTCACGACCCTGGTTTGACCCGGTGCCCATTTCACCTTAGGGGGCTTTGCGTCCTGTCACGTATCATTTTGAGATGAAAATTAGTACTCTTCATGTCGAACGTCTCCGTCTTCGGGTCCCACCACGCGGCAACGTCGATTGTGATAAAAGCACGCGGGGTTGTAACTTCTACAAGTCCGGCTACGTATATCGCTCCCCGCGGAGGTAACCCGCCGATGGGTCGCCATGTCTGCATAAAGGTTCGCTTAAATGCGAGCCATGGTCCACTGGTATGTTCTTGCGTAGTTTTGATACCATACATATCTTTGGCGCTCTTGGGTTTGCCTGGCTCGGCGTCGGGGATGATTGGGACCGGACTGCTCACCCCTGAACTGGAAGAGGTTGTCGAGGGCCTGGGATCTGGTGTTGTTTCAGCAGATCTTTTCTCGATAGGAGAGGTCGGGTCCGTTGACGAACTACCAGCTGCCTGTGTATTTGCAGATGAAAGAGTTTTTGGGGTTTTAGAGTTGGGCTCTTCGGTAGACTTCTTCAGCTTTTCGACGGCCTGTTGAAATGAGGTATCCGGATGAGTGGGCGCGTATCCAAATAGCTTAGCAAAATTCAAAACATTCTGCTTTAATAACGCTCCCGAGAAGCTCCATAATGACATAGTGAGTGGACTTGGCCAAAGTGCACGTCGCACTTGGATAGCAGTCACGGTATCGACAGTTTCCTCTGCGATATAAGTACCGTCGTCACCTATTGATATTCTATAAAGAAGGTTTAGAATTCCAAGTTAACTGCGCATCGTTGGGGTAGGAATGGAACATACCCTTTCCGAACGAACGTCGGCGGTGGTCGAGATGGGTACTGTATGTCGAGCCAATACCGTCCTAGTTTCATGTTCCCACCGCACCTCCGGAGAAGCATGGGATGTGTTGATGCGGTTTTGCGAACAAGATCGGCGAGTCCGCCTACGGTTTTGTCAGCCAGTGGTTCATCTTCTCTCCCTCGAGCATGCAGATTCCATAGCTTACTCTGAATGCCCCTCACTTTTTCTCTATCTTTACTAACTCTGACAAAGGCTTGCCACTCCGGGTCGGTGCTCTTGTAGGGTTCGGACGCGACCATCCTCATGGTGAAGGGGAGCGGAATAAATATATCTTCTGCTTCTTCTATCTCTTGCCGTTCCGCCTCGGTTAGGTGCTTTTCTTGATCGTCGAGCCACCTACCAAGGGTACCAAGAACAGACGACGTATATACTTGGTAGCACATATAATAAATGCACCCAGCGACTATAAAATTCCTGCGCGATACAACTTAGCATTCGTGGCGACGACTAGAAATACGGATGATAGACGTCGCATACATTGGCTTGAACCATTTTCGCCGGATATTGACTCTATGCACATGGACAATTTGAGAACTGGGCTGATTTGACCGATTAGCTCTCGAAGCAAGGGAAATGATATTCGGTCGTAATCGCAGGAGTCGCAACATGGAAGGCATTGTAATCGAGGCGCGCCCGGAATAGGCGGCCGAGGAAGAGGAGAATCGGGATATCGAGGGATTGACGAAATGGTTGAATTATTCCTTAGAGGTTACCCTTCTTCTGCGTCGCATCGATCATTTCATGACAACACTACATCGAAAAGATACTTGAGAGAATTGTCAGCGCTTAGATATAAATTATAAATTAGTGAGTGAGGCTAAATGTTAGCTTTTGTAAATAGTGATTTGGAAAAGCCGTAGAACATGTGCTTCTACACTAGAAGTTCGAGACCCTTGATTTTCTAACTTTCTAACTTTCAACTTTCAATACGTATGTATGTCGATCCCCACCGTCGAACTAAAACAGTTTACAATTACTATTCGTACTGTGCCACGTATATTCAATATTACCTTAGCGTCTATAGGGGGGTCTACCAAACGGTATATATACTGTATATATACTATTTAAAAAATTGAACCGCACTAATACTTATATGGAAAAGTTGCAGTTGGAATTTCGAACCGTTAAACCCAATTGAGTAGTTCAAAAAATTATAAACGTTTTAAAAAAGGAACGCTAAACCAAAGTGAGCCGCTTATATAATGAGCCGTATTTATACGGTATAAGTACGGCTCATTATAGCTGAACCGCTTACATAATGAACCGCTCAAAATCTGAACGGTTCAAAATTTCGAGCGGTTCATATGGTGTATAGGCATATGTAACAAAAGGGAGGTACAGCCTCATACTAATTGTATGGTGCTGCCATACTAATTATATGAGGCTGTACTTTTTATTATTTTTACATGTCGCATATTTATTTTTTACTTAAATATTACAGTCACAATGTCACAGGTTTTATTTTTCAATTGGTTAAGTCACGGACATCATTCAAATAGACCAATCAATATCAGTAGTCACGTTACGCGCGCACGTACATGATATTCTTAGTGTGGTATATATGTATCTAACAGGGCAGGTGCGCACACACCACATACCACATACCACATATAAGGCCACATACAAGGCCACACATACTAAATCAATTGAATCTATTTGACTGAGTCTATTCAATTAAATCTATTTAAATGAGTCTATTCAAATGAGTCTATTTAAATGAGTCTATTTAATTGAATCTATTATATCCTGGGTATTGAGCTGTACGTATACGGCTTATTTGATTGGATAGTTCAAATCCCTGAACGGTTCAATTTTTTGAACCGCTCATTCTGATTGAACGATATTTATACCGCTTATTCAATTGAACGGTATAGATATGGCTCTATCACATATACGTTTAAAAATATTGGCACGTGCGGCGGGGGAGCCGTACCAATACTATTCAACTAATGAATGGTAAAAATAGGGATACGTAAATAATTTGAGCGGTATATTGTAATAAACAGTATATGTACAGTTTAGGATAAATGAGCCGAATATATACAGTTATGTCAACCCATAGCAAGACGGTAAGGTATCTTTGTCATAGGCACATAGTACAAAGTATCTTATCAGATTTGTAAATGTATCACGTGTTAGTTTCACTAGTAGTCTCTAAATTACCTATGCATTAGGTATGCATATGCATTTTCCGGGTTTTAACTAGACTCTCATATCCCTGAGACGCAACAGCGTCACATAAGACCATCTTCTATCATTCCCATCATATCCAAAACAGCTTCGGGATCAACCAATCTCGACGAAATGAAGCTACACAGCTTCTTACTACCGGCCTTAGCTGGCATTGCCACTGCCCGCGCCGAAGGCCAGCAACAGAATGCTGAAGCCTATACCATCAGGCAATTAAAGACTGCAACTACCTCGAATCCTCCCTCGATACCAAACGAACTCGCCCGAGCTATCCTCCTCCAGCGCCTTAGCACGCCAGAACAACCCGCATCTCTGGGACAGCTGCCCGAGTCTCTTTCCCAAGATGAATCTATATCTTACATCAACAAGTTCGGAAAGGCACCCCGGCCACTGTTTGAAGAGACCAAAGACGCGAACGAACCTCGCCAGCTCATTATTGCTTTCTCCGGCATCACGGCTGATAAGCACAAGAACTTCAATGGCGCCATATCGCGTGTTCCTCTTGCCTTCACAGCTCCTGGGCTGAGCCGATTACCTGTTACGGGCAAGAAATCAAACTGCGCGTTCGAACAATCCATCAACTCCGATAACGAAAAGTGCTGGAAAGGGAAGACGCAGTATCTCGAATACGACGTTATCAAGGTACACACCGTCTCTTATAGATCCGGTATATTCGCAGCAAGCTGACTATCAATAGAACAAGAACGCAATCGCACAACTGGAACAAAACATCGAGTCTCTCAACGCCCAAGCCCTCGCCGGCAAGCTTGAAACTACCATTCTCCTCCTCGCACCCCCCAGCAGCGATTCCGACGAGCTTCGCCGCCGATCAGTCAAGGAAGAGAAAGTACTTGCTGAAGATGACGACATTATCGACATCCCCACGGCTGATTCCACCGTCAGTCACCCCGGCGCCAATGCCGATAAACCCTTCCACGCCTTCGGCTCCAGCCTAGAATCCTCGGCCTCCGTATCCCGCCCAGCACCTGCTCCCATCCTACCTTCCTGCTTTACCTCGCACAACGCGTGCATCACCGCGACGGACTCGTGTTCGGGCCACGGGCAGTGCGTTGATCGATGGGGTAAAGTTGACGGGGCTAAGAAAGCGTGTTTCTTCTGCCATTGCATGGCTACCAACGAGACTGACGCTCGCGGTAAAACTGGCGTGTACCACTGGGGCGGTTCTGCTTGCCACAAGCGCGATGTTAGCACCCCATTCTGGCTCTTCGCTGGCGTGTCGATTGCCCTTGTTTCTACTGTTGCCTTTGCTATCGGCCTGCTGTTTAGCGTTGGCGAGGAAAAGCTTCCTGGTGTTATCGGAGCTGGTGTCTCACGGACTACGAAGTAAGGTAGATATTTTGATATATATATACCTATTGCCGGTCGATGGTCTTCGAAATGGGACCAGGAGAACGGTATTCGCGGCGCGGGGGGGGGGGGGGATCAAAAGGGATGAATAGCAAAGTGAAGGACTCAAGCCGTTGTGTATATCACGTACGGCCATAATACACATGTATCATACGTGTATCGATACTGGGGACAAGCGAACGATTAATCAATCGAATAAACGGGCGCTGGTTAGCATATCTGTGTTTACCGTCTATGGGCGGTTCTCAGAAGGTTATTTCATTTATGTAGAAGGCTAGGTTCATAACATCAAGATTCATTAAATTGGACTCGTATTCTCTTCAGTGTTTCGAAGTGACTGCTATAGTATTCTAAGTGTTGGGTATCATAACATATTATATCTATCATATTACATCTCCATTTGGGTCCTCTGCCTCACCGGCGTAGCCCCTAAGCTATCCAACCCTCTCTGTCCGGGCGTACCACCACTAGCCCTCGCTTGATCTAAGAGCGACTGCGCGGCCACAACATTGTCTGTAGTGATACCACTCGCCATAGCATCCCCATTCTCATTGCCACTGCCGCTGCCGCTGCCACCACCTTCACCGTTTGCTGCACCCGTATTAGCGACCCCGGACATTAACATGCGGTACCTCTCGCCGGCCTCATTGAGCAGTCTCTGCACCTCCGGCTCGCGCTTAAGTATGCCCTCCCTCTCAGCGCGCACCTCTTCAATGCGCCCCCGCAGCCGCGCCATCTCCTCTTGCTTCCGACGCATGCGCGCCTTAAACTCCTCAACCAGCACGCTGAGATCTGGCAACGGCGTAATCCGCGGTATAACCGCGAGCGGATTATTTGCTGCGGCACCAAGACGTCGCCGCTGCTGCTCGCGCTCCTCGGCTAGCCCATCCATCCCCGCGCGTGTCTGCGCCGCTTCGTACGCGGCCCGCCGCTCAGCTTCCGAGTCGTCGGACTCGTCGTCCGATCCCCCTTCAGCAGCCGTAATTAGGGAGGCCATTTCTACGCGGCGGCGGCGGCGGGCTTCCCGCTCGGCTTTCTTGCCGAGGGAGAGCCCTCCATCCTCGACAAACTCGTCGAAGCCCTCGCCTAGGTCCTCGTCTTCGGCGACTAGACGCGTGTCTTTAGTGGACTTGGGCTCGTGTCGTCGCGACAGGATGTTCAGGTATGAGTCCCCAATCCCGCGATCGTCATCGGAGAGCGAAATGAAGTCGTCGGTGTCTTTGCTTCCTTCCTTAGCTAGGCGAGCGCGTCGGGCTTTCTTCTCTTGGATTTGGACTTCGGTCAAGATCGGAGTCTTCTTGGGAGATGTTGGACGTATTGTCGCGGCGTCTACTACTAGGGCGCCTTCGAGCTCGGATGGGTCTAGTATCATCTCGTCATCAGAAGTAGGTTGTAGTTTAGAAAGGTCCTGGGGCGTATTCGGAGTAGATTGTTGCAGCTCGGAGAGGTACTCTTTGCTGTATCGTGGACGATCATCGTCGTTATCGTTGGAACGCATGGGAAGCCGGCCTAAAGGTAAATTTCTGGTAATGCCCTTCTTGTAAGCGCTGTTTTCGGCTGCAGCATGGGCGAGTGCAGAAGAGCGTTTAGATGTAGAAATTTCATCTCCAAGTATCATAGAATCCTCGTTCCCGGGAGTTTCCTCAGTAGGAATTCCAAAAGATAGACGTGTGCTTGATGCCTTCTTCTTCGTCTTGCTAGACCCTGACCTTCCTCCTAGCGGCGGTCGAATTCGTAGGGGTGCATCGCCATCTTCGTCATCTTCTACTTCTGCGTTGGTATTTGTAGATTCGGATTGCCGATCGGAAGCTATTTCAAGCTTATCAACATTTATGCTCTTCCGTAGAGACGAGTGCTTAAATGGCTTATTGCGACTTGTTTTGAACGAGGGTTGTAATGGTGGTCCTTGGAGTTCTTCTGGTGGATTTAAAGATTCAGCTAAGATTATATCTTCGTCGTCATCTTGAACCGTGATCTTCCGTGCTTTTCGCTTAGCTCCAAACGCGCTCATTTCGTATAGCTATAGTGATTTGTCTGTTCGCTTTAGTATCCTAACGAGTTAGTTACGAGGTTTGATATTTGAAATATTGAAGTTCAATGAGGGAAGATTTACATAGGTACTATTATTCGCTTTGTACCTTTGTATTCTGAAGCTAGAAATTATTATCGATAAGGAATTGAGCTATGACATTATCTTATCAGCCTACAATGAGCTTGGGTTTCTTTTCGTCAATTCGTCAACAGTAACATCTTTCCTCCAACTGTCTTCAGTTTCTATAACAGACTCAAATAAATTCTGTCAAGATGGCTCCCGCACAACCCGAACTCAAGAAGGTATGCTATTCCATCGTCCTTCAATTTGCAACGCTGTGCTTACTGAGCATTTTGTAGTACCTCGATAAGAGACTGTTCGTCCAACTGAATGGAAGCCGTAAAGTCCTCGGCATTCTTCGCGGCTACGATGTGAGTTATCAAACACCTTCCTCCTTATCTACGCGACAAACTTACGCGTCATTATATGCGCGCAGGCTAAACATTACCTAGGTCTTCCTGAATATTGTTCTAGACGATGCTGTAGAAGAGAAGGACGGAGGCGAGAAGATCAGATTAGGGATGGTCGTACGTAGCTACGGTGACGACACCGCAAATACCGACACAAGCTAACTATAATACCTTAGGTCATTCGAGGCAACTCCGTGGTCATGTTAGAAGCACTAGAGAGAATCGGTGGGGATCGCGATAAATGAGCACACTAGGACATGACATGCGCAACAAATTCGAGTACGATCCGAGTTAATACCCATATGAAAGCAAGGCAGGAATGCATTCAGCTAGTTTAGAGGCCCATTTCCTGGGATCAGATGGCGTTGTGGACAACAAGAGTCCCAAGGGAGCACATACCACGATTGAGGCGGGATCGACAATTGCATTAAGTAGACCAGCACTTTATGCTTGAGAGTTCCAGGTCTGCAATATATTTGGAATCGGTTATGAGGTTTATATCACTTGCTATCAACGCCAAACACGATATCTGAGGCGTTCATATTAATCAATTGACGAAGACAACCCAACATTATTTTGAATTGGCATGTGAAGTGTTATATGACATCCCATCTAATTACCATGTGATTGCTAAGTATTTAAGGGTCAAGCAAAGCAGTGCAGCATTCTCGAAGCTAAGAATGCAGTGGTCGAAACTGGAGACGGTTACAAATCTAAGTCTCAGTAGCTCTCAATGATGACCCCTTCAATGTCACTCTAAAGGCCCAGATTATATTTTCATGAAATCAACATACTATATAACTCAAGTGTAAAGACAATGATGATTAAGTGACTTCCAGTCCTAAGGGCAAATAGTTTTATCCTAATGACAGACTTTAAATCAATAGAACGTATCAATCTACTCAAAGTGCTGTGTTAGTAGTCATTAATTCAAGTGAAAATAGACTATAAAGGGGTAAGGTTTATAAAAGCGAAGAGAAATAGCGTGGGAAAGCTAATAATTCTAATTGGATCAAAGAATTATCCTAAACAGCATAAACTTCTCATATGAATAAAGGGTTGGTCTTATGCTAGTTTGTAGATGTAGTTGCGACAGTAAAGTAGGAACTTTGTTAAACCATAAACCCATCCAAGATGATCTTAGTAACCTTAAGTACCTAGTTATTGTATTTGTACATCCCCATATCAGAGCCGGGCTTTTTAGTCAACTTTCTCATGGTTCTCGCAAGATGTCTTCTGAAATAGCTCGAAAAGACAAACAAGACTCAGCTTTCCAAGTCGGACTCCAGTAACGTATGATATGTCTTGTTCATTGTACGCGATGGATGATGCCACGTCAGAACATAAAGATTTAAAACATGGCGTTACTTAGTTTAGAGTCAATAAATAGGCGGATGATTTAAATAAGCAATTGTAATGCCGAATTATGATATGTGCTGCTTCATTATGAGATCCTGTGGACTCAGGTTATGATACTCAATTGTGTACTCCTTGGCTAAGGTCTCATATAAATGAGTTGTAATACCATACCTGTACTTTACAAGCCACCCGAGCATGATCATGAGTTGGCAAAACATTGGGTAAAAATAGTATTAACTCCGTAAAAGAATATTACGAAGGGCGTCTAGTATACTATTACTATAACATTAAGCAGTTAAAGACTCAAGGCTATATATAGCTTCAAGGTCGATATGCTATATTTCGTTACAACTCCTACTTAAATATGTTATACTCTACTTTCAGGTCTCTTGTATACAGCCTTTATATGTTAAGGCTTGACATAATGCGAACCTAAACCTATCTTCCCATCCTAAGATGCGGATTGTGACACACAAAGAGTTGCGCATGTATTATAAATCAACAAGATCAAGGACAGTGCAGGATATTTTGCTTCAACCTACTACAGTCTGTGTTCTTACATAGTAGAGCATCCTAGACTTGTCGGTATCGGCTCGTTACCCGGTGTGGTTACACTACATGAGTTCGAGTTATACAGATCGCACGAGAGGTAACACTTTCAAGATTAGCTATTTTTGATCCTTCTCAAAGATATACAGCTATCCCATAGGTTATATTAACCAAGTACCCAAGAATATGTAATCAGGCCGATATTATTTTTAAGAGAACTTTGGAATACATTTTCTGTTATAGGTAATGGGTAACAAAAAGATGCCTGCGACTTATTTTTGGATATCGGTAGCTGTTATCGGAAAGCCTTGAATTGTGGCGGTCAGACAGAGGCAACCAACCCGTGCCTCATACCAGGGGGTTAGCAACACGAAGTATCTTGTCTTAACCTGGCTATAACTAAAAGCTGTTTAGCTCTAGTAGCGCATGAGAAACTATCCGATACGGATGAGCTATTCTAAATAAAGGTTCGAGTTAATAATATTTTCCATACATCGTCATTTACCACTGATGTACATATGTGAGATTTCCAGCCCTATCTGCCTACCTGAAGGAGGATTCGACAACCTAGTAAATAGTTGTTTAATAAATAATTACGTACGATTCTCATAACCAATTGGAGGCCAAAAGCGGTCAGCCAAAGATCTACCACCCCTACCTTCGTCCCGACCTGGGTAAGACATTCAAATGCGCACCTATTTGCGGTTAGCCGCATGCTGCAACAACGTATCCGACCCAAAGGATATCGTTACACTGTCCAATCGACGGCGTCGCCGCAATTAATCACCCAATAACTTTTCACAAGCACCACAGTGTCGAAGCAAACTTATCCAAGCCGATACTTTGTTAAAAACTCCCCAGCTTCTAAGGTGGACTCCAAACGCATGGGGTACATAGACTCAGTAGTTGCGTGAGCTCTCCAATCATCATCGTAAATAGAGCGGCATCCACGGATCCTGAAGAAGCCTGAGTTGAATAGAAGCTATTAATAAACCAATCGAACGGGCATTATAATCAATTGCAAGGTGTGACTTTCATATATGCATATGTATGCTTCGCCGCTTCATTCCTCGGCAAGAACCAAGAACGCACGCTGGACACGATTATCTCCCGGGACCTGGTTTTGCTGTATGCGGTGCGACTATTGCTTACATACTTATATCACGCAGAGGTCTCTCACCTCGATGCTGACTCTCGCCTTCGAAAATGCTTGATAGATTACGGCGCTGTAGCGGTATAGCTACATAGATCTTTACTAACCTTCCCCATCTCATTCACTCGCTTCGCATCTGCATGGATAGGCTGCTGGCATCATGACTTATAACGACATAGATATTCCGTTACGTGCGTCTCCTGTAACTATCCGCTCGTGAGTACATATGTGAGCTGACTGCGTCTAGCTGCATTCATAGCGATCGACTGGGCGGGCATGACGATTGCCCTTATTCCGATAATTCTTCGTTTTTGGTTACGACCCAGAGAACCAAAGCCGCGAACAGTAATGCTCAACCTCTCTGACGGCCTCGTGCTGCTCTCGTGGCTCTCCGGCATGGTATTAATTAGCATCAACACTTGGAAGAATAATCTCCGACAGCAGTATATCTATCTTCCGCCCGATGTGCTCTATTACGGAGTTCCAAAAGAGTTATCCGCCCACCTCCTCTACGTCTCATGGATCTCTCTATTCTTCATTTACATCTCCCTGTGGGCTGCCAAGTTTTCTCTTCTCTCATTCTTCGCCGATCTGCTGCGTCTAACCGAGAATCGAGCTGCCCGTATCATGCTTATCTGCGCAAGCGTGTTTGCCAGCTGTACCTTCGTGCTGCACATGGTGCTGTTATCGGCGTGGTGTTCGCCTGTTAGCGGGAATTGGAATATCGATGGGCATCTATGCTCTGCAGTCCACGATATTAGATCCGTGTCTATATCCACGGCCTCAAATATCTTCACGGACCTCATCATTCTCACCATCCCCCTCTTTGCACTGTGTACTATGGGCCAAGAGCGCCGGGAGATAACCAAGACTCGGATAGGAAAAGCAGAAATAAGTGGGATAGTATTTGTGCTATGCATGGCAGCGTTAAGCATCGTAGCGGCTCTGGCGCGATGGATAACGTTAATGCTGGTTCGGAATGCACCCAAAGCTGACATCACTCATACCATTGATGTATGGGCGTTGGTGGAAATAGTGGCCAGTTTGGTGGCTGTCTGTCTGCCAAGCTTGCGGTCATTCCTCAGGAAACGAAGACGGCGTTTTCAACAAATTAAATAAGCACTTGATTTACACAGTTAAATATACTCAAATCAGCTAATGAGATATTTATTCTTTTGCAATTCAGTTTATAGTCCAGTAATTGACCTTTTGAGAAAAGCGTAAAATATTCAAGGGGGACGACATAAGTATCTAAAACTTAACTCCGCCACGTTAAGCTCTGTCTAAAGCACCGTGGGAGATATATGTCAATAACAAATTGCGTGGTGCTTGCAGCTCCATGCTATGGTCAAAGTGATAGCCGAGTGAATCGATTCGAGTTTCAATGTCGGGGTCGTAGACGTATACGAAGGACCCGACCCGGCGAGTTTTGCTGCTACCCACAACGAGTCATTCGGCATCTAGATTAAGTAGGTACCTGCCTTTTATAAGGCAAGTATTCGTATTATACTTATCTCATGGGATGGCTCTTGCTTATAAAAGTATATTCGTACCAGGTAAACTTGCCTGTGATCGCTTCAGACATGTTCTCGGTGCTGTGATAGAGACTAGGCAGTTCGCTACATATACAGATCAAGGCTACCAAGAATTCAATGTTCTTTTAGTAAAGTAACCCATAGTTGCTCTATTCGAAGCTTTAAAGTAAGAATTATTCGAGCTAATAAAATTGCTGAAAGATACGGTATATGAGCTGTAGTTGTATATTGACTTGATCTACTAACTGTATGAGTGAGGAGGGAGGTCTTATATATACATTCCATGCCAAAATACCATGTACTGTACCTGAGAGTAGTCCCTTGACCACTCATGTCAACAAAAAGTTCCCAAGTTTTCCTAATTCCTGTTTGATTATGCTTTATACTCCTATCTTTGTCACCTACTACGGTAAATTCCAGTATGGAAAGCTAAATTGCGTACTTGGAGAGCCAAATCCGTGCCGTTAAGGCACAGACAGCTGAGATGAAACGACAACACGAAGAAAAACAGCGACAACTCGAAGAAGTAGAGCGGCAATATAGCAATACAACAATAATGGAATATATCACATATTACCATAAGTTTGTATTTACAAAATTTGCCGTCGAATTAGATAAAGCTCGGACGTCAAAATGATCTATAACTAAT